ATTAAATTTTCACACACTGCTGACCGCAATATCATCAGGAGCAAACGCTCGCTACTGCGTACCCTCGGGTGCCCGGGCCTGTTTACTTTTGTGTGTTTTGTGTCTCTGTGTGTGTATGTGTGTGTGTGTGTGTGTACAGTCATTTCCGAAGTCCAGTGAAACTATTTCCACCTCCATCACTGGAAGTACTTTTCTGATTTATTTTACCCATTTACAAGGTCAACACAGACCTGGCTCTGGGTCCTGAGAGTGATTAGTTATTAAATGTCTAGCTCACCTTTGAAAGAGTGTGTTATTGGACATGAGTGGAAAATAAAATGGCAAAAGGTGTGACATTTACAAGAATCTTCCTGTTACTTATTCGCTTGTTGCTGTGCATTAAATCAGCCCCTTCCTTCGTCAGTATAATGTTGTAGAATACCTGAACAGACGACTCAGCGGTTTTCGAGAAGCAGCAGTTTCTTCTCAAAAGAATAAAAATTCAGACCTTTGTTCTCATCACTTTAGAATAAGAATGAGTTTAGAAATATGCCACTACCACTGAGGAATGACAAAATGTACACTTTGTCTGTCTGCAGCCTCTTAAAAATAAAGTTTTAAATCAGAGTGAAATAGTTTTGACCCTCTTAAATCCATTCATTTAAAAATCTATTTTCAAGTTGTTGTTTTTTTCTCTTACTCAATTACTTCCAGCCTCCTCCAGGCATCAGTAAATCTTCTATTCAAGTTTTATTTTAGACTGAGATTTATGCCTGCCTCAACTTGGAAAACGTTTCTGGGAATAACTTGGTGCAGTGCAACCCAAAAGCTGCTAAAATCCCGGTTTCTGTATCCATCATGATGAGACTGTCAGAGCTCAGTGCGGGGAGTTTACTGATGATTTGTACCATGAACACTGTGAAGCTGAAGACGGCTGCTCATCTAATGGATAATTTGCATCTACTCTGTCACTTAGGTGCTCGAATATTATGTTGTTTTTTCTGATAAATGCACCGTGGTAACAGTTGTTCTGCTTTCTGGTCAAGCTGTTACTTCAAAATAATGTTGTATGCGAGATTCAGTTGTTTGGGTTTAGGTCTTCGGTTTGCCCAGTAGATTAAGGCTAGATTTATGATCTCGCTTGGTGAAAGTAATGAGCTCCAGCGTTGCAGCTCAGTCAGGAAATAATAGTCTTCTTGTACACTGGGCTCTGGTGTTGGTCAAAATGGATGAGTATAATGAGGAGTTTTGTATCTCTGTCTTCCTTGGTTCTATTCCAATTGTGCACTTTTTTTTTCAGAAACAGTATGAATGACGTCAATAAAAACTAAATTAAATAAAGAGTTTTCAGAGAATGCAGACGCTTGTTCACGCTTCTGCTGATTAGACTTGCTGGGTTGTAAATTGCAAAAAAATTGTGTACAATCTTTCAAGGGCGAAAAGCGAATTCTTAAGCCGTCTCCATTGTCTACCCACCGCTTCTGTGAAATGGAAAATATGGCAGGTCTGAAAAGGAGCTGGCCTTGCTGGCGCAGCATAAGCAGGCTGTATTTTGAATGCCTTGTGGACTTAGCAATTCCGTCACAATGGATGGGAGGCTGTCCTTGAGAGGACATGCACAATAGAGACAATGAATGAGAGGTCACAAATAGCTTGGACAACACTGGTAGAGAGTACATCCAGAAGAATGTAATGTTTCATAATCTTTACTTTTACCAATCCTCTGTATTTTTAATAGTAGTGACACAAAATACAACAAGACTGAACCATTATAAGTAGATTATGTTAGTCAAAGGACAATGCTTTTACTTCGTGCTTTAACATTTTTATTTTCTCTTTCTCTTCTTCGTCCCCAGCTGGCAGTAATAATATCAGTTTCTTCAGAGTTTGACAGGCTTTGTGATTAGTTGACACAATCACTGATGAAGTAAAAAGTTGGACGATGGGAGACGGGGTGTTATTAAACATACCACAAGGAGTTTTTAACTGGTTATGAAACAGTCTCAGTTTAATATTGGTGCCTCTATATGACATACATAAGCACAGGAGATCATCAGCAAGAAGACTGGATATTTCTATATAGTTATTCTTAATGCCTGGTTGGATATCCTTTAAAATCAGACCAAGAGGTGGTGGAAACACTACCGCTTTTGTCCACAGGGGCCACCAGAATCAACACAAAATGAAAGTTCCTTGTAGGGTCTTTAAGTCTATTTCCTTGCAGCACGCTCTGGTGTCTGGGTGTACTGATTTTTCCGATGGGTCAGGTCAACTTTGGATAGATTAGATGTCCAATGTAAAAAGGATTTTCTGTCAGGCTTTGACTTTGTGAACATACATCAATAGCTGACTTACTGAGGCCAAGTGTACTTGAAGATCCTTTTCATTTGGAATGATATCCTATTATTATAACTCTCAATATCTTTCAGCAGCTGTATAATAAGTATAAGTATAATCCAGCTGTTTCCTATTAAAAGTCAGGAGAGGAACTATTGGCAGAAATGGAATATAATATTCACAGGATTGTTTTCATTAGTGTATAATCGCCTGAATATAATAATCGTATAAGAATTGTGTTTTTGTTATCTTACAATTAGCTACTTTTATCTACAGAGGGGGCGGGTCCTCTTCTACTGAGGCTGCCATGTTGGACCACCATGTTTTTACAGTAGCCCAGAATGGACAAACTAAACACTGGCAGACTGACACAATCCTATACTAATTTAAACTTAGTTGAATCTTTTCTTTGAAATAGATGGAGCTTTATGTATGAAGCACATTAGACGCACATTACCTCACATCTGTCCTTGAGCACACAGAACTTAGTGAAAGTCTGCAGTTACTTTTCAGCCCTTCAGAAATGTTAGTGACTGGTTATAATTGACCCTCATATTGCTTTATTTAGCACTATATTCTTTTAGTATTGATTCCTGCCTACAGGAACATAACTCAGTGGGAGGTTGTCAGGACGGCTGGGATGCAGGAGATAACAACAAGGGAGTGAAAAATAGAATACCCTCACATAGTGGCTTTGGAGACTAATTACGTTGTATGTGTCACCTTACAGCATTTTGAGGGCTGAAAGCAGTGGTATGCGTTCAGAGCCTGAGGGCACAATCTCATTTTACATTCAGCTCCTTTTGTAGCTCCCCATTGCTGCAGGGAGTTTTCCATAGTTTTAACATCAGATGACATTTACAAGCCAAAGGCTCGGCATATTTGCTCTCCAAATTGATACTCGTGATATTTGCCATTGCTTTGTTTGATTTGTTGTTAAGATGTCCAAATACTACAAAAGATCCACAGCCTATATGAGAGGTTGTACTGATCATGTATTGGTCAGGTTGTCATATAATACTAAAAATACTACTTAACATTGGAACAGCAAAACATAGTTTACTAGTTATTTACATTTATAACTAAATGAATGTCATGCACATGTTTTTTTTGTCTCAAAACTTCTTTCAGCCTGAAAGAAAATCAGCTGACCATGAGGGACATCTAGTGGTAGATCTCGAAACTTCCTCAACACCCTTCTGTGCCATTTCAAAGATGGAGCTCCCATGTTACAACTGATGTGAGAAATAAATGTTCTGCATGGTGAAAATACAAATTAAATGAATCCTGTACACAGAGCAGTTGGTGTAAGTTATTTAACTTTGACTAGAGCTACTTCTGCACCGGGCATGTTACTGATTCTTTAATTTTTCTAATTTATCCCTGTAAGGTTGTGGCATATTTTAGCAATATAGAAACATGCAGGCATGTACTATTTGAAGATGTTCACTCACACAAAGCTCCATAAATTTGAACCAGGGGCAACAAAAACAAGGAAGAAATTAAGGAATAGAAAGAAAACTCTTCAAAAAAAAGACAAACCCCTCAACCCTTACCATAGTAATAAAACCACATGAGGGTGTGTGTGTGTGTGTGTGTGTGCGTGTGTGTGCAGAATGTGTGGTGTGTTTTCATTGTATTGTGGATTAGTTGCCTCCAGGGAGCGCCCGTCTCCAGTATTCAGTCTGTTGTCCACCTTATACCTGCCTGCAGCAAATGTCAAGCCAGACGGAAGTATCCAGAAAAATACTGGAACCAAGCCTTCAAAATAAAAGCATAAAAGGAACCATCAAGATTTTGAGTCAGGTAAAGGACATTGAACCTTCAGGGGAGTCATACAAATTGAAACCAGCTGTAAAACAAACAACCACAAATATTAATGTATAATAAAGAATGACCCAAAAAAAGCGTTGGAAGGGTGTCTAATTTGTCATTTAGTCAAAAAGTGTGTGACACAAGAACAGTTTCTTTCCACTGACCTACACATAATAAATTGTGTATTTTGTAGTATAAATATTTTTTCTAACAATCACCATTGTCTAATATAAATCTAACCACTGTACTTTATATTGTATATATGCATACACTGTCATATCCACATACTTCATAGCCTGTTCAAACATTAATTATTCCATATTTATTCCAGCATTTTTGCACTATTGTTCTCTTGTTTGCAAATTTCATTGCTATTTTTTTATATATATGCTTTTATATACATGTATCTTTATATCTGTTTATATTAGTTAAATGTTTACATTAACCTAAACCTGTTCGGCTTTGTTGTTTTTAACTGTATGTCTATTTCTGCACACTGAGAGCAACACAATGTGGGGAAGCATATGTGTCAGTACACTCATTCTGATTTTAAAGCATAATAATAGAGGTAAAATGTTCTCATAAGTTATAGATTTGTTCCTTTAGGGCCAAAACATTTTTTAAAAAAGGTCTACCAGTTAAGGCTTTACTATGAAATATCAACATACCCATCTGTCACACATTTCCCTCTAAAGGTTGCAACACATTGTGGTCAGTGATTTAATAAAAAAAACAAAAACAAACAGAAGGTTTAATTTGAAAGTAGCCAACCGGAAAAGTGGTTTATACTTTTTTACTTCGGCTGACTTGACACCTGTCCACCTTTTCCTACCTCCACAGGCCTCCTCCCCTTCTCTCAACTAACCACCTACAACAAGTTTGACAGCTCAGCTTTTTCCGGCGCTCACCCGCAGCAGCAGCAGCGCACTCACTCTCCTCTGTTTCTTCCTCTAGCGACACAGTTTTATCTTCTTCTTCTTTTTGTTGGTATGTGTGCGTCTTGCGTCTCTTGCTGGCTATGAGGAATTTAATGTACCCGTAGGTTTGGTCACTTCCCCCCCTCCCACACACACAAACACACACACACTCCTTCTTGGACCTTTTTGGTTGGCGTTGTTTTGTTTTTGTTTTGTTTTTTTGTTTTTCTTTTGGTTGGTCGCGAGGGATTTATCGATAACCATGTCGAGGGGCGCGGAGGAGGTGTTCAAGCTAACTGAAAGTACATACAAGGTGAGTGCTGGTGTGAATACAACAGGTGCGACCACGACACGACAAAGGAGGGAAGACAAAAAAAAAAAAAAAAACCCCTCCATACATCCATGTGTCCACTACTGAAACAGTTACCTGCTGTAGTTAAACTTTCAGTGACTTTTACCAGCTGAACGACGACTAACAGGTGTTTTTAAGATGGACTGAAGGTAGAAGTCAGCCTCGACTCAGTTAATATTGGCTCATAATGTATAGGCTAATGTATTTTATGATAGCATAGAGTGTTATAAATACATGTCCTAACTTATTTTTTAACATTTAACAACATTTAAGTGTTTTGATAGCCTCTAAACTCAATTTAACCTCTTCTTCATCAGTTAAATACAGTGTAGAAACAGTTTAAATGCAACAGTTTTTACTTGGAGTGCAGAGGTGGTTTTTTTTTTCTGAGAGCCAGTAAGTGACTATTAGTGAGTTTGGATCACTGGTTTTGAAGAAAATAGCCCCACCCTAGGAATGCCATTTCCTCATTAAAGTGCTGCCCCAGCTGATCAGCATCATTTGAGCTGCTCTTAAGTGTACCCTGGCATCTATGCCTTCCAGTAATTATGTTGAATTTATTTTCTAAAGATAAGTGGGTGCTTTGAAATTGGATTTTCTGTTACTTTGCTGATGTTGGATAGTTGGGGGGGGCAAGTGTCCTTCAAAACTGTTTTAATGACCAGTCATATGGAGCACTATGTGATTTCAGTTGGGTTAAAAGAGACATCTAGCCAATTAAAAAGTCTCCCACCAAAACTTTTAACTTACCACACTTGTGTAGCCAGGTCTGCATGCTGCGCTCCACAGGTGTCAAAGTGAAGGTAAGTGGGTATAAAGAGGCTGCAGGAGGGGGGGAAAAAAGAGACGTACTGCTTTTTCTCACAAGCATTTATCCTTCTTGAATAGCTTTTGTCCGTTGGCCTTCTCTCGGGACAGCCCCCACAGCTCCTTGGTGTGATGAAATGCAGGAAAAAGACTCCAGGTTTAATAATTTAGCTGGCTGTGTGTGTTGTGTGGTAAGATTATACAGCAAGCTCCTTGGCAGCTCTCACCTCTCGCTCACAGCTATAATCAACATTACCCCAAGGTTTCCAGAATATGAACAGAGCAGCAAATTAGGGCAAGGTTGTGTTGTCTTTCTTACCCAAAGATTTCAATTAAGGTATACGTTTCGTAAATTATTGAAATTAGAGGATCTGAGATGTCATTGTTTATATATACAAACATCATATGAGCAGTATTTGTACCTTATATGTTCTAGTCTTAAAGGTCTGAAGCAGAGGTTTGTGATTACTATTAGACACATGAAAGAGACACATGTGATTGTTTGCCATGTGTTATTTTAATGTGGTTTACTTGTATCATTTAATTTGTATAATTTCCTGCATTCTGGGCTTGGGTGTGAACCTAAGCTAAGACCTTATCCTCTCGTAGTAATCACAAAGAGAGGCTCAATAATTTACATAATTACAGAGATAAGCCCTGAGTCTTAGACATGATTACGGATGATAGTTCCACTCTGTGACATTGATCAAGGAATGTTAAGAATGAGGACCCCCCCCCTCCTCCTCTTTTCCTTTCTTTTTGCAGCGTTGTCTCGTTCTTCAGTCTCTGTGTCATTTTCCATGGAACATGTAAGACCCTCTGTATGGCATACAGGTGAATTTTTGCCTAAAGGTCATAGTTCATAGCGCCTGTTAATAAATGGTCCACAGGGTTTAACACAACCGTGTATTTCACGCTTCTCCCACCTTATTTACAATGTCACTGATGTCACTCATTCAGGTGGCCAGTCACCCACCTGTTAACTCAGTAGTGTTTGAAACCGCATAACCATTAAAACCTTGAATGAGATTATGACTAACTGTCTGTCCTTTTGTCTCCACCCACTCAGAGTGTGATGGAACAGTTCAACCCGGGACTGAGGAATCTGGTCAACCTGGGCAAGAACTATGAGAAATCAGTGGCTGGTAAGCATTTTTTTTACTACCTTTAATAAACATTCATTATAACTTATAATCTTGAAATACAGACGCTTATAACTAGAACGTTGAAGGGTGGCCGGAAAAGTAAATTTTAGTACGTTTTTTTTTAGAGAATATTTTGGGTGTTCAGAGGTCTTCAACAAGTATTAGGGAGCCTATAACTATTCTGACAAACATTAATGATTATTTTATCATTTTCCCAGCAATGACCCTGGCGGGAAAGTTGTATTTTGATGCAATGTCTAAGATTGGGGAGAGTGCTGCAGTGTCTCCTGTCTCCAGAGAATTAGGTAAGTTTCCATGTTGCCCTGTCCTCTGGCTCTCTACTGGGATAAACTGGGTGAAGATGTGCACACTGTGGAGATAGTTCCTGTTTTCCTGAAATAGTTGTTTATCTCACTTGGTTCTCAGGAGCATTGTTGATTCCCGGGGTTGCCTCTATACAGTGTATATGTGGAGTTTATCAATATAAGCTGAAGAAGTTAATGGAAGACATTGTCTGGATGTTTATATTTTTAATTGTAGTGTTTTTATAGCCGTGCCTCGCAAATCAATAGGAAAAGATCAATGAGGTAAATAGTAATAAACGTAAGATGATGTTAGGTAACATAAATATGCCTTCAGTCACTGGTTTAACAGTCAGCCAGCTTGAACTCAACATGCAAGTAAGTCCATTTCCCAAAAGCTCTGATGGCCAAACCTGGCCATAGAGAAGAAATATTTTTCTTCCTGGACAGAGAAATCTGCAGTGAGTCTCATAAAGATTCAAATATTTGATATACAGTGGAGAATCCATAAAAAACCTGGTTGTGGGTATTCAGTTAAAGGCATTGCTGCTGAATTTTGAACAAATTGTTGTACTTTTCTTTTGATAAAAGAAGGTAAACAAGAAGAATAAGTAAACATTTGTGCCGTCAAATCTTCCCATTATCATTGAGGCACACAAGCCAGGGAAAAGCAGCAGTTATACTTTGATTAATGCCAGCTTGATGCTTGTGATGGATGTACTACTGTGCATGTTTTAAGCTAAGAAATACACTGTGGCGGAGGGTTTGTTTGGTTCACTGTTTGCTTCTAACCAACTCCCCAGACTTCAGTTCCCACAAGCTCATTTGCAGTCCAAAGATGTCTGGCATCCTAACACATTGTCACTAGTGACACACTTTGATTTAACCGCTGTAAGTCTCTCAGCTCCCCTGCTGATTAGCAGCAAAACTGCTAATTAAATTCAGCAGCACAATGGGACGAGCCTGCTGTTGTATCGGTGTCAATTCCCTGACACACTTAAAGTGATATACCACCCAAAAAATTAAACATTCACCTTGTATAGACTTAAAGTTTGGCTGTAAAAGTTTGCACCTCAACGTAGAACCGCAGCCGGTCGTGTTATCTACAATGAATTCTAACTTTTTATTATGCAAAATAGTATGATAATAAATCCACATCTCAGCTTTCCGTCCCTCCATCTGTCCCATCTGTTCAACATGTTGGAAACAGTCATTGTTTTTGTTGCAAAGACTTGAGTGTTTGCAGCATATGAGAATATGGACAACTGAGAAATGAATTATGCTGCAGGAGTGACAAGTTTTAATTAATTTTTTTGTTCTTTCAACCATAGTTAAAGCTTCTTCTTCATAAATGTTTAACTGCCAGCTGCGCCGAAATCTACAAGTTGTTGATTATTAAACAAAATCCAAATATTGATTTTGGGTGATTCATCACTTCAGTATATCAGGTTATGGATGTGCCTGTATTTGTGTCTACTGTATTTTAAGATACTCTGTGATCATATTTTCGACGAAACGTAAGCATAAGCACATGGCAGAAATGCTTTAGTTTGTCATCCGTAGCTTATAAGATATACTCATTGTGCAGGTGAAGCACTTTAGCTTCAGTTTGAACTGAATTGTTGAACTGAACTGTATTTAAAGTTGTAAAAGTTGTTGTTGGTTCCTGCTGTAAGAGTATACAGTAAATAGAGTATGGAATATGCTTCCTGTGGTAGGAAGTGAAGAGGAAATGAGGGGAGGGATGCAAACAAACTGCTGATTATTATCAGTATAATCACCTGTTTTAATATTCAAAGTCATTTTGAAAAATAAAAACTAGAAATGATAAGTTCTAGGGATGACACAACAAAACCATTTTATGTGGGGTGAAGTCATGATGTCCAGACTGAGTCTCACTCACCCGTGACCTGTGGATACACTCCAGGATCCACTAATCCCTGTATGAGAGAGACAGACGGAGACAGGGAGAGGCACTCTGGTCTCATGACGGATCACTTTAGTCTGAGTCATTATGGGGGATTATGTAGAGCAGGGGGTGATTAAATACGCACTACAAACAACCATCTAATCTAATGAACCCAGCATTACAATCCTAAATGCATTGTAACTGGATTCTGTAGTACACTTCCCTATAACCAGCCAGGGTGTCCAACCTATGGCACCTCTGCTATATAAACTCTGCTGAGATGAGGAGGAAGCAGAATTTCTTGCTAGAAACAAGAGGTGTTTCGAAAAGAAAAAGAAGGTCTCTGCATCTTGTTTCTGAGCCTGCTAGTGGACGTAGTGAAGCTGCCCCTTCAGAAACCTGAGCTTCAGTGACGCGTAGCCAACCAGAAACCAGATACTCTCGAGAGGCATTGGAGGACCGGTGCACCTCGTCCTCCTACCTTCTTCCTTTTAATTCCTTTAGTCTCCCTCCTCCTCCTCCTCCTCCTCCTCCTCCCCTCCTCTGCCAGAGTTCAAATGTCAACAGTTGTTTCAGTCATGCACTCGGGTATCCGACTTTGTTTCCTTCTCTGGTCAGACCAGGAGCAGGAATTAAGATCTGAAGGACCAGGATGTATAGACACCATGAGTTGTGGGCTTTGCTGTAGCCTTTATATCTTATAACTTTATTTGAGGTGAAACTAAGTGTTACTAATGCTGGAACCTAAAATATGTTGTTGGCTTTCTAAGAGAGTTTTGACAAGGACTGTTGCCAAAAACAGACTGACGAGTATTTAACAGCCTGTGAGACACCATGACCATGCAGCATTTTGTTATCGGCAGGGAATTGAATCTCATCCAATCTTGTCCTTTTACAGCAGCGAGGGCTTTGCAGACGCTTCATAGACCCCCCCCCCACACACACACACACACACACACACACACTCACACACACGCCGTCCTTTGATAGTCCTGGTCTGTTCAAATGGCATCAGGCCCACTTTACATAATCCAAGCATGTTTGCATGGTGTGTCAGGTGGCTCTCTCAGACGCCAGGATTATTTTGCCCACATTCAGAAAACAGTGGAGGAACTGTGGGCCGATTTGCATGCTACCAGCAAAATGTTGTTTCAAATGTATTTTCTTTATTTAACTTTATTTCTTCTACTGTAGCTCTGCTCCACAGTAGCCACAGCGTGCATGGCTCAAGAGCGGAGCTTAATAACACTTTTTTCTTTAACATTATATCTGCTGCAATCAAGTTATCATTGTTCATGCAATACATTTATAATGACATGGTTGAGTCTCTGCCTTTTTTTACAAGCACACACAGACAGATGAGTGGGACCCATCCGTCATACTTCATGGATCATAGAAGAAAATAAAGACTAAGAACATATTTTTTTTTCTACTTGCTCTCCTATACCTGACACGTTTGCTTGCATAATTTACACCTAACCAGAGACCACACTGATATGAACTGCAGTGCCCTTAGGACAAGCATGCATCTACTACTATAGGTGTTGGGCTGTCTTTCTTTGTAGAGACAGAAGAACAATAAAAGTGACTTAAACTAAGTTTTCTGATGATCCTCTCTCATCCTAAACCTCTTTTCTGGTTCACATTTGTGTATTTTATGACTCCAAACAATCCTAACATCCAAGGAAAAGGTTATGCTTTAGATATTTAACCTCTCAGATGCTACCTTTTGCTTTCGATTAACAGCCATCAGCCTTGTAATAGTGAATGTAAAACTGACCCACAAAGCACAGTGTGTCCAGCCACGACTCCAGACCCTTTTTACAGCCTGGGTAAACAGGCAGTCGTAGGCAGCCCGTCTGCATTGTGTGGGTTTATCTTGGTTTGGCTTTGTTAGCTAATGGTGGTGGATTTCTTGGTGGTGTTATCCACATCATGACACACTTTTGCCCTCGCACCTTGCACGATCGAGAACACCTGTTGCCCGGCAACGTTTTGAACAGACCGTGACAACAATAAACAAATGAGTGCAAAGTGCCTGAAAAACACTGTTGGTTTCTGTGACGTTACTGTAGCTGAGACATTTGTGTACAGTCAGTAACATGACACATTTGAATTGATTCAATTATTTAGATATTGTGATATGTTGATGACTCACAACTTTTTTTGTCCTACAAATATCCCGTCTGTCAGGTATTTGACTCTTTACCGCACCTGGTGACATTTTCAAGATTACGTTATTATTGTAAGATAAGCAGGCTAAGGTCAGGTGTGTCAGGCATTCAGTCTTGGGCTGTAAGCCTGGTCTTGTTAGTTCCTGGTTTTCTTCTAACCCAGCGTCCCTTTGGACTAATGTGGTGGATTTTTCTTATTCTTTGCAATCATATGCCTGTAACCTCTTAATCTCCTGTTTCTCATTTGCTGTGTTTTCTGTCTCTTGCTTCTTCCAGCACTCTAACACACTCTTGATCCCATTTATTGAATATTAACTGTATCTTTCCCTGCCTCACTATATACCTCCTTAACACACTCTCCCCTCTCTTCCCTCTTCCAATCGCTACTGTTGCTACCCCCTTATTTGCTCTGTCAGAGGACAGATTTACTGCCAGTCTTGCTGTAAGGCAAGGCGGGGCAGTCGAGGTGTAAATAGCTGGGGAAGGGCCGTGTTTACCTACTGATGAATGTACAGGTCATAGTGATACATCAGACTGACAGCCTATTGAACATCTGTGAAGGATTTGCTTACGTCAGAGCACTGCTGAGAAAAGGAAGCTGATTTTTTTTCCACTGGATTTACCACCTCTGATGGAATTATATACTTTTAGATATTGGGTTGATTTATTGGATTTGAACACAAAGAATTACTGTCAGGGCACAAGGACAGCGGTTCCCTTTTTATTAATCTTTAGAAATCTTTTCTGTGGGGTTTGTGCAGACGGCTGCTTTGTGCATTTGTTGCGGTGTTGGTCTACAACATCTACAAACCTCAATAAATATGGAAATATTGAATGACTTAAGTGTTGTTTAATCACTGAGCCAGCACCTCCTTTCTGTGAAGGCCCCTGTCTTCCCTTTGTTACAGACAAATTAGCTGTTCATGTGCTCTGAAGCAGAAGCCGCTGTATCTGTACAGTGGAAAATTTGTTATTAAAAAATGTCTCAATGTTGCATCACTGTTAACACCCCTGTGTACAGTGCAGCTGTACTTGTTGGCTACTAAAGAATACTTTTGGTCATGACATTTACTCGCTGTACATGGAAAATAAATGCCTATGGGAAAAGCTCAGTGCAGGAAAAAGTCATAACATGCAGTGTCAAGTTTCCATCCTGACAATTTGCATCCGCTTTTATATGTATCCCAGTCTTTAATCTGCCATGCATCCTACATCTATGCTGCACACAGAAAATATACCCAACACATATTTTACACTGTCTATAATTTGAATCATAGTTAAAAAACCAATATAGTCTTACAAATTATTTAGATTTAAAACATTATAAACATTTTTGAATGACTTGAAGTTGTAGCCACATGTCATTGCTGCAGTTTCTTACAATAGTTCTTACAATAAAGTGACCCTCCATCTGTGCTAAGACAAGTTATCAGAATAGTTGGCTCGCACACATTTTGGAAACACACACATTGTTCCTTCATCTCTACCAGTTATCTGCGGGGTGTTAAAAATGGTGTTTGTCAAGGGACCTCACCAGCCAATCGCACAATTCTCAGTCCGTCAGCAGCACTATCCGGGCCATAAACAATATGTTAGAAACAGACACAAGTCAGCGTGAAGGCCATCTGGCTCAAAGTTACTGCTCTTACATGAAGCTGCATAGCAATGACACTTAAAACGTTTGCTGTTATTTATTAAATTAGTGGCCTTTGAAAAGTGTTTGGCAACTATAATTATATTTGTATCTTTTGTTATAACAAGCTTTATAGGTAGTCATAGACATGCAGTCTTGTGGAAAAGGTGAAGTTTGTTTTTGTATTTTATTTGTTACACTGTGAAGTCAAGTATGTTTATTTTAGATTTTAGATTGATATTAAATCACTGACAGTGTGCTGTGCACTGTAGCGGAGAGGTCAATTTAATTACACTTTTCCACATAATAATTGTGCTCCATAATCCTAATTTGATTGCTCTTGTGAGCAACATGCAAAGACAGAAGGTTATATTTTGTGGCTGCCTGCCATCTGAGCTCTTTTTGATTAGCAGAACAGTAGGTGGTCCGGTTTTTCTGGTCCAGGCACACATATTTATTTTCCTTTCATCTAACCGAAGGGAATCCTTTGTAACATAATCTGTAGCAGGTCGCAAGATGATGCAGTCATTTCTCAGCCATACACTCATTCATATACAGTTTAAATAGTGCATACCTTGTGCTCATTGTCATTGTACACCGTTGCCGGTGTTGCACAGTATCTTTAGATAGCATCATTTTATTCTGTATAGAAAAGTCTGAAAGAAAAAGGAAACAAGAGCAGACAATTAGATCACTGCCTGTCTTCCCTATGACATTAACCTGAACATTTGTCTTTCTCCCACTCTTTGTGTGCCAGGTGTAGTGCTGATGGAAATCTCGGAGGTTCACAGGAAGGTTCATTTTGAGCTGGAAGAAAACGTGAGTGCTGCATATGTTTTTTTACATTCACGTACATGCTTCCTGAAACTTCTTGTGTGACCTAACCGCTCCACAATTGTGCTGCCTCACCCAAAGGCACTTTGTCAGCGACACTGTCACTCTCTGAACCTGTTGCTCAGTATATTTCCAGACAACCAAGCAAGCAAGCAAAGCCTCAGATCACTAAGCACCATTTAGTGGTTAACATAGTCAGCCAATAGCTTTCTCTTTGCTCCTCCCACCTTTGATAGATAGACACTGCCCTCCTCACCTACATCAACTACAGCAGCATCACAGCCAAGCAAAGTATGAGAAGAGATTGGACAAGGAAGGGAAACAACAGGTTTAGGTTGTAGGAGCACCTGTTGGTTGATTTCCTTGCTGAAAACAGGGGGCAGGCCTCAACATGCCCTGGGAAAACACCAGCTGGAGCTGTTACAGTTTGGTGCATTAGGAAAGTACAGCCTAATTTAGGCTGTTAGCATGCTAATACCACAGTATTAGTGATTATTTTAATTATAAATGTATCTTTTGATTCTTTTTTCAGTTAGACAAGACAAATGCTCATTAGAAGTTCCCAGAGCCCAAGCTGTCTTTTTCCAGTTGTTTATTTTGTCAAACAAAACTCAAAACTATTTAGTTTGTATTGATATGAGTGGAAAAAACAGCAAAATCTCACCTACGAGAAACTGGAATATACAAATGTTTGCTTCTTCATTTAATACTGATCATTGATTGTTGTTGATAATTAATTTTCTGTCCATCCACTAATCAAAAAACTGTTTCAGCACAATAGCACAATAATTGGTCATATTTATATCGTTTATCGAGCCCTCACAGAACTATCAGATCTTTACACTTTGGGAAAATAAATAAAAGCAGAGTTTGAAAATAATCTGTTAAAACTGAACTTTGGGGCCGAAAAGTTGCAAGGCACTCCTCTGAGACATTGTTGCTAACAGCATCAGTGAGTGGGTTGACTTGTTAATGGACTCCAGTTGGTGAGTCACAGCATCAATTCAGGTCAGAGAAAATCATGGAAGAAAACCTTTCACAGGCTACAATGAGGGTGTGTGTAATGTGTGCGACAAGGTCTCCGTGGTCGTCTGTGTGCGCGTGTGTGTGTGTGTGTGTGTGTGTGTGTGTGTGTGTGTGTGTGTGTGTGTGTGTGTTCAGTAATTCATTCGGCGCTCCATCTGAACAAGGGTTTGGTGATGGGAATGCTTCGACACCCTCACACTAATGAGAGGGAGCTGGAGAGAAAGGGAGAGAAGTCTGTGGGCATTCCCACGCTTTGTTTCTGACTCATTCATAAGCGCAACCTTGGACTGGGCTCTCACCCCCGCACACACGCACTGATACACTTTAAATGATCACTCTCCATTTCTCTCTTTGAGACTTACAGTATTTCCCCTGTTTGGCGCTGACAGCAAAGCTGACAAACTGTTGCACTCCATCCTCCCATTGAGTTTATAATCACCAGTGTGTCTTCTTACTCTCTCCTCTCTCTGGTCCCTCCTCCTCCTCACCTGAAGTTTAAGAGGTTCCACAGGGAGATAATAACCGAGCTGGAGAGAAAGACCGACATGGATGTCAAATACATGACAGTGAGTAGTTTTAATTTATGTGTGTGTGTGTGTGTGTGTGTGTGTGTGTGTGTGTTGTGTGTGTGTGTGTCTGAGTCATCCTGTGGCAGCAGCTCTATATCCATCCCCCTCAACACACACTGCCATATAAAAGTATGTTTCTTTATGTTCTTGTCCTCATCATTGGTTTGTTGTCTAGTACATTTTGCGTGTTTATTAGTTGGCTACAGGGGATGATTGGGAAGCACACATAAACAGGTCTGTAAGCTAAGGGGCCTTTGTGTAAAACATTTGATTATTGATAATTGTCATCATCAGCAGGCAGATGGATGGAAAACTGTGATCACTCGGTGACATGAGGGTTTCATTTACACTCAGTCACTTAAACCGTAACCTAATTCAGTGCTATAATTGTTGTCATTATGTCTGCAGTCATGGCAATTCACTTATGACCTAATGGGAGTAATTGCTGCAACACAACGCAGAAAAAAGGTTCTGGTTTACAGCAGCAACATGAGTCAAAGTGGTACACCAAGCATGTTTTGAATGCTTTAACAAACGTCAATGTTAGTTATTACTGTATAATGTCAAAATTGCTTCTTGGCTGAATGGCTGATGGAACCAATGTAACTCAAAGGGATACATTCACACTGTAAGTCTTAGCGCTCTATTCTGATTTATGGCTCAGATCTTTTGTTGATTTGCTTGGCTGTTCACATTATTTTTTTTAATGTGGCCCATTTCAGATTCCAGTGTGAACAGGACGCCGTCCTAAAGTGACACGCATGACGAATGTTGATCTAGAGTGACGTAAAAGTCACATGAATTCTGATATGAATGTTCACACTGAGGTCACGTGACTTGTATCTGATTTGGACCACATATGAAAGTGACCCACATCAGAGTTGGAAAGATCATATTGCATGTGTTTGTGCTGTTCTCACTGAGCAAACTAATCAGATTTGGGCGACTTCTGTCTGCAGTGTGAAAATGTTTTTTTTTTCTATGAAAGCTGACAGCATACTTAATAATGTGATACATGAGTTTGTACAGGAAGACTTTTTGATATGTAACTTTATACCACTAAACTGAACTTGCAAATCAGTATTGAGCCAGTTATTCTTATAGTGCAAACCTACTCTTGATGTTCTGCTGCCTGACATGGCTCTGGCAAATATCATCATTCACGTGGATCATTCCTCTCCTCCAGGCCACGTTTAAGAGGTACCAGATGGAGCACAAGATGAAGCAGGACTCTCTGGAAAGGTCCCAGTCAGACCTGAAGAAGCTGAGGAGAAAAAGTCAAGGCAAGAACGCCAACAAGTACGAGAACAAGGAGAGCGAGGTGAGATGGATGTAGACACACCTACTGACACGTGACGCAGCATAAATGGATGCTCTTTCTTTGAGACACACGGGCGTGTTCATGTGCGCATAGACATAATCACAGAGACACTCATTCATTCACAGACTTTGACACCTGAGACGCACCATGTCAAAGCCAGTGTAACTGTAGGTGGGGACAATGAGAGAAGTGTCTGGTCTGTGCAGTCATGCAGGAGAAGATGTATGTCTGTTGTTGGCTTGTTTTACACCCATACGCAAGCCTCTCTTGCTCCACCCGCATGCTCACTGATGAAAGTGAACACACACATGCACAAACAAGCAACCAAACCAGGAAGAATGTTAAAACCAGAATTGCCAGATATAAGCTACTGTACAATGATCTGCTTTGACTATGTGCTGCCACGCTTAATAGCTGGCTGGTCATCTGATCATAAACCGATATCTGCGACAACCATTGACAAAATGTGTAAAGTGGATATTCCCATTTATAGCAACATTTTGCTTCCACATCAAACACAAAAGAGGAAGTATGGACTGTGGGCTTTTGAGACATGTTTGTTTAAAGGACCAGTGTGCAGGATTTAGTGACATCTAGAGGTGAAGTTGCAAGTTGCAACCATTTGAATGCAGCTCAGCCCTACGAGAACAGAGGAGAAACTCCAGGTGGTTTACCTGAGTGTACACAATTAATCACTGTGGCATGTTGAGACATAACAGTGGGTTTAAGTTGTCATTAAATGGTGCCACCACACCCTAACAGTGACTCTACAAAATGAAACTTGCAGAAGTGTTTAATTTCAAATCTGTGACCCTGAGAGGACGGCAGCCTCAGATCTTACAAAACCTCCCTACCATCGATCCAGTCAGGCAGACTGTTTTCATGGCTGTGCGTTTATGTGCGTCTGTGAATGTTTGAGAGTTTGTGTTTTGTCAACACAGTCCATCCTCCCTCTATCCTAGCAGAGTTAAAGTGAGAGAGACAACCAAAATGGACTGACACAAGGAATTACATTACCAATATAGGGTTACTGCAGCTCTAACCTTCTACATAGATTTTGACGTATTATTGCCTAGAAACAATTACAACAATTATTAATCACTTTCTCTAGTTACATAAACCTGAATTGCAGAGAGGTCAAGTGTAAAGATCTCTTCAGTCATTTTTACAGTCATTAAAATTCTAAACATTCTTTAGTTCCCGCTTCTCAAATGCAAGGATGTCATTCTTTTCTTTGTCATATATCAGTAAATTGACTAACATCTGTTTTTTTTGGTTTTTGGTCAGACAAAACAAGAAATTTAAACGTGTCACCTGTTGGCCATGTGAAGTTTTGGTGGACAATTTTATAGGCTAAACGAGATAATAATAATAATAATAATAATAATAAAGTAAATTAGTTGCAGCCCTAAATGCTTCATAGCATAAATTACAATGTATTTTAAATAAATGCATATATGTTAGAGCAACTGGACCTAAAAAATAGAAGAAAGCTTACTATTCTTCTCTCTCATTCTTTTGTTTTTCATTCTTCCTTACTCTTTCCCACATTATCTCCATCCCTCCTTCACTTTCTTCTGTTTCCTCTTTCCTTCTCTTCTCTCCCCTCGCCTTCCCACCGAGCCATGAGTCAAAGTGTTCGCTCACCGCTGTGCTCACTTATCTGATTTAAGGCCAGGTATTAGGATTTAGACAACTTACAGACGGAGATGGGCCGGCTAACAGACAGACAGGGTGTCAGGGCTTAAGAGTTTACAGCAGCAGATGATTCACCAGACACCAAAGACACTTCAAAGCCAGAGTACGATCTGTCAAAGAGTGGAGAGGGGATTCAGAGAGCTGTCAGAACTGTCAAACAATTGATTAAAAGGCTCTCCAAAAAAAGAAGCGAGGTCAAGTTATCCTCTCTGTACAGAAGATAAAAACAAAGACTGAGATATGTATGGAGGCTGTTATGTGTCAGCGAGGTAAAAGTGTGTTTTTCTCTTCATGTCTTGTCTCCACGTTGCCATTCCTCGCTCTTTCTTATCCATAGTTCTCGGCATAAACATAGGTTGTCCGTAGCAACAAGCTCACTGCAGTGTTGACAGATGTAAAGCGATTAAGAGGGTGTGTATGCGTGTGTTGAAATAGCATTTTCACACTCCCCCTTTTTTCCCTCATCCACTTGTTTGAAGAAATTATTCCACCCACTTCTACAGTTCTGTAAAGGTGTTCACTCTCTCTTTTTCTTTTTCTCCGTCTTTACCTCTGTTGTATTCATTCAAATTATCTTTACTGGCATGTAATGCTACAAGATTTCCAATTTGCCAAAAGAAAACCCAAAAATTATTAAAACTGACTAGTACTTTAAATAATAAAACGGGCAAACAACCTAAACACACGTCTCTCACCTTATTTTCCATGTCCTCTTATCATCATATCACCTGCAGCTAACTCCAGACAACTGTGTGTACGTGACACAATTTTTCTTTTATAAATATCAGTTGATGTGTTGAAAACAGCGTCTGCATGTTTTTTTTGTGTGTGTAATTATTGTTTATACATCTGGTGTTTCTACTGCATTCATTTAGGTAATCATTTGGTTTGTTGGAAATACAGTCTTACATATTAAGCAGCTAGTGTGGCGCACACTCCTATTCCTCTCCAAGTGAAAGATTTGGGGGCAAGGGTTTTGATTACATTTATAATAAACTCTTGAAAAACCAGCAGAATCCAACTAACTAACATGAAATATTTTTGTAACTTAGAAGTAACTGCTGGTTTATTTATTCATATAGATGTTGAAGAAAGTGGAAAATGAAACCACAGCCTTGCCTCACTCCATGTGTTTGTGAGTTTAAGTGCACATTGATGATTGGTATACAGTCGGTCTTTATCACAAATACCAGTGGCTTTTCATATATATAACAGAATCTGGAAGTCAGCAAAGTAGGAGTATACTTAACATTTGTTTTGAATAGCATGAAGGTGAGTTATTTTTATATATTGAGTTAATTTTTGTGGAATTTGTAATTATAATATTTGTAATTGGATTGTGCTTCAGTAAAGTTTGCCCTGATAGCAGTAGGGTGAGCAGGGTTTCTTCACTGGAAGAAACAGAGGTCAGAAAAAGGGAATTAAGGGGAAATCAGCTGGACACTAACAAGAAGAAGAAGTGCTATTTGTGACTGTGTGTGAATGTTTCCATCATAAATTTGCATTTGCTTGTTTGTTGACGTGTAGCCATGAAGGTAAGCCTGTTATCATAACACCGGGCATTGAGTGAGATATCATCAGCTCTTAATGGACGGGTTCATGTAAGGACTTCCTGGCATTTGAGAGACAGACAGACGGATTCTCATTCGGTCAGGCAGACAGAGTTACTTAGCACATTCTCCTACCAGATTGTTGCCAGATCTCCCTGTGCAATATGTTTCTGGACATAGATTAACACAGATGTGAATCTGAACTTTTTACTCATAAATGCACTTAACCCACCACAGCTTCCTGGTAAATAAAGCCCTCAGCCTTTTATCAGAAGAGGACGGTTGTAAGAGAATAGAGAGGGTGTGTGCCATTGCATTAACAGCCGTTACAGGCGTGCCTGTTCCAGCCAGCTGGATGAGGATGACGATATGGATCTGACGTGTGGCTTTGACAAAGAAAAAACAATGTTAAAAGAGGTTCACTTACTCAGATTTTCTTTTTTTTTTTGTTCTGACTGTAGGGTGTATTGCTCTTTTTGAGACCTGAACGATTGGTTTAATTGTAAACGCTATTTCTGTGCAGCTAGAAAATCATACATATGCCTTGCATGAGCCAGAAATCACATTAATAATACATACACAATTATACAACACATTTACTAGAGTAAAATAAATGGAAATTAAGCTTTATTGTGTTCATTCTTATTCACAAAATAATAATATCAAATAAACCAATACAGTGAAGATGATAAAATAAGTTTAAGGGGAAGGAAAGATCAAAGCTGACGGTTAAGACAGTGTTGATTCACTTCACACACATGCACAAAGACACAGACTAGTCCAAGGTCCTTTCATTAGCCTTTTGACCTTTACTGTCTGCCAGTGTAGATAAGACATCCCCTCCCTACAACGCTGCGCCCTGTCCCATCTTCCTCCTGTTGCTCCGTCCTTTCACTAAACACCTAATGCAAGCGAATCTGTCGATAGCGTAAACTAATAATACCCTTTTTCCCCTGCAAGAGAGAGATTAGGATATTCAGAAAGGAACCCTGCACCTTTCATATCATTTGCCCTTGGGTTTTTGTACAGATCCGCAGTGAAAGGGACTAGATGGCTGCTAACCATGTGGCCAGGTAGATAAGACATGAGGATTTATTTAGGGGGTAGTTTGTAAGACGTGGATAACTAAAAACAAACTGACTTCTATTATATTACATTATATTATAGTGAATTGTGCATATGTGTTTGCTTTCAGTGCCTGGAAACGTTGACAAGCCGTCAGATGGACATGCAGTTGTTCATCGCGGACGGCTGTAAGGAGGCTCTGCTGGAGGAGAAGAGACGCTTCTGTTTCTTGGTGGACAAACACTGCATGTTCTCCTACCAGTTCGCTTCCTTCCACGACAAGGTACAAAACACTCTCATTATGTTACAGGCAAGGAGAACATTTTTCTTTTCCTCGACTTAACACCTTACTGGCTATGTCGCAGTGGTGGTAAAAAGCTTAGACCTTGCAGAGAAAAACCTTCAACAGTTTATCAATCTAATTTTAACAAAAAACAGCCAGTACAATTTATTCCAAAACCCACAATCTCAGGACTTTAAATGCATCGTGTTGCCATAGTGATGGAAATGTGTGCACTGTTTCTACTCATTACTCATGTTTTCTTTTAATGTCTTTTCTTATGCCTGTGCCTGCTGGACAGGCCAGAGACATTCTGACGGCAAAGCTGAGCAGCTGGCAGGACCAGTGCAACGACGCCACCGACATGCCCGAGAGTATCTTGACGATGATTGAGGGACTGCGCACGCCCGTCTCCATTACACCTCTACCCTCTCCCTCCCTGTCACAGCACAGAGTGGTATGATGGGAGGGACAAACAAAGACGTGTGCTTGTGTTCAATATGTTGCTGTGTCAAAGTGTGTCAAAGTGTATTTTCTCTTTTGTGCGGTAGAACACCATATCTTCATGACAGATACCTAATAATTACACCACACTTTCCTCGGACAGAGGAGATGATGTGATTTAGATTTCAGAGCACCTTGCACCATCGGTTTGCGTATTAATGAAGAGAGAATGGTGTTCTTCAAGATGTGGAGTTGATATAAAAATGTCATATTTAATCACGGTTATGCATATGTTAATTAAATTAGCGTAATGTAGCCTAATATTAACATAAATGTCACCCCTTATGTTTAACATGTAATAACTACTGCAAGATAATGATCCTCTTGTATCAGTAATTTGGAACTGGCACTTTTACAAGATTGTTAATTTGTCCATCTTGATAAATATGCTTTATAGGTTTATGTGTAGTTATTTTATGAGGCTACTATCACCAATTGGGTGTTGTGTTCAGTCTAATGTCCTTAAACAGTCAAATATAAGTAACAGCACACCTATACAGCTGCCAGCGTGCTAACGTTATCATGAATGTTCTTGTTGCAGAACATGACCGCTCCCCCGGCCCCAGCTCTGAAGGCTCAGACCAGTCCTCTGGCTAACATGTTCAGCCAGGAAAACAGCACAGGTATTATGGCATTGGTTTTCATTAGGCACATACCACTGTGCCATTGTGGCTTTAAGCTTGTGCTTTTCAAGACAGCGAGTAGAACTGTCTGTTCTTTCCTTAAGTGCCAAAGGGCTTTTTCTTGCTCAGAACAATAGCATCTGCTTCACTGGGGTTTGGGTTTGGGTATCACTTTTTCTTTGCAGTTTGTCGCTCTTTCATCGCTTCAAATAAATGTTAATTATAAATGATTGACAGATGGTCCACCTTTTTTGGGCCAGACTGAAATATCTCAACAACCGTTAAATGGGTTGCCGTGACATTTGCTACAGATATTCATGGTCCCCAGAGGAAACATCCTAATGACATCTGTGATATGCTGACTTGACAACTACTGTATTGGATGTAGCAGGTTTTCTGCTGAGGAAACGGAGCTGCTTAGGCTCTTGTCCCGCCAGGTTGTAACAGACATCTGTAATCTCCTGTCGGGTGATTTGGAGTCTAATGCCAGCTGTCCCCATGTATACAACTCACGCTGGTCACTTGCAAAGAAATGATGCGCAGCAGTGACAGCAACAGGGAGTGGGGGACAGCTGGTATTAGTCTCCAAAATTATCCGACAGGAGATTACAGATGTCTGTTGCAGCCTGGCGGGATAAGCAAAGTTTACAGCGACACTCGTCTTCGCTTGGGATAGGTATGTGGTCCTCGGCTGGTGGACCCTCTACCTACAGCGTCTCCCACAACTCCATTTGACTGCAAATGCAATGATATTTAACTGAGGATGAGGTGTGCTGCTGCACGTCCCTGTGTGTGTAACAGGCAGAGTGTCAGAAACTAGCAAAGACACTTGTCGTCTAGTGTTGTTATTGTTGTATTCTCACTGTGGCTCTTCATTTTTACCCCCTCTCCCAGACCCCAGTGAGGAGAACAATCTTGCCAGGTCTGTGTCTGTCGCCACAGGCCTCAACAATATAGTGAAGAGGCCACGTGTGCGCACCATCTTCCCTCACACTGCCGGCAACAACAGCACACTGCTCAGCTTTGATGAGGGAGACGTCATCATCCTCCTCATTCCTGACGAGAGAGACGGGTGGATGTACGGCGAACTGGAGAAGAATGGAAAGTGAGTCAAATCACACGTGTTGCTTTTGTCTGGAACTGTGTGTTACTGAAGGCTATTATTACATATATAAGGGAAGGCATGTGCATGTGCTTCAGTGTACGCAAGGACATGATTACATGCGCTTATGTATGTGCACACACTCAATCAATATATACCCCTGCTACCTTTTATATTTCAATGAATATGAAAAATAAATGGTTCTGTCTTATGTGAGGTTACTGTAATCACCACCGATCTTCACGGTCTTGTCATCAATTGTTTTAAATATGTTTGTTGTGCTCCTCTGTCTTCCTACAAGTCAGGTGATTGATATGCGTTGGACCGCATTGTCCTTACTGGCCAGATGGTCCCTCGCCTTATTGTTATGCTGACCACGTACACGCACACACACAGCCCTAGGCTTGCAGAGTGCTGCCTGAGCTGGAACACTCACTGATAAGGAAATCAAAGTAAAGTATGGCCTGAGGGTGGGATGTACGATAGCGGACTGGAGCGCGGCAGAGAGAGAAGTTCAGAGTACCACCTGCTCCCACACAGGCCGACACTAACCAAGCCCGCTCTCCTCGGGTCTCTGATGTCTGACTTTTTAAACAGGGATTTGATCTGAAGCCCTTGCAAGTGTGTTTCTGAATCTGAATCATTCATCAGGTTTGATCTTTATCACTACCAAGGGAAATTACCTGGCAAATTTATCCCAAAAAATTGATCAAGGGCAGAAAGGAATAATTTCTGAGTAGCTTTCAAAAGTGAGGCTGCCGCAAAGTAAAACTTTGGTCTTGCTGCCTCGTGGCTGCAAGCGGGGCGAACTAGAGTGCCTAAAGGCTTAAAAAGTGTATATCATCATGTTTATCAGAGCGCAGCATCTGACAAGATAGACTTCGTGTCCCACAAGAGGTTTGGCTTTGATGCTTTTGGGTATCTCGCTGGGTTTCTCCCTCTGTCTTATATCAGCTTTGATAGTGTATCCCGGCAACGCGCCTGGCAACACCTAGACTGATTCAGATACCCACACACACTGTTGACGGACTGAGAAATGAATGTCAGCCAGATAGAGATATATTTGAATCACAGTGAGCATAAAAATGCACTGGTTAGAAATGACACACCACAGCAACATTTGACTAATAGTGACATATAACGACAGGTATTATTATCGTGGTCACTTTCCCTGCTTTTCCCACTGTCTTATTATCCGAGCAAGCTTGTTAGAGTTTTGCTTGCCTTGCCAAGAAAACTGTGTCAGGGAAAGTCAACACCCCAAGTACTAGTGAGCTGTCCTTGAGCAAGGTTTTCATTAATGCCAAGTTGTTTCAGTGAACCTTTCAGTAGCCTGCGGTATCATTAGTGCTGGAAATGAGCATTTGTTCTCAGTGGAAAATCCTTCCCTAAATAAATAAAAGCTATTATTAATATGAGTGTGATTGAGTAAGGTGTATTTTCCAGTCTTTTATCGCAGGTACACGAAGCAAATGCCTATCCTCCAGTCCAGATGTGCAAATATTAACATTTATCCACATAGGGTACAGGCTGATTGTCTACGTACTGATTACGAACAATCTTGTACCATAACAGCACAATGACACACAGTCCTTGGTCTGCGCCGACTAGGTGTTAATCATTTCTTTAAACCTTTTCAGTCTTGCATGTGAATTCTTTTTTAAATGTGTTTTCAAGATGAAATACACCTTTTTTTCATCAGAGGTGAGAAATAGTAGGAACAAAATCGCTTTAATTTAATCATTCGGCTACCTTCATCACGATGTGCTCACTATGTTTTCCAACGCTATATTAAAGTCAAGTTTATTTTGGTGTGCGTGTGGGCAGGAACAAATGGTTGCTCGAAATTCCCTTACTGAGGTCACTGGAAACCTCATAGGTCTCACTGAGACACTGACTCATTTATTAAACCAAAGATTCATCCAAGCCCCAAGCAAACACTCTTAATTGTGTTTCAGCCCAGCAGGTTTGAGATAAGACCTTGACCACAAGTTCTTGATTCATTTAAGCACCTGAGAAAACATGGTCTCTAACCAGCAGGGAAGATTGGTTATCGGGAAAGATAAAATCCATAAAAATAAAGAAATGCTGTTTGATGATCTCTCTTTACAAATCAGAAGCATCCATTCATCAGGATGTCTCTACTGTGATGAATTACAGTTTTTTTCCACCATAGTTACCATGGGCACATATCCACACTGTACAATAATAGAACTATAATATCTCACTGTGGGGGGGGGAAAGAAGCATATCTGCATGTATGTCTTTATCCCCTCTGTCTGTCTCTGTATCTTCTGGGTAAGGGGTGAAATCACTTGAGCTGAGACCAGAGCAGCAGAGCTCTCCACTAATCATGTAGAGAAGCTTTCAGATTGATGTGCAATGAGAGCCGATATGGAAGCTGGCAGTAGGATAGACCACAGATGTAATCATCCCTAACTTGGCTTCTCTCTCTTTGTCCGTGTCTCGCAGGAGGGGCTGGTTCCCTTCATCTTACTGCCGTGCGGTCTCGGAGCCTCTCGTGAATAACAACAGGTAAGGAGACTCCACGTTCAAGCTAACACACACACACACACACACACACACACACACACACAGAGGTAGGTTTCATGTTGCAGCCAGCTGTATTGTTGGCAGTGTTTCCTCTAGTTACTCCTGTTAGAGTGATAACCTTTCTAATCCTACGGGGGGCTCTCCCATTCCTCAACCTTTGATTCCTGTTGTGCTGAAGTCACAATCTGCTTTCAGTCTCCTCAATCATTTAGCCGTATGAAACCTTTCTGTTTATATTTGTTTCATAGACCCCCGTAAAGACTTTTATGTGTCTTTTTGATGTGTGACACTGAAATCTGTGTTACTGAAAGGAATCTAAAATTGGACTTTTTCAGACAAGCTCAGCAAAATATCAGGAAACAGGATGCTGATGAATAGATTTTGCTGCTGATCAGAGAGAGGGAGAAGGTTCAGAGAGTTAACTCCAGCCTCTTCTTCAAAGAGACTAATCCCTGTCGGATTAATTTATTAGATCTTAATGTGCTGCACCTCCCATAGAGACGCTGCCAGCCAACTGCTACTAGTCAGGGAAACAGAAAGTTTAAACTATAAGCAGCGCTGGGGGACATACAATAACAACGCACATACACATCCCTGTCCTTTTGTCCTTATGAGGACCATCTGCTGATACTTAGTCTTAGTCCCATTAGCTTAATCTTAACATCATGCCTAAAAACCTAACCTCCACTTTAAGTTTATCATTATTTTAATTATACTACAGAAGTAACCGTAAACCCAAGATACAGCGCTTGAAGATGCAAAGTCCTTTAATTAGTTTGATTAAGTGGCACCGTTCCTCTCCTCTTTTACCGTCTCCACTCTTCTCCTTCCACTTCATCTTTCATCCTTTCTTTTCCCTCATATGTCTGTGCTCTATTCTTGTCTTTTTGTTTTGACCCCATCCCCTCATCTCTCATACCACCCTCCTCTCCTCTTCCTCCCGCTCCTCTGCAGTGTGTCCCCTGCCCCGTACCGCAGCAGAAGCGTGGTCAACCTCCACCATCAGGACACGGAGACCGACGAGGCGACCATGGTGCTCCCCCCAGCGGACTACTGTGACACCCCTCAGCGCAGCTCCCTCAAGAACAACATCTCGTCCACCGGCAACATCACAAATAACAACCACCAGCACTCCCCCACGCCCTCTGCAGCCTCCTCCTCCTCCTCGTCTGATCACAACACGGTCAGTCAGTGGGCCGGTGGTTTGCTTTATGTGCTTTCATCTCGCATTTTGCCCATTTTAAGTTTAAGTTTAAGCCGTGTATAAAATGTCCCAGTAAGCCTAGTACAGCTAAGCCCTGCCTTTTAAAAGTGATTGTTCTAAGAAATTTAATCATCCCGGAACAGTTTGACCTACTATCTCTTGCCAGCCCTTTCTGCTGTGCTGGCACAGCCCTGCCGTAGAGTCGTGACGGGACTGGCAATGTGAGGCTACGTCTCACCTGATACCTACTGCGGCACGGCTACTGTACCCTCAGCTGTGCAGCCTTATCTTGACTGCTTATGACAGTGTTTGTGGGTGGTGTCAGATGAGCTTTATATGTCTGCCTTGGAAACCTGACCACACTCTGATACACTCTCAATGTCGGCTGATATACACAAAAAAAAAATGTATTGGGACTTTGGGACAGTTCACATTTAGTTTGTAGTAGTTACAACTTCTATGGAGTGTTTATCTCAAGGAACAATTAGCACTCATTGAAAAGCGCTCATTCTGGGTGTTTTCATTCTCTGCTTGTACAGTCAATACTGATTTCATCCTATTTTTAATACTTAGGATTTAGCTGTAGTTTTGCAAGACAAGGCAGCACACTTAGTAGTTCTGCTGTCAATCAATCAATCACTCAAACTATTTGTGTAGCACGTTCCATACTGTTTATGGCAGTTCAAAGTGCTTCACAGATGCTGAGCTGATACTAAGACAGAGTGGAATAAAAACTAGATAAGGTAGATTTAAAAATGAAATAAAAAGATTAAAAAAAAGGAGAAAAAAAACTAAATATCATATTAATGCCTCGTTTATAAGGACGGCTTACCCTCATAATATGTGAGATTTTCGTTGCTCAAGCAGCTTACTAGTATAAAAACATCATCAATGTCATTATTATTAACATCGTTGTCTGTCTGTGTTTACCCAGTGATACCCTACCTACAGGATAAGTGGTTATAGAATCTCTACTTACACTGTCCAAAAGTCGCCAAAAGAGCCAACATAGATTTAGATAGACGGACAAAATGCTTTGAAATGCTTTCAAAAAATAGCTGTCTGAGGATTCATCCTTACATGGCTGTAGGGGATGACGACAGAGGCACAGCTGTAAAGAAGATCGCCTTCGTTAGAATAATTCCCAGAATGCTGATAATGAGTCTCCTGGAGTCTCTTCTGCAGTAAGAGGCAGCATCACTGGGACAGAGACGAGAACAGAGTCTGGGTCAGCCAGTACACACACAGCACCTTTACCCAACACAATGGTGGATGAAGCTTCCTGTATCTCAGCAGCAGATGTTTTTGAATATGTCCATCCTCTCAAATGTTAACGTAGAATTATTATTATACTATATAACATTATTAGTTGTGCCATTTTCCATACGAACTTGACTTCTAGTCATTGCTCTACCATTGCTCTTCCTTTTGCATGCCATGCAAAGCATTAGCCAAATATGCGGTTTTCCTCTACAAAAGCTTTTGTTGTTCCCCCGCGCTGGACAAATTCAAATATGTTGTGGGACATCACGGTCAAATGCATGTTGCCCTGTCTGCACGATCACACACTCACGCACACACTCACACACACAGCACTCTCCACTTCAATACACCAGCACTGCTTCTCTAGTCTCCCTGTAGACTTTTGATCATATTTCACACTTTTCAGCCATAGTGGGACAAACAACAAACCATCAATTACACAATTAGTGTCCAGTCAAGTAGAGACTGATGTACTGTACATGCCATTGAGCTGCATTCATTTCCTGGAGTTCCATATGGTCTGGAATTAACATACTAATACACTGATTTGTAAGTCAAATCAAGTCTCATGTTTTAAACTTTGTTCTAAATCTATATAATTTGTATATAAATACACTTTGTGAAATGTGTTATCATTGCGCCTTTCTAACATTATCATATACACGGAAAACCTAGACAGACAGACTTACAGAAGAATCCAAAAACGGTGAAGTTACACAAATGAGACACACACACACACACACACACACACACACACACACACACAGCCAATGTGGCTATTATGGTCAGTTGTGATGTTTGACCCAGTTAGAGGTTCAATGGTCAGATGGCAAATGGAGATACTTTTCTCTTTCTTGCCTCTGCAGTGTCCATTATTTCATTTGGGCCACAGCCACACACCAGACATACAGTTGTAGGGCCAACGATTACCATGCTTTTGTGTGCGTGTGTGTGTGTGTGTGTGTGTGTGTGTGTGTGTGTGTGTGTGTGTGTGTGTGTGTGTGTGTGTGTGTGTGTGTGTGTGTGTGTGTGTGTGTGTGTGTGTGTGTGTGTGCGAAGTGACCCGCAGTTACCCTCGGTAAATGCAGGTCACTTCCAGGGAAGTTCATCCTCTGTTCATTCCTAGAGACTAGCTTTAACTCTCAAAACATACACACACACACACACACACACATATGCACAGATCCCAGAATAGATTTGCGTGTGGGAAAAAGTTCTCCATTGCTACAGTGGACTATAATACTCTGGTTTATGTTCAGCTCAGTGTATGAGTGGGTGGCTGAGGTTGTGTGTTGGTGTGTGTTGGGTTAGCTAGCAACTCGTGGCTGCAACATTCATGAGTTTTACTGTCAGTATATGTGTGCTGCATAGTTTCTGTGCTTTTTCTCTCATCAAGTTATCTTAGTGCATCTTATCTTATTGTTGTATGTTTCTCTTTCTTGGTTGATAATTCTGCCGTTGCTCCAAATGGAAGTGGACAATAAGCCAAAATCAGAATAGAACAACACCTTTTCACTTGCTTGGTGTCATTAGCAAAGACTTTTCTCAGTGTTAACAGGTTGGTCCAGAGAGGGAAAGCTTAGAGGAAGGGAGGAAGTGGAGAGGAGACAGGAGGGCCGGGGGAGGTGGGGTTACCCTGGAAGGCACTGTCACCATGAGAAAAAATGCAACCTCACTGGTTTGGTGCTTTGTGTTGAGGAGAAGATAACGACTCACAGGAATGAGTATATTTAGAGGATGGAAACCGAGAGACAGAGGGTGATCTGAGAGAGATTGAGATCTACAGAGAAAGTCAAAAGAGGGTAGAAATGCTGTTGACCTTTTGAGTATCAGTGTGAAGGAAAGAAGAAAAACTTGTGTTGATACTCAACGTTTAACAGAGCAGAACATTCTTGTTTTCCCTGGCTGAGCCACGAATTACATGTTGACTGTACAAGTGTATATTAAACTGCAGTCATGGTTTGAGAAAAGCAGAGGCACTAGATGTTATTTGTAGAATAAATTCTGTTCACATGAGTTAAGAAACGTGCCCTTTTACAGGCACGATTGTTGCTATGTGATTTGTAATCCAAACATCTGTAAGAGGAGGACAGATTTGAAGCTCTTTATGTCCTGTGGGAAATATCATTGGTCACATTGAGAGGGACTGGAACAGTGTGCAGGACTCATCAGTCACTCTATACACTTCTGACCTCTTGTGGAGTCTCTGTAGTACTGCAGGTTTATAACTGGATGACAGGACTGGAATACAGGAAGGTCAACAATCACATAAACTCTCGTTGTTTTGTTGTTAAGTCATAGAGTATAATAGTAGTAACATTTATTAGTTGAGATGCAAAAAACTTGGCAAAAGGTTTGGTTAGGTTTGGGCACGTTCATGAATAACACTATAATAAGGGCTCAAATGTATCATGAATTCATGTTGCTCACCACTAACAAGTGATCAAGTCTCTATGACTTTTTGTGATTAGTTCACACTTAATAGATTATAAGTGAAGGGATGTTAATTCACTGTTACTTCATACTTCATTATATATGTGACCAATTAGATGGATTCCTCTTACATAAAAGTTCAGGACCTTGCATTTTCTCAGCCTCTCTGATTAAAAAAGAAAAAGCTGTTTTTGGCAAATAAAAATGTAAAAGTAAGTAAGTAAGTAAAAACCTCTCTGTAACTGTAATCCTGCTAATTGGGTTGCATATCAATGATTGTATGAATTAACATTCCTTATCTGATAATCTATTAAGTGCAAATTAACCACAAAAACTGATAGTGACCAAACAGTGACAGTGACAGTAAGAAGGTTTCTGATGTGTTTTTACAGGAAGCTGTAACAGAAAAAGGGAAACTCCACACTCAGTTCATTTCATTATGTGTGTTTGTGCCTTTAATGGATTTAGGTTGCAGGAAATGTTGCTTTTTCTATTTCCCATTCCCGGTAACTCTTGTTGTTTTGTTGTCCCTCTCATACATAGTCTCTATTTGTAACCAGGACCCAAACGATACAAGATCTGTATGGTTAGAGTAATTTCAGATAGACATCTGGATGGCTTATTTTCTTTCATTTCAGGGTGTAATAGATCTTTCTCACAACAGCCATTTTGACTTTAAATAGTAGGGTAAACACAGGTTTTATCAGGGACACTAGTTAAGGTTCTTTTCCATTCAGGAGCAGGGGGCTGCTATTGTGAAACCGAACCATAGTATCATTGTTAACGCCTGTATTTACCCTAATATTTTACTGTACATGGCTAAATCTCTATGTTTGTCCTTCCTGGGAGAGAGCTCCCTCCTCTGTGGCTCTTCCTTAGGTTTCCTCCATGTTCTTCCTGTTAAAAGGATTTTTATTTCCCTTACCCAAATCGAGGGCGGACGGACAGAGGAGGTTTAATTTTGTACAGATTGTAAAGCCCCCTGAAGCTAATTGGGATTTGTGATTTTGGGCTATAGAAATTGACTTGACTTGTCAGACTATATTTGGCTTAAATCTGCAAAAATCTGCAAAAATGCTTACTACCCATTTTAAATTAAAATTGTATTTCTGTAAAAAAAAAAAATACATATATATCCTCATCTTCAGTGGAAGATGTCCTTACACAACGTGTGTGTGTGTGTGTGTGTGCGTGTGTGCATGTGTGTTCAGAAACAGTGGCACTGACTTGGACTCGTCATAAAACATTACGTGCTTGACATTACAGACTTGAATTTCCAGAAGGTCCAGATTCCACACACCGTCTTGTGATATGTCACAGCACGCTGCCTTTCCCACGCTCGCCCATCGTCCAGTGTGTCCAATCCATCAGCAGCCTAAAAGAGAGACCTGTGTGTGTGTGTGTGTTCAGTTATACTGTACATCAAACACATGTAAATGTATCTGGGGATGGTTGAGGTATTCATACAGGGTGATGTGTCACACAGTATTATAACAGTTATAATTGTTTTCTATATCTGTGTTTTCTTCACAGACAATGCAGCCTAATGGCTTCTCGAGACCTACGCCTGCTTACCTCGCGTAAGTCGTATAACAACATTAACAAGATGATGTGTCTTTCTGTCACTCAGGCATGCACTCACCACTCTTCTCTCCTGCGTTTTAACAGGGGAGGGAACCCGTTCGCTACAGTCAGGCTACGTCCAACCGTCACCAACGACCGCTCCGCACCGGTCATCTGATCTGTCCACATTTCCACGCAACCCCGATTCCCACAACCCCTCTGTCGTCAGCCTCCCTGTGTCATCTATCCCAGGACATCTTTTACTGTCCAACAGATCCCCCTGGTCTGGATGGAACCGGACAAAACTTGGCCAGTACTGAGGGAAAAAAATGCCATTTAAATCTGGGATCTCCTTTACTGCTGCAAACTCTCATGGAAGTATTTTGGGACCATTTTATTTTACAGAACAGATGCTCATATATTTAATATATATATATATATATATTTTCCATGTCTGTTTATGTCCCTCTGTTTGTGGTGGTGATATTTAAATGACCACAGTCTTACCTGCACTTGAGAAATGGATGAATAAAAATGGTCAAAGAAAAATACTGCAATGTATTTATACCATTGATGTTGCTTGTCCGTCGTCCAAATGACTGTTAGAAATCTTTTCTGTTGCCATAGGACAGTAAAAGAATGTACTGTTGAGGACCTCTGCATTTCACCTTTAGGTCCTTTATGAAAGTGTTGCATCTCAGTGTCGATATTAAAATGACGTTGACTGTCGCTGTGAGGAGATTCATTCAAAAAAGGCACACAAGTGATCTTTATCGTTAAGTCCCTCTTGTATATACATTTGTACAACTGATGCTATAAATATTGACCTTTGCCATCTAACTTAACCTTTTGTAGAGCTAGAGGATCATGGAAACCGGACTTTTGCCTTAATGACACATACATACCTACTGTAAAAGTATCATGTACCTGCTGCATTCTTTAAATTGTGGACATGAGTTGTGACTTATTGCCTCATCTTCAGATTGACAGTTTAATCACTACACATGGCATTTTAAGACCACAGTGTGTACACTTGTTCTAGTCTTGGGCCCTCATTACACCCTTAATAAAAAATTTGCTGTATGAAAAATAAAGATGTATTTCTTCAACTTGCTGTTAGTTTGTTATCATGCACACAAAGTGTCAGTTTTAATGTTCTTATTATGCATTCACTTGTTATATGAAATGTATATTTCAGTGTATTTACGGGGAGTAATGTTCATGCATTTGCAAAAGATCAAAAAAGTCAAGCAAGTAAGTAGCATTCATTTTTAATTACAGTAACTTATATATAAAAAGTAAGAACTTCAATCATAAGAGCGTGCGTAGTGTGTTTTCTAAAGCAAGATCTTTTTTTTTTTAATCCCTCCCACCCAGTTTATATCTCTTTCTCTTCTGCCATGGACAATTATACAACATCTTGCTGTGATGGAAGACGTAGACATGGATATACTGCACATACAGGGACATAGACATTCTCAATTGATTGTCTGGTTGGGAAGAATGGGGCAGGGTGACTTGTCACAGAGTAGAGTACTAAGAAAAAATCCAGAGATTATACACATTATTCAGAGATCTCTTCAGCTTTTGCTCTTGGCATGCTTTCCTTGAAGTGAAACTCCGCACGTTAAAGGAGGAGTCTGCGCTTTGACATAAAGAGTCCTCTTAGAGTAGGTAGAAGTACGAAGTCAAACAGTGATTGAGGTTGTAAAGTCAAGGGCATTTCAGATTGTATGTACCTGAGGTCTGCATTGGCCCTGGAAAAAAGCACAACCCAGCAGAATAATCAAACAAACGGTCAGTGCAAATATGGCCCCAAGAAAAAAAAATATCAACAAAAACAGACAAAATGGTGCAGGCTTTCTGTCTGAGGCGAGTCCATTGTTCCAGCCGGGACAGTTCACGTCCAAGGATCTTTACACGTCTTTTTTTTTTTTTAATACATGTTGTATGCGTTAATCCATGTGACACACTGAGCCAAAAAAAAAAAAAGAATTAGAAAAAAAGGTTTGCATTTCCAGAAAAGGCTAATACATCAGTGATCTAACATGGATGCTGTGGTGAGTACAATGTTACTAAGCACAATGTTAACCAAACATACGCAACGTGTGCCAGCAAAGATAAAGAAAAATGAAAGTCGGGCACAGAAACTACATGTGCCTCAGTTAATTCTGGCTTGTCGAAAACATGAAGGAATCTGCTCAGATCCTCTGATAACTGAGCTAAATCTACACAAGAAATCATGACTGATAGAATCTCTGATGATCACTCAGCATGTAGTGAAGGCACTGACAACAGCTGGACACTTACATATGCTAGAATACATCCTCAACTCGCAGATGAAAATAGATTTCTACACGTGCCTCTAATAAAAACTCGAGTCATAATTCATGGTAATATCTTGATCATTTGTTGTACATAAACATAATGGCAACAGCAACATGTGCAATATTAAGAAAACATAAGATAAAAGACACAAATATGCTGGGTTTTGTGTGTGTGTGTGTGTGTGAGTGTGTGTGTGTGTGTGTATGCATGGGAGCATGAGCAGGTGCATGAGCTGTGGTTTGGTCCTTCTAGCCAAATGTGGCGCCACAGTTGGGACATCTTCTCTGACGCAGTGCGAAGCAGAAGAGGAGCCCCAGGGGGAAGAAGAAGATGGCACACAGGATCCCCAGGCAAGTGAAGTCATCCTCCAGGACACCAACTCTGCAACACACACACACACACACACACACACACACACACACACACACACACACACACACACACACACACACACAAAGAGAGAGAGGAAGCATTAGTTAGCACACAGACAATTACCGGACAAATTTCTAAACGGACCTGAACCTCTTGTGGGAAAGTCAAACAACCGCACACAGGGGCAAAACAACAAAGAGATGCTAAATGATCACAAAGGGGATACAAAATGACCAAAGAGAGACTCAAATAACCACAAAGAGACACAAAACGACTACAAAGAGACGCAAAACGACCACAAAAGTGACACGAAGCAACGACAAAGAGACATTAAACAACAACAAAGACACACCACAAAGAGACTCAGATTACCACAGAGGGACACAAATTGATTGCAATAAGACACAAAATGACTACAACAATGTGACCCCCCCCTCATGCTGAGGTCGGACCAGTATCACATGTGATTACGTTACACTAATAACGCTTTACTGAGTGCTTATCTGCGGGCTCGCTTCATTATCTCCAATATGAGCCATGTCCTGACATTTCACAGTAAACAACCACCAAGGAGACACTGCTTGGTTTGAGTCTGACCTCATTCTCAAAGAACAAAGGGTTCAATTTGCTAATTCGTTAGAGAAGATGTGCCCCACAGAAAGAAAGAAAGAAAGAAAGAAAGAAAGAAAGAAAGAAAGAAAGAAAGAAAGAAAGAAAGAAAGAAAAAAAGAAAGAAAGAAAGAAAGAAAGAAAGAAAGAAAGAAAGAAAGAAAGAATGAAAATCATTAAACATCTTAACAGTTATCTATTTTTAAGTCAGAAGAGACAAATTACTAAGAGGATGAAGCCGGCCAGTTTAAGTCTCTCATTGACCATCTAAAAACATGTCAATTTGACACTATCTTTCATTTTGTGCTGATGTGAAGGGTGCTAAGCATTTGGCTTATGATACTTCTTAGTTTTATTGCAAAAAGGTTGAAAGATCTTTAGAGAAAAGAAAGGGCAACCTTCAAAACAAGTTATGAAGTAACTTGTTTTTTTTGGGGGGGCTTCACAGAGCGGTTTTAAATCCAGAGTCACAGCAAACAAAGCGCTAACCTTGGTCTCATGACTGCACCACGCCGAGCAGCACAGCCAGTAAATCTGCTGGAGGCCTTAAGAGGGAATTAACAACTGAAACATAACAACCTAGATGCTGAAGAGATGGGAAATGAAAAGCTACTTGGGAAGGCACTTACTGTTAATGGCATTAGTGTCACATAGCTGTGGAGTTTTTGGGGGTTTGGATTAGATAGAAATAATCTCGATAAATAGGCTTTAATTACGCTGATAGTATTAGATTATGTTGCAGTGATGAACTGGGTTTGACCTTATTAATATTATTCTAGCTCCTAAAAAAAAGGGCTTGCTTACACGGCGCTGTAAACACACGGCCTTTGGTCTACCAGGGCACCGCATCACACCACACTATGTGCTCCAGTGCCATGTCACAACTATTTGTCTTTGCACAACTTATTTGTACGCTGGTGCCAGGAACTGTTGCTTTCACTGAGCAACGAGGAGGAAACATGGCAATGAAGCAAATGTTGACTAAAACTGTACTCGGCTGCTGTTAGTGTCTAAAGTTGTTATAAGTGATATAATACAGGGTAATGTAGGGAAATAGAGGGTTCAAACAAGGTGCTTTGTAGTAGGGATTGACTGGTAGGTTTTTTCAGGGCCGATACAGACACCAATTAGTAAGCAAGGAAACTGGATAACTGATATTTGGAGCCGATATATACTACAACATGTACTGAACTAGAGGTGGCATGTAACTAAGTACATTTACTTAAGTAATAAGTACAAGTTTGAGGTACTTGAGTATTTCCATTTAATGCTACTCCATCCCTATACTCCACTACATTTAGTTAATAACTCAACTTAAAGTAGATTTTGATGCAAATACTTTTGAACTTTTACATTAGTAGGATTTTGAATGCAGGATTTCTACTTCTAACAAAGTATTTTTACCCTGTGGTACTTTAAGCTGTTTGTTTAATATTTGGGGGAAATGCAGAATACCTGTTCTATCCCTATTTTATAGAGCAAAAAAATACATGAAATGCATGAATTTAACAGCCAGATGATAAAAAGAAAGAAGATGTGTCTGTGCTGTCCTGTAGTTCATTTACTCTGTAGTCATTGAAACTACACAGGTCTTCACTACAGTCTTACGTAATTAGTAAGTGGAGTCAGTCAACAGTCAACCTTATTTAAGACTACGGTGTTCCTCTTTTTCCTTTTAGCTATATACTTTCATAATTCAGAGACAGTCATAATGATTGCGACAAAAAAAAAAAGAAAAGTAAAACCAGCAGAAGTGTTATTCATTCACCTTGTGACAATAAACAATGCTGCTGCACTGTTGTGAAATTAAAAGCTACACAACCGGGTTCCTGAACTTCCTGCAATAGATACATAGTGTATTTCATTATTGCGTATATAGTGGATGGGAGAACATCTGACTTCCTTTTGCTGATCCTGTGAATTGTGTCCTGCAGCAACTTTTTGTCCCCCGTGTGGCCTGACCAGCCGCGTCACATGTTTGAGGCTGAAAATCATCTGACTGACAGGATGTTGACTCAAGCACAGTGAAAACCAACATAAAACTGTCATCTAAATCTGAAAGCTGCGTCCGCTTGACATGAGGTCGCAATGTGAGCACCGTCATACAGATGGTAAAAACGCACAAACACAAATAAAGAGCAAAGACATAAAGTGATGATTTTCAGCCTCTAAAGGAGGTTTAGTATTAGTCACAGTGAGCATGAGACCCTCATGGTTAACCGTGTGCTAATCTAGACCTCACATGTCACTGAAAGGCCTCATTTTCATTAGTGGGTTAGGGTATCTCATGTCAGCTATTATTATCCTCATTATTTGCTCTTCTACTATTTGTGTTCTATATGTTGTTTGTGGATTCTTACTGTTTTTTTCTCTTGTACATAGTGTTTTTATTTTATTTATTATTTCCCTACTCTTACTGTTTTTTCTCTATCCACTTTGCTGCTGCAACATTGGAATTTCCCCACTGTGGGACAAATAAAGGAATATCTTATCTTATTAACTGCAAATGTTTATCACTGTTCTAATGTATGTAGGACACTTAGGCATCATGTGATCCTCTGTTATCTTCTCTGTGTGTGTGTGTGTTTACCTGCAGGCAGGACAGCCTCCCACCACCACTACAGAGGGTTGGATGATGGTGTAAGTCCCAGTGTAGGGCTGCTGGGATACAGCAGGGGCCATTTGGGCTGATGGGTATCCTGTGGTTGACAGAAGGAGATGGCACGCCCATTATATTCGTAACTCTACTAATTAGAGAAATTATCATACCGTGTTTTGAATGGAGATTTGAATGTGAGCCTGCACAGGCAGCGAGCGGTGACACATGTTCACGATCAGAGGCTGCACTTATCACCATGAACGGGTTCAACATTGCACCAAAGTAGATAGCAACAGAACACGAGGTAATAAACGTCTTTAAGCACCAAAACAAGGAAAGGAGGTGATACTGCAGATATAAGCAGCTCATTTTAAGGTAACGAAAACATAACGATTCCTATATTATACACCAATATAATACCCTAATACAAAGTCAAATAAAAATGTATCTATTTGTATGAAAATAAGTAAGTATCAACAAGCAAATGTGATATTATAGTGTAAGAGTGTACTGAATATATTCAGGACAGCTGGATTTACGGGTGTTACAAGACTAATTAGTAGCTACAACGAAGGTCCAATCATCAGTCGTGCCTTTAAATGTCTTTTACAGCTCAAAAGGCAAATCTCATGATCGAGTTGCTAGAGGTAAAAGTTGGCTGGAGAAAGTCAAACAACAGGTTATAAAAAAGCAGAGGTGGAGTGTGACTGGTTCATATTGATTTTTTTTTTTTTTTCAACCACCTGTGTACACCTGCAGTGGTATTTGTGTGACACGGTGAACTTTGATGCCATAACCAAACACCTGACTGAAAACCTCTCTGTGACACTAAAACTCTCAAGACCGCACACTTTGACTGTGAATACATAAACCGCTTTATAATGATAATCCGTTTGTGACTACAGCAGCAGACTCATCTTCAGAGGAGACCTGAACCACGCGGTTGAGCAAACAGGAAATTACATGCAATTACAAGAAATGAGCCTTCATTTTAGGACTGGAGCTCCATGTCCTTAAAGCTCTCATGCAATCACAGCCTGATGCTTCCTTCACATAAAGCCGACGTATAATGTACAAGTATAGTAGTTTTGTGCTGCAAATGACTAAAACTTCAACACATTTCACATCATGTTGCTTCCTGTAAAAACACATGATTTATTGTAAATAATCAGACTACTTCAATGTATCGATTACTTATGGTTAATGAGCAGCGGCTTTAAAAAGGCGCATATTTCCTAATGTATGCAAAGACAATAAAGACTGCCGCTGTTGTCATACTGCGCATGCGCCACATTAGACTACCTGATAAACGAAACTAATGACTCTTTGACGGTATTTGTAACTTGAAATCTGTGACACGGTGGTTCAACATCTACCCGTTGACTTAGTGACGGTCGCAGAGCCGAAACAAAGCGACCTTTAATGTCTGAACGAAGGCGGAAGTGGGCAGAAGTGAGACCTCTCTCTCTCTCTCTCTCTCTCTCTCTCTCTCTCTCTTTCCTCGTCTGGGTACTTTCTGGTAAACGTGCGTACGTGTGTGTGTGTGTGTGTGTGTGTGTGTGTGTGTGTGTGTGTGTGTGTGTGTCTGTGTTGTGTGTGTGTGTCAGTGTCATGAACGGGGCTACTTGCCTTGGCCGTCGGGGTACGGGTAAGGCGGCGGGGCCGGCTGCGGGATGGCCCCATAGCTGTGCTGTTGCGGGCCGTACTCATAAGCCCCGGGGACGGCGTTGTAGGCGGGAGGTCTGTCCTGGAGAAGAGGTTTGCTGTCCACCATCTCACCCGACGTAATGCGTCCTCGAGTTGTCTCGTTTTTCTTCCGTCCTCAACTTAAATAAACTCGGCGACCGAAAAAGGGTGAAAAAAAAAACAACAATAAAAAAAACAACAACCAACAACTCCGGCTTACTTGGCTTTTGTTGCCGTGCGACACAGTGGCGACAAAAACAAAGAAAACAAAGAAAAGACGCTGCGCCAAAATGAAACTTCGTCCCTCTCCATGCGCCAACTTTGTCCCCCTCGGCGCAACAACCCCCCCCAAAAAAAATTTACCAAATGTCCACTTTTCGAGACAGGAATGAGCTGAGTCAGTCTGGTAATGGTTAACTTAACTCCATTTCCCTCCCCGCGGTTGGTCCTCTGGTACCAAAACAACAGTAATCTATCATCGCAGCACCTTGTAACTCAGCTGGAAGTGAGGAAGGTTTTCCTTTCTGTCTGGATTGTCACAAGAGAAGAATCATGTGATGAGCTGCTGTAGAGCCTCTGCGCACCGAAAAGGCTTCTTAAAGAGACAGGTCGTGGAAATAAAAACAGGCTGTGGTGGTGCAGCTGCTGCATGCAGAGCACTGCAGAGCCAGCAGCTTCTATCTCTGAAGCACAATAATGATACATAACGCAGTCATACAGGTTGTTAGTTCACAGTTTGAGCAGAGCCTTAATGTGTGTGTGTGTGTGTGTGTGTGTGTGTGTGTGTGTGTGTGTGTGGACAGAAAACTTATTACACTGTGACTTACATAAGGACTGTCCTGATTGTGAGTGCTACCCCTTAATGTTGCATAATATTGTGTTGGCATCCTTAATCAGAGGGTTGCAGTGAGGTCGACAGGATGTTTAACATATCGTCATTTCCTCTTTTAAATGAGAAACAGTCAAAAAAACACATATTTAAATACTTTAAAATATGGGAAATGTCAACCTGTAACACTTAGAAACTATTAAAAATAATATCATAGTCTAACGTTTGATTTATTTATAAGGGTTTTTTTATTTCTGTTGTGGTTTATTCCAGCAGCTCGTGTTTGTGTGACTTATAGTGTCTCTTCTACATCACAACAGGAGATGCAGGTGAATTGAAAACCTAACTCATATATTATGTTAAGCTGCGGTACAGTTTCAAGACTCCCAGAGGGACAATGGTGGAAAGAACATATGATTAGATTGTAAGACACCTGCTGCGTTGTTAAAGGTTGGTTCCTCGTCTCTCCCTCAAGATGTGTAACAGTGTATATAAAGTATAAAGAGTTATATAAAGTAACCTGTTGACCTGTAACCTGAACTCTTGTTTACAATGTACAGAAACTGTCTGACGTGTTATATTTTATAATTTCCTTTATATATATTTATTTATTTTTCCACCTACTTGTATGAATATATTATTTAAATATGTATGTTTATCTTTGTTCAGCTTTGTTGTCGTTGCTTTTAGCTATATGTCTATTTCTGTACATTTAGAGCAACAATAAACAGTCATATTCCCTGTAGCTATGTGTACAAACATATTAACTGGTTTTATTTAAATAGCTGTTTGAGGCCAAATGATCTAATATTGCACCAAAAAACTAAGAGAAAAATCAAACATTTTAATACAAATTGACCCCTCAGCTTCATTTTGTGACCCTTTGCAGGGTTTGGACAGCCACCATACTAAACTGTCTGTATATAAAGTATATAAACCTTTAGTAGTTGAGCTCAGCATAAAATGACACACTACTGCTTCAGGAGTAACATTAAATGATGATGTCATATATAATAATATGTCACAGTGAGTACTTTGGATACTTTAAAGTGTATTTTGCTGATGAAACGCACTTTTAATAACATTTTGAATGCAGGACTGTTGATTAACACTCACACAAGTTGAGGGAACCTGCTTAGGTGACGGCAGCCATTAAAACCTGCAGACTCAATATGACAGATGGTATAAAGCTGAGGTGGGTCATTGATAACACTGTACTAAAGCGTGTCCCCACCTCTGTCCAAGGTGCTGAACCTGGGACCCCCGGGGGTGAGGGAGCCGTCTGGGGTATTACTCAAACACAGCACCATGGTATTTAAACACCAATGTTATTTAATAAAGTTAGCCATAACTGAAAAGTTTATTTTTTTATCCTCCTCTTTTCATCACTGTTGTCCGTCTGTCTGTTCTTGCTCTTATGGACACGGACCATCTCTGCAGTAAATATACTGTAACCATACAAGTAAAACCAAACCTTGCGCTTCAATAATTCATTCGGCGCTGAATAAATTATTGAAATATGCCCTGTCAATCACCCTCGACTGTCGGGAAGAAAAAACAAAAAGAGGCCCCTGCGGTCCAACCAATAGGAGAAAGAGGTCCCACACTCCTGCAGAGTTTCCACCAATCAGAGCAACACTTCCTCCATTTCCTGTTGTGGACTGTGAGTCGGACATTCCTCTGGTCCAGAATGTGAATTAAATACCACCGCCGAAATGTGCACGTATTACCCTCCTCCGCACAGGTGTTGCTCATGAATGCCAGAGCCTCATATATTGTGAGTAAATGGTTTTGTGTGTTTGAAGACCTTCCCCGGGTGTTACCTGACTTGCCGCCTGTTTCCCCTGGAGATGTAAACAGCTTATAGCCGACTTTGCGGCATCCATATCGGGCTACTATCTGTGTTATTAGCATGCTGTCGCCGCTCCTGCTGTCATTTAAGGTGGATGGGTTTTAACATCTTGAATGTGTCCTAGCATGGGCCTCGGAGACGGCAGGTATCGGCTGTTGCACTTGATGTCATGACACGTCTGTTGATATTCCCTTGACAACCGCGGATCGGATACCAATATTCAGGTAGGCTGCTGTTTGAGCCCACAGTGGTTTTGATCCTGGATATAACTGTGTGTGTGTGTGTGTGTGTGTGTGTGTGTAAACTGCAGGCTACTAGGGATATTAAGTTATTCCAGAAAATTATAACACATATAAAAACAATGTAATGTGATTAAATGGCTGCATTTAGGCTACTCCAGGTGTTTTCTCTGTATTTTACAGTCACTGGTTCCGTTTCAAAATAAAGCTCAGGCGGCTGGTTACATTTGTTTAAATTAAACAGACTAAAGGCCTGTTTGAATGAACAGCCGAAGCACAGTGACAGTCAATACCGTAGCGGATTAGTATCAGAAAGATAAAGCAAGTGTCAAGCTGGGCCAGCGAGGGTAACAATAAGACTTCCGGTCATAAATTTCAAATTAAAACCACCATTGCCACGTTTTGGTCGTCACTTTAAAAAAACAAAATCGTGATTTTAAGATAAATTAGGAAGTTTATGAAAAAAATGCTTAGGGAGTATTTTAAGAATGAAGTCAGAATTGAAGACTTTCAGAGTAAAGTTAAATTAAATAAATTTTAATTCCAGCATTATTCAAATAAAGTAAAAACATCTACAATCTGATTTTAACCACTGAGTTCTCATGATATCAAGTCTAACTTTATTGTCGTCATACAATATAGGAAACACGCAAAGAAAATGTATAAACAATTCTTCCTGTTCCTCCTGGTCCAGTCTGTAACTTATACAAGTGTGATGCAGAAATTGAAGCCACCAGAGCACACACACACTGAGAGTGGACTTTACAGTGAAGTAGGAGAGATCTTGTGTCCAACAGGGAACACTTTAGAAACAAACAACATTTGCATATTCATATATTCTGGAATTTGTGATGAGGTAGAAGAAGTAGACGCTTTTTTAAGGATTTTAATGTGGAAATTGTACTTTTTTGTGGAAAAAAACATAAAACATAGAAGACACACATTATTGCTCCAAGCAGACTATTTGTATATGTTGTTGTAAGTATATACTGAAATTTGACACAGCCCATCATATATTTCTCATATGGCATAATAACTCTTTCTTATTATGGTGCTGCTAACTACCAGAGTGGGAAAATAACTATTCAACTACTCAAGTATGAGTATAAATGCAGCCTTTACTCATGGCCGTACCTCTTCAGGATGTCAGTAAAGTGCACAGAGTCATAAAATAAGTACCAGACAGTTTGGAAAGATGAGTGCTGTCTTGCTGTTTCCGTCCAGGGGCCATCATGCCCATCACTCTGCTGTGGGCCGTGGACGTGTATGGCAGGGTGTACAGCCTTTCCACAGCTGGCCAGCGGTGGGAGCGTGCAGACGACATGCTGCTGGAGCTGAAGCGTGTCACTGCGGGGAAGGGCCGCTGCTGGGGCATCGGCTGCGACCACTATGTTTACCTCAACATCACACCCAGCGAGACCTCCATCCGCTACCGAGAGGAGACCTATGAAAACCAGGTGGGCCTCAAGCTGCATGTTGTTACACTCACAATGCTGTACGTGGTCAGTGCTGAAGTGCTGTTGCTCTGCGTGTGTGTGTGTGTGTGTGTGTGTGTCTTCAGAGGTGGAACCCAGTGGACAGCTTCACTGACACGCTGCTGCCCACCGACCGCTGGCCATGGAGCGACGTGACCGGCATGAATCCTCAGCCGCTCCACAGCTTTGAGCTGCCCTCCCGCAGCTGGGAGTGGGAGGGGGACTGGTATGTGGATCAGAGCTGTGGAGGAGAACCCAGCCAGACTGGGGTAAGAAACAACACACACACACACACACACAGTCCTTTTCTGTGTTTTTTTTTCTTGCTTCCTGTATTTCTAATTTTGATTGATGAAATATAAAATGTCTTATCTTCAGGGCTGGGAGTATGCAGTCGATTTCCCGGCAAACTTCTCCCCGGACAAAAAGTGGAACTCCTGTGTTCGTCGCAGGCGGTGGATCCGTTACAGGAGATACATTGCACAAGGCACCTGGGCGAAGGTTTGAACTCTCTCTGGTTATATTATTAGTCAGTGTAGACAAGTTGAGTACGGATCACACTGAAGACTGAAGTCACTGTCTTTCTGCAGATCCCTCTGGACAATCCCAGGAAGCCCCCGCTGCCGCTCAGTGACATAAGCTGTGGTGGTTGGGAGATGAGTGACCAGTCTGGAAGGTATCCCTACCTCTGGGGCGTGTCCCAACAAGGAGAGGTCAGTCTACTGGACCAACAGTCCCGGATGAAGGTTTTAGATCATGTGAAGCCATTGTCTTTCTCTTTTTTTTTAAACCTAAGGTGAAGTATTACACGCTCCATTGTGGTTTTGCTCATTTGCAACCTTGGGGTCTATTGAAAACAAATAACAGAAATCAGAAGCAGTTGATGCAGCACTGAATATACCCTGCTCTGTTCACGTTAGTGCGTATTTTTCCACCTTGACAACCTCCACACAGCGCTGATGGACTCATACATCATACAGTCTAATAAGCAAACATACTTGTTTTATACAGAAATGTGAGATTTATTTTATCAAATGCTGCAAATTTGGATCGCTTTCAGATACTGTAGTAACAGGCTGCTAGCCTTCTGTAAGTGCAATACATTTTTTTACCCAGAAGAGGGCAGCACAACCTCATATAATTTCTTCTTGAGCCAATTAAATCCTGTTAGACTTAATGCACCAAAGTTTTTTGGAACAGAGCTAAAATTATACTTTAAATAACACAGTTTGATGATTTATACATACATCATATACTGTAGTATTGAGGTATCATATAAAGCCAATCATTATGTTATACCATATCCCACGCAGTCCAATCGTATGACTTCATCTTTACCCTGCAGGTGTGGTTCAGGGAGGGCATCCATCCTCGGGTCCCAGAGGGCTCCAGCTGGGAGGAAGTGGAAGTGCCCAAGGAAGTGGCTCAGTTATCAGCCGGACCCGGAGACCTGCTGTGGGCTTTACTCTGGGATGGGAACCTGCTGGTCCGTACTGGTCTCACCCTGGACAGCCCAACTGGTCAGCATTCAAATGATCTTCATTATTCATTTTTCTTCTGTTCTTGTCATGTAAACACAGCAGCAATACCTCTTTACTCTTTATTTATCAAACGTCAAATATGATGTTTAAATGTCATTTGAACAAAAGGCACCATTGAAGCTAGCTTTAGCTTTGTACAAAAGACTACCAGAGTAATGGTGATGAGCTTGCTAAGATGATGTTTTGCGCTGCATCCGTAAACACAGTATTTTCTTCTTCTATCAGGCATATCGTGGGTGGAAGTGGAATCACCAGGAAAGGAGGTTGAAGCACTTCATGTGTCTGTTGGAGTTAGTGTGGTCTGGGTGGTCACTAAAGACTATAAGGTGAATCAAAAACTCCTCACGTGTGTAAAACTGTGAATAGCTGCTGTCCCTTGTGGTGGTAACTTATATGTGTCTGTGTTTATGTGTCTCAAGGTGTGGTTCAGGCGTGGCGTGAACTCCCACAACCCCTGTGGTTCCGGCTGGATCAGCATCGGAGGGGAGATGATGATGGTGGATGTAGGACTCAATGACCAGGTTAAAAGATTTCTGTTCATAGTGTCATAATCACATCTTTTCCATGAGAGCATAAGCCTGATTACTGATTTACCCATTAAACGTACAATATGTAATGTCTGCAGCTATGGGGTCTCTCACATCAAAGCAATAAGTTAAGTGAAGTAGCGTGGGATCATGGGAGTTGTTGTCTTCACCGCCATTGCCGTCACTGCAGTCAGCTTCTCCCAGTTAGGATTCCTTCAGTGTTCATCATTCAGGAGGTTTTTACCGGGAGCTGAATTATCCACAGAGGTTTCCTCCTCTCCAAAAAAAACAGACCTGGTGATTAAAACCAGTAAAAACACTGAATAAAGCAGTTTCACCTTAAAAATCAGTGTTTCTCAACCGACAAAGGAACTCCCGGAGGTTGTGCCAGCTAGAAGCTGCTAATGTTACCTCACTTGTTTCTCTTATAACTTCAGATCCAGACATCCAATGACTAAAATCTTTCATCTGGTTAAAATATATAGTCAAAAACAACCAAGAGTTAAAAAGTGTATGGTAGACAACCACAACACTGAGGCATGTGCAAAGGGGGATATGATGACATTGACAGGAAACCGGTGAAATGCACTATTACCTGAATAGACTGAGAGATTTCTCTGGGTTTGAACATTGTTGAAAACATTTGGGATAATGTAAGTATACAACTTAACAAATAATATAGGTCTAGTGTTTATACATATTTTAATGTAGAAATGTATATTTTTAAAGGTATCATTCAAAAGACAATAGCAAAGTTAGTTGCATAATGTCATTGTGTTTATATAACAAATAACATATAATGTAGGTTCCACACTATAGCTGTTACTACTGAAGTGGGTTATTTGGAAGAAAAACAACTCCAGTCTTAAGTCCATACTCATTCTTTCCTTTGGGGAAGAGAAAAGAGTAAACCAAAACCTGATTGGATGACATTTCAACACATTAGACACAAAAACAACATGACAAGATATCTTAGATTTTATTGCCAATACAATTTTATTAATAACAACATAATCAAACATTTACATTCCAGCTTTTTTTATTCCTTTAAGCCTTACTGTAGCCTGTTTCCACCCCAGCCAGCCTCTGCTCTCTCGCTGCTTCCCCTCTGACCGATTCACTTTACCCTCAACTTTGGATCTGGTTTCAGGACAAGCCAGATCAGGGCTGGGGTCAGGGGCAGAAAGTCTTCCCTCTGTATCTCACTGCTGAGGACTTTGCTAGCACTGCAAACCCACACCTCACACCTCCTCCCCTTCAGTCTCTCACCCCCTGCCCCCCCCCCAGCACTTCTACCTCTAGCTTGTAGTCCGGCCCCGCTGCTGCCCTGTAACACGAGTACAGCCAGACGTTCCAGCCAATGTCCCAGCTGTAGCACCCCAGGCCCAGCCTTATATATCCCAGGACTATATCCCTACTGGCCTGACATATGGGAGATTCCCTAATTAGAAGCTGGCCAAGCCGTCGTCATCATATCCCATATTTCATATTTCAGGGCTGTAATTATGGATAAGGCTTGTGTGAGGTGGCAGGCGCCAGTGTTACAGTATATGGCCTTATAAAGTAACAGTTGCCTGTGACCTAATACTACCTCTGGCACATCTTTGAAGTGAGAATAAAAGTTTTATTTTATTTTATTCAACATTTTGTATTTGTTTTTTATGTTGTTTAATAAGAAAGAAAGAAAAAGAGAAATTATTTAATGGCTCAATTAATAAATCTGAGGTGTTACAGCAAGTGTGTGGGTGTGTGCCGGCGATCGTTGTGTTTCACCTTTGTTGTTTTTTTCTCTCTTTGTCTGTCAGGTGTGGGCCGTAGGGGAGGACCGCGGCCTGTATTTCAGAATGGGTGTGACCCCGTCTGAACCAAGTGGGAGCGGCTGGATCCCTGTTTCTGCCCAATGGGGCAACAGTAAAGAGGTTATTCCACCCAGGTCTGTATGAATAATCAAAACAAGTTGAATCTTTTTGAAATTTCTTGTATTGAAACAGACTTGTTTATATGTGTTTGTTGTTTGATAGGAATGAGTGTGAGTTTAGTGGTCAGCTGACTGAGGCCTCACAAGGCTCAGTTCTGAGCTGCACAGACTCAGACTCAGAGTTAGGTCCTACTGACCCACAAAACAGCACTAATGACACCCCAGTGCTGGAGGCAGCAGCCCCCTCTGTGGTCCCTCTAGGGGGAGCCAATTCACCTACGCCTCCCTTGAAAACAGAGGACACTCCCTCAGCCTCCCAACAAGATGCCCCCAAACCCTTCATCCCCGCCAGTGACAGCTTTATCAACAGCCTGGTCTCAGACCGCGACAAAACGTCCACACCCCAACCGTCCATCACAGAGGTCCCGCAGGAAGAATGCGAGGAGCCGTCCCCGGCCCCGATACTGCCGACCCCCGAGGCTGTAGGACATGATGTCCCCTGGATGAATGTGGATCTGGAGGGGGCAGAAGCAGCTCGAAGTGCCCAGGCGGCGGGGCTGTCGTCGGGTGATGGCAGTGCTGCTGCTACCTATGCTCTGGGGACACTGGAGACCTCTCACGGTGTTGGGGAAGAGGACGGGCCAGTGTGGACCTGGATCTCTGGTGGAGGCTGCGATGTGGACGCAAGTTCACAGATCAGCTGGCTTAGTCCCACAGGTATATGGACAACCAGTATGCAGTGATTTTAAGATTTATGTATTTACTCAATGAATTAAATGAACAATTTTGTTGAATGTTTACATGTCTATATCTGTGTCTGAATGTTGTACACTGTGTGTCTGTGTGGTGGTGGTTTTTACATGTATAGAAATATACTGTTTGTGTCTCTGTGGTTGTCGTCTGACTGGTATGTCTCTCTGCCAGGTCCTCTCACCAGCTCCCTGTCACTGACTCCAGTCCAGTCAGCAGCCTGGAGCGAACAGCAGCAGCAGCAGGAACACAGAGAGGAGATCAGCAAGAAACCGCTGGAGAGAAGCAACGTAAGATTGGTTTTGCTTCACTTAAAAAATAATTGATTAAACCGTATCTCCTCTCTCGCCACATTTTACAAGTCTCCTGTGTCCCTCGCCAGTCAGTGTGGGTGCGTAAAGGTGCGCTGCGCTGGTGGAGAGACTGGAAGCCTCAGCGCTGGGTGGATGTGGGAGTTGCTCTCGAGCAGTCCACCAGGTCTGATGGAAAGAAGGACAGCATTTTCTTTGTCTACTACACACAATACGATGAGAAGAAGGTTGGTTTTGCTGTAAAGTTATGGTTCAGTTCTCATAGAAGGTGACAGACACGGTATTTATTCTAATTCTTGTGTCTTTGTCTCAGTACCTTCATGTGTTTATAAATGAAGTGACGGCGCTGGTTCCAGTGCTCAGGGACTGCCACTATGCCTTTGCTGTGTACACAGCCCAAAGGACCAAACAGAGGTGGCCTCTGGTACTGGCAGCACAAACTGAAAAGGACATGAACGACTGGGTAACAGAAGAAAAATACATACATTTTTAAACAAACAGAGCATGCAGCAAACTCATGCAGCGTAGAACATTGCACGTTACATTGTTGAATTGACAGTTTCCATCATTTGTTTTACGAGTATTTACATTTACTATCTAAGGATTGCTGCTGATCACATTCCCTGTTGTGTCCTGTGAGTTTAGTTGTGCCTGTTGTCTGACTGTTGCTGTGAGATCCGAGGGATCACAGGCCCCCCGTCCAGGCAGGCCCTGTGGTCCACGACCTCAAAGGGGGACATCATGGTTCACGAGCCGTCCTTCTCGCTTGAGGCAACTGCGCACACACTGGCCTGTGACCTCATGTGAGACTGATACCAAATAGTAGACTCTATCTGCTTTATTTGTTTTCATTCTCTCTTTCTCCCCACCTGGTTTCTCGTCAGCTTTTATTGTGTCCACATTGTCCTAACTCTGCTTCGTGTCAGTTAACGTGCTAACAAACTGGGTGTTACTGTCTCTCTGTGCTCAAATGTCTGCTAACAATAACGCTGGGTGCTTCCGCTGTACGGTGCTGCAGGTTCTGGCGGCAGGTCCCGGGTCACCTACGCTGTGTAGAGTCTAACAGTCTGGGGCTGGTGTGGGGCATCGGGTGGGACGGCACCGCCTGGGTCTACAGTGGGCGCTATGAGCAACAGCCCATCCCGGGTAAACATGCCCCTGTAGATGTCTACCCATATGTTTCCCACATCATCTCCTTGATATCGATATGTTCAAACCATTGATGGGGCCTTTTCACCCTTTTTTGTAGCAGCAGCCCAGTCTTTTTTCTTTATTAATCAATCAATTCACATAAAATGTAGGTGTGACAGTTGTAATAATTGCTTAGTTATTTATCAAGTCAACATGAAAAATATTTGTTGGTACAACTTCTCAAGCTCAGATTCTCCTGAAAGACGAGCAATTTTAGCATACTGCTTTAGGCTCTGGTTGATTTCATCTTGTTTTATGTTTATATGCTAAATCCTTATTCAATAACCTGTATATAATCTATAATGAAAAGAATAGCTGCAGAGCTGTTTACTTCAAATGTCAAATTTATGTCAATGTCTATCATTAACTTGCAAATACATGGGCAGGTCACCCATGTACCAAGGCTGAGTGTCATCCTCCTTTCTCTATCTCTCCTTTCCTGTCTATCCAGTGCTGTGCAGTCCAAAAAAGCCCCAAAAAGTAATATCTTCTTGCTAACAGCTTGTAGTTTTGTGTGCAACTGCTTAGCATGGTTCAAGATTCTACCATCTGTTGCAGCCGTAAGAGCATGTGTGCACACAAACTTTTCATTTTCTGGCATTACATTTGCGTCCATGGTTGTGTTTACTTTAGGAGATGTGGTTCAGATGCTTCAGCAGACTGATATCAGGAGTGTTCATGTGTATGAGAATCAAAGATGGAACCCTATGACAGGATACACAGACAAGTAGGGACATTTCAACTTTTACACTGTTTAATATTTATTATTTTCAGTTTATCTTGATCTTTGTATTTGTCCTTGTTAAAGGGTTGTCTTTGTTTTTTCTTTCTGGCTCCAGAGGACTTCCTACAGACCGCCCTATGTGGAGTGACGAGAGCGGACTGAAGGAGTGCACCAAAGGCAACACACACCCGCCCTCCCCTCAGTGGTCCTGGGTAGGTGGGATTGAGTCACAATTCCTCCTGCACACACATTTCCTTTCTTGTTTCATAACCAGCATCAAATTCTCCACCACTGAACTGTGTTTCAGGTGTCAGAGTGGGCTGTGGACTACAATGTCCCTGGAGGGACAGACAAAGAAGGCTGGCAGTATGCTGCAGACTTCCCTGTGTACGTTTCCATCGTTTCTCAGGATGTCGTCTAAACATTTTAAAAAAGAGAGGCGTGCCATTTGTCTGACTTACTTCTCTCCTACAGGACATTTCACGGCCACAAAACTATGAAAGACTTCGTCAGGCGCAGAAGATGGGCGAGGTAATCAAACACACGCTCTCTCACATTTCTTTGGTTTCTCTTAAAAATAAAAAATAAAAGTCTGAATCTTAAAATTAATCACACATTCTGCGTACAGGAAGTGTAAGCTCACGTTGAGAGGTCCGTGGCAGCAGGTCCCACCCATTCCTCTGAGTGACATCAGTCTGATGCCATGCCTGGCCCAGAGCAGGATGGAGCAGATCCCTGTCTGGGCACTCAGTGACAAGGGAGATGTCCTGTGTCGTCTGGGAGTCAGCCCCCAAAACCCTGCGGTGAGAAACGTGCTGGAAAACAAATTCTCACAGTAAACATTTACAGTTACTCTTAACCATTTGAGATTTGCAGTGAGTACAGAGGGACAGATTTCAAGATATTTCTAAATCCTTACATCCTATTAACAATAGTTCCACTGCAGTTCCTTTAAAGTGTGAGTTTGCATCCACGTCTTCTCTGCAAACATTGTTGAAAACAACCCTTCTCTCTAACTCTTGGTCTCACAGGGCAGCTCCTGGCTACATGTGGGCACAGACCAGCCCTTTAAGTCCATCTCCATTGGCGGAGCCAACCAGGTGTGGGCCATCGCCAAGGATGGAGCTGTGTTCTACAGAGGATCCGTTTCCCCACAAAACCCTGCAGGTCAGCTGAAGATGAGAAACAAATGTTATAATCTTATTATGGATCAAATCTGCAAGACAAGAAAGTAGAAATGTTCAAATATGATTCTGTAATGCATCAACATTAACTTCATATCCTGTATGCGGCTTTAAAAGCCAATGAAGGTGTTATTGTTTGAGTCCTTGCACCAGGCAGTAATAGACCAAACAGAGCCAGACTTCCTACACTCTTGTCCCTCCACAGGAGAATGCTGGTACCACATCCCGTCTCCCCCAAGGCAGACTCTCAGACAGCTGTCTGTTGGCCGGACCTCTGTCTTTGCTGTGGATGAAAACAGTGAGGAGCAATCAACACTTTTTTTTACTTTATTATTCTTTAAAACTGGAGACCATTAATTAAAATCCAATCAACCCTTTTTGTCTTCATACAGGTAATCTGTGGTACAGGCAGGGCCTCACCCCCAGCTACCCTCAGGGCTCTGCCTGGGAGCTCATCTCTAACAACGTCACCAAAGTTTCTGTGGGACCGCTGGACCAGGTCAGTGTTACTAAAGCCTCCATTCTGCAGAGTAGACAGGAAATCAGGCCGGGAGATCAAGTTGAGCAGATATTATTGTGGGATCTGACTTATCTGAGAATAGACCATGAATGGCTCAGTACTGTTGTTCTCTCCAGGTGTGGATCGTAGCAGATGGAGTTCCAGGTTTCCCTGCTGAGACTCCAGGAGCTGTCTGCCACAGAGTGGGGGTGGGACCCATGCAACCCAAGGGCCAGTCCTGGGACTATGGTATAGGGGTGAGTCCATGATGTATACCCCTTTTAATTCACATTTCAATTAAACAGTAAACATGCTTTTGTTTACCTTATATTTATATTATAAATAATCATCATAGGGGCACCGCAGCATTGTTTATGTCTGCATTTGGAAATAATATTTGCTTGTAATGTTGGCACTCAGGATTAAAATAAAGCTTGAAAGATATGTATTTTTTATTGTCAACAAATCCCATGATAAGACCAACAATGTGTTAGTCTGTCACTGAACACTACCTGCTCTGTCTGTGGTACTCGGCCCCAAGCCTACTGGCTCCTACTGCAGATTTAAATCTTTATAAATATTTATACATATGCATGTTTTTTTTTTTTTTTAAAGCTCAGGAATGTCCTAAAATATCTGGGCACTGTAGTTTTTAGCCAACTAACACATGTTTGTTGCTTTACTGAGTGTTTAAAGCAGCAGGACAGGGTATGTGTGGGAGTGGCTCAAAATAAAACAAAAAAAGCCCATGTTCATTATAATGGAGGAGCACGTCACCCAGGGCAACACTGTGGCTCATTTATGTGTTTTTAATAGTTTCTAGGCAACAGTTTATCTAAATTTGCAGTATATTGTGGCCGTGTTATAGTGCCCTCTAGTGCACAGTTAAGTCATGTGCAGAAAATGTAGACAACAGTAGAAGTATTTTCAAGGACTGACAGTCGTGTGTGTGTGTGTGTTTGACTTTCAGGGAGGATGGGAGCACATCAGCGTGAGGGGAAACTCAGCAGAGGCTCCTCGCGCCCCCCATCCTCCTCCAATTGGATCCCCACGCAGCCCACTCCCTCCGCGGCCTCCGAGTGAACAAGTGAACGGGAACGCTGTGGGTGTGTAGCCCCCTCCTATCTCCTCCTCCTCCTCCTCCTCTTCCATCCCAGCCCTGTTTGTGCCTGGATCCACATTTGTTCCTTGAGACCGTTCCCACAGGCCCTCATCCCTTCATGTAAAGGGAATGCACAATCATACCACTAAGTTTATACTGTATAGTTTGGTTGGATTTGACACTCGATCGATGGATGAATGTTACTACCCCGGGGGCTCGTTTCCCCTGGGCAGAAATCACGTCAGTATGCAGTGACGACAAAAGAGGAAAAAAGCATTTAAGTAGGAAGGATCTTGATGTCTTGTGGGATCAAAATTTAAAAAGCGAGTGCATGTGTTTGCTCTTACTCGGCTTTGGCTACTGGGTGTTTTGGGATCTAGCAATAGCTTTTATTCTTCTATACAATATCCTGTGAAAACCTAAGAGGGTGGGTCTTTGATAAAGGGCTAAGGCTTGGGTACCAAACTGACTCCCCCAGTGTAGCCTACATTGTCTTGGTTTCTAGAATCTTGTTTTGTTTGTTTTTGTTTGTTTCTGCTTGTCATACATTTGCATGTGATTTTATTTATTTATTTATTATGCATTTGTTGGATTTGTTGTTCCTCCATATGTTTTGGACTATTATGTTTGCAATGGAGTGTTTTTCGCCCATATTGCTACGACGAGCCTTCCTAAAATTGGAGGCTTTTTCTAAAGGACATGCGAAATTTGAGATCTCCAAACTTCAGGAAACTATAATGCTCTTCAAATTACAACGTGACCGCAGAGAAAAATGTGAAAAATCAGATCCACATTACCAGATGATACCTCTCTATCAGCCTGCAATAAGGAAAGTTCTTCCTGTTAGTATTATATCCATCCACATTAACTGCTATGACCATGATATGACCGTGACTGTTGAAACTGTGCGGCAGGTCTGACTGTCGCCATGACTTGGCATTCATCTTACAAGGGCATTGAAATGTGAAATAAAAGTCTAAAAATAATACTGTATGTTCTGACGTCATTTCTGTCCGTCTGGAAAACAAGTTAATTGCCGTTTGTGGGTTGATCACCTGACTAGTTTTTCTTTTAATAACTGCAAGGATGAAAGGGTTTCACTGTGAAACTGTATTCACAGTAAGCTTGATATTCATGGTTACATAGTAGGCATCTTAACCACTCAACCACAACAAAATGCCTATTCTTGACCTTTGGGACACATCTGTGGTAAATGTTAAACCCGAGGAAGTTCCATTCACTGAGGAAGGCTCTGGGATTCAGTTTAAAGCTCTAAGCCTATTAAACAGCCATGTGCTGCTGTAGGATTTCCATTTGCTTTAGAATTAAACTGCCCGTTTTATTGACACGTGCTACAAGATAAATAAGGTTTGTGCCCATGCAAATCAAACAGCTCAAATCTGATGACCTCCTGGCACTGCGTACTGGGCGTGTGTGCATGAAACAAGACTTGGCACACAGTGAGGAGTGGGACATTCTTGGTCTGTAGGGAACTGACTGTATTCTGAAGAATTGTTGCTCCTGTGTTATGTTTTTCTATCCATCCTGGAGGGCTGGAGCCTATCCAAGGATGCACTGAGTGAAAGGCAGCAAGGACCCAGCCTGAGTACATGGGACATGCACTCTACCAGGTGGGCACACTGGCAGTTGGGCGCATAGGCACAAGCTGTCTCTCCAGTTGCACCGATACTCCACCACAGCAGAGCTCGCTCACCTGAGGCCTCACGAGTTACCCCTTTCACCTGCCCAGTGCTCGTCACCCTGGCCCACTCCAACCCAGGGGTTACATTTCAAAACTGTTTTAGAGCCAAACTATATTAAATAGCACCCACACTAGTGCTGGCTCCTTCCCAACACAGCGATTACATTCCACAGCCAGAGCCAGTTCTTGTAGCCAGGGGTCATTCCTCGCTTGGCGGGAAAACTGGCGGGGCACCAGACACAGACTGCGCAGCAATCACACTGAAATTAGAAGTTCATTTGCATTTATTTTCATATTAAACAGTGTAATTATAAACATTTCATTCAATTACACTAAGCATGATAAATATGAAGTAAAAATATTTTTTAAAATCTACAAGTTTAAAGGACAGAATGATTTCACATCTGCTTTAGTGTCTTAATTTAACTGCTTTTAGTCGACGACTGTGATATGTTCCTCTGATCAACTCAGCTTTAAGTTACAAAATGAAACCTCATACCTATAACTCAGTTACATAATTTCCCATTTACAGACAGAAAAAATTAACATTTACATACATCAGTACAGTTCAACATTAAGTTACATTTCTCAAATGTGCAAGATTAAGCAAATGTATACTGTAGTCAAATAAAACAAGATTTCCTTAAATAAATGTTCAAGTTTAACTGAAGCACAGGATGCTGGTTTTTAAACAGAGGTTAACATTGTCTAAGATACTGTACAGTGCCTTCTGTATGGGGTGGGGAAGATGGTCTTAATCTACTACAGGTGAAGTGACAAAACCATTAGGTGTTTGAGTCATTAAAAAGAACGAACCATACAGCAACTGTATAACTTACAGTTTCAAAGAACATGTTTATAGCTGTACATGGAAACCTTGAAGGGAGCATGTCTCGCTCCACGACTGTTTGCATTATGCTTCACACAGAAACATCCCCAACCGACGCTGTACAGCCACAGAGACGATGTATGGCCCGCAAATGATGAGATACAATAATGAAATGCTCAAAATTGCAACTGGACAAGGGGTCCTTAAGGAAAAAAATGCCATCTGAACAGGTTAATTAAGTTTGACACAAAGTGAAATTTAAAAAAAAAAAGGCAGACAAACTCTGTTCATGACACTGAAGTTGATAAAGCAGCAGTGTTTTTTTTTTTGTTCTAGTAGTGAAGCTTCAAGTCCCTGCACATTACTGAAGAAACGTCGTCACGTTCACCAGGTCTTCCTATGAACTCAAATTTCAACTAATTAATGAAATTCATTGCACATTTGTTTACAAACAGCTCATTACATTTCTTCATTCCGACATTTAAAAATAAAAATCTCCAACTTTTTACACAATCTCACGAAACGTGTGATTTTTTAATTGTTGTAGTGATAGTAAATGGAGGAGTGCGGCTGTTTGTTTTACAGCATCACAGGCACTGCGATAAAAACCCAGTGACCAAGTAATTGAGACAAAACTACGCGAGCAACTCCCTCCGCATTTTCAGAGCATAAAATGAAGCATTACAAAATGAATACGTTTTTCCTCACGTGTCTTTCAGTTGGATAACCTCTGTAAGGATTAATATGACAATCCTTGTCTAATAACACCAACCATTCTCACTGAGATGTCTCAAAAATATGAAACTACTTAGTGTAAATGTTCCTCTAAAACATAAATAAAGGAACATACAGTGTGTCAACTCTGTAGATGAGGGATTTTCAGTTAAGGTAGTTATCCAATCATCCTATGCATGGATGGCGCTTCCTAAATATCAACCCCTTCTTATTCAATTGCTGCTACAGGAGGATACCACACATAGCTTCTCTCCAATTAAGAGACTGTGACTAACACCCAACAAGATGTTACCAAAAAAACCAAGAAATCAATCTTCCAAAAAAAAAAAAAAGGCAACCACTGAAATAATCGCACAACACGAAGGAGCAAAAAATGAACAATGTTTGAGAAGAAAAGCTTGAATCTTCAGTTTTAGGTCTGCTGAAATCAAAGAGCTTATTCCTATTTGGCTGTAGTGATACATTTGCCAGCCCAGTGTGTTGAAGTCTTTTTTTTTTTTTGGGTGATGCAAAAGTCCTGCAAAAGGAGTGCACTTCGACACACAACGAAAAGAAGCAGCCAAACACCTGGAATGCGCTTGATGAGTCTTTAAAGCAAACATTTAGAAACATCTTTTTTTTTGTTTTTTTTGTTTTGTTTTTTCATCCAAGAGGAATTGCACTGAACTGAAATCACACACTGATGTAAGCTGGAGAGGTGATGTGGCACAGACCGGGACTGGGCCTCGTCTGTCTTATTTGCTGAAAGTCAGTTTGCAGCCGTTGTTCTTGTGGCCATCTCCATGTAGGTAAAGAATTGTTCTGCCTGAGAGAAGCATCCACGGTTTGCCCCACAAACCGTGTCATCTGTCCTTAATTCAGCAGTTCCTCCATTCCCAAAAAGTGCGAGTATAGGTTCATTTTTCAATAGCGCGATGATAAATGGTCCCTCCATTTATCATACTAGTCCTTTTCTCCATCTTCGCTGCTTCCTGGGGTGAACAAAAGAGGATGAAGAGACTTTAAACATGTGTTTGACTGACTGATTGATTAATATTACTCAAGCGTGACTATATAATGTCATTATGAGCCCCAATGAGCATGGCCTCGTTTGGTAGATCTGTGAGAAAAGTGTAAAAACAACATGTGCCTTGACATGGGTTATGTGCTGGACTATGGACTCTAAGTGTTGTTACACTCAGGTTGCCAGGCAACCAGTGGAGACTTATGCTGAGCTGCTGCTGGCCATAGCTTCATATTTACCGTACTGACACGAGAGAGGTGTAGATCTTTTAATACGATTTTCAGCAAGAAAAGCTAATAAGCGTGTTTCCCGAAATGTAAAACTATTCCTACGAACCTGTGTGACAACCCAAACAGGTTTGGTTTGACTGCATGCTTAACTTACCTCCTTGTTCGATGTCAGAGTCTGTGAGATGTGTGAGGGAGAAGCTGGCAATGCTGGCCGGTGAGATGGAGAAACGGGAGTAGTTTGAGGAACTGGTCCAGCTGGGCTCTAGCACGCGCCCTACTGCCGGGGGTGGGGAGGAGAAGCGAGATGCTGCAGATGAGGACATAACCTTTGATACGGGATCTTTATCCGTCTTGGGCAGGAAGGCAGGTGTGGGGGAGGAGAAGTCATCATCCCACTCAAAACCACCACCTGTAGGGATGAAATAAACGACTCTGGGTATATAATGGCAAAGACTATTTCCAGCAGCTGCATACATTTAATGGTCTCAAGCATTACCTTCTTCATCTGTGGAGCTTTCTGAGTTGGTGAACCGGTTCAGGTAGCTGGCAGTGGGCATCGGGCTGCTGAACTCTGGTACCTGACTGTTTGAGCCTGAAGAGTGGTCACCCAGTTCCTTAGTAGGAGTCTCCTAAATCAGAATAGAGTTGGACTTTAATTAGAATGGCCACACAACAGTGGCTTACTAGTTACACCTACAACAAAAAAGAAAAAACAATACTTTACCTGGTCAAAAAGGTAGACTGTGACATCGTCGAAGAAAGACACAGCTCTCCTAGAATTTTCTGCATTGCTCCTTGGGGGAAACGGGGAAGATGATGCCTCGATATTCAGCGTGGTGGGTTTCAACAAGCTCTTCAGGTTCTTCGCACTGCTGTCGTCTGAGACAATGACTGGCACCGTATGCACAACGTCATCCTCACTCTCTGAGCTGGAGCTGTGTAGCTGGTATGCACGGATGTCATCGTCGGAATCATCGCTGTTCTCGTCCTCCTCGTCCGCATCTACGCCATCCTCCTGTCCATCTAAACCCGAGCCATCCCGCCTCCCGAGGTAACGGCCCTCCATGTCCGGCTCTTTTATTTTATGACCGTCACTCGCGTAGGTCCTGGTTAGTTTAGCATGACCTGTGCTCTCTGGCGATGGCTCTGATGGGGTAGCAGAAGGAAGTGGGGTTGAGGTTTCCAGATCTTCTGATGGGTCTGGCTGATCAGGAGACGTTACGTCCTTTAACACCTCTGGTTTGTTTCCATCTTCTTTGTGATCGTTGGTTGACTCCGCCACCTCCTTCTCACATTTCTCTGTGAAATCTGCCTTGGCTAATATGCTCCCAATACAAGGATCGGCTGTTTCTCCATCTGCAGGTACTTCAGAAGCTACAGAAGACTCTCGCTGAGAAAGTAAAGAATCTACATCTCTCTCCACATTAGCCTCCAGTGTTGGACTTCCAGCAGCCCCGCTGACCACGTCGGTAGAGTTCCTCAGCCACGTGACTTCACTAGAACCTCCCGCAACTGTTTCTTCAGCCTTCTTTTCAGGTTCTGATTCGTTGTCTGAGAAGTAGGCGGAGTCTCTGTAATTGCTGCCCATGATTGGCTCTTCGGCGGGGGCTACTTGATCTGGTTGTTGGACCTCACTGGGATCCTCGTTGTGTGCGTCGAGCACACCCTCTACTTCAGAGATGATGATTTCTGGTGGAACCAGATTGGTCGCAGCTGTGGGCTCTTCTGTCTCCTCCTCTTCTTTGGCAACACTTAAGCCGTTTTTGACAGGGGAGTGGTCTTTGACATTAGGCTGAGAGTTCCACTCAGGAGACTCCAGGTTCTCTGTCTCATACCCACTGTCTGATATTTTGTACGGAGGCTGGAGTTTGTGTTGGGCTATTTGAGCACTTAGTTCTTCTCCTTGTTCACCTAGCCTGTGGATATCCAGAGAGTCTAAAGAGTCTGGCGTCTCAGCTGAATTATCTACAGTTGGTAGAGTGGTGGACATACTGTCTTCCAGTAAACTGTCCTGGCTGATCTGGTCCAAAGATGGCCCAGAGACCAACAGAGAAGATCTGTCATGAGGACCCCCACTGGTATCCATAAAGGATTCTTCATGGTCAGACAGAGTGGTTTCTAGTTCTACATCCTCAATTAGTTCGCTCAACAGATCGTTACTTGTTAGGTCTTCATTGTTTCCATCGTCTGAGGGCAATGCTTGGACTTGCAGGTTTTCAGGAATTTTACCTTCTGTGGGCTGAAAATTATGCTTTGAGGTTCCAAAGTCGTCTTCAAGGCTGGGAATTTTGGCATCTGTGCACAATAAGTCTGTAGTGGCACTTTCAGAGAATTCAGGGGAGTGGTCATCAGTTTGACTAATGATAATCTCAAACCTCTCTGAGGTAGAATCAAAACCAGAGTCAATACCTCTGTCTGAGGATTGCAACAGACCAAGGTCTCCGGTGGAAGAACTGTTTCTAACTGGCAGCTGGTTGCTTGTGTCATCTTCTGTGACCACTGTAATGGAAGGCACCAGTGTTTCATTTTCTACCAGAGACTGACTGAACTCCCCCAAACTGGCACTTGGAGAGTCTAAAAGTTCCTGTCTTGAGGATGTGCTACTTGCTGCAGGTTTTAAATAATAAGTGTCTGTTGTGGTTAAGCTGCCTAAAGCCTCAGGTTTGTCCCAAGAACGCATTTTGAATGTGTCTTCTGGTTCGTGGGCTACACCAGGTAAAAGAAAATTATCCTGTGGACTTGAGAATCTAGATTCGTCTTTCATCAGGCTCTGGTCTTTGAGAAACTTGAAGTTGTCAGCTAGTTTTTCGTTGTTCAGAAGCCTCTTCACATCTGTGTTTTCCCCCTCCACTTCCACAAAATCCACTAGGTGAGGAGCTTCTGAACAATCCCCTAAAAAAGAATCCCCATAGCTTTTATCTGTATCCACCTCCTCAACTTCTAAAGGTGCACCTTCATGGAAAGGGTTCCCATTGCGCTCTGGAAGCTCCATGAAACTCTTCCTCCAGGAAGGAGAGTCCTCTTGCTTGGACCCCCCTTCAGTGAAAATGTTGGTGTGGTATGGACTGTCATTTTCAAGAGAAGACCAGATGTGGCTGTCTGGTAAATAGGAATCCTTGGAGTCAATACTTTGGTGGAAAAAATCAGCATCGGTACTAGACTCATCCAGACGGACATCTTGGAGAATGACAAAGTCTTGCCGGCCTGAACTGAAGTCCATGTCTTGCCCTCTGTCCCCATCGTCCCCAACAGTGCTCTCCCCTTGTTCTTCCAATTGTATGTAATATTCATTTCCATTACATGGCTTTTGTGCATCAAACACTGGTACAATCCCAGGAATTCCTGATGGAGTGTTACCGCTTTCTTTGCCTGGTACTCTGCCTACAGGATCAGGGAAATGAGCCTGGATGTCTTCACTGGAAACAGGAAAAAACATGCTGTGATAATTCAAAGTTGTGTCCATGCTTGAACGTCCATGGTTGCCATCATAGTGGTCGTGCTTGGCTGCCTCCCAAACATACTCAAAGCTGAGACCTTTGCTCGTTTCGGTAACAGTAAGAACTTCATCGATCTCTTGTCGCAGGGCATCATCAGCAAACTGTTCCAAGATTGGGAAAGAGGAGTGGCTAACAGTGGTCTGCCGTGCGGAAGGGTTAGGCTTGAGAGCATCCCACCGTTGCTCAAAATCTTCTTCTATGTCCTTCTGTCCTTGCATGCGCAGGTAGATAAGCAAACGGTGCACTTCCTCTGCTGTAGCCCGCTTGTCTGGAGACAGCCAGCAGAACTGCAGGACCTCGTACCTGGAGTTATAGGAAAAAAGAGACTCTTATTGGATACATTATAAACAGCCAAATAAGTTCAATAATTCAAACTATTTGTATTTAATTTGCTCTAATAGACATATTCCAAAGACTCACCATCTGTCAGAATAAGGAAGCTCTAGTTGTGGTTTAAAGAGTCTGACTTGCTGATCCTTGATCACATGATTGAGGACCTCCCGGTCAGACAGATGTGGGTACGGCTGTGCAGAATTCTCAAAGAGCTCCCACAATGTGACCCCCAAGGCCCTACAGGAAATTGAGGATAACATAGCTGTTGCAATTTACTGGAGGACAAAACTAATCCTGCACACTCCAAATTCAGCAAATGATCTTAACCTCTTGACCTAAAACCATAAAACAACTCAGCTGCATTGTTGTGAATATCCAAACCGACGAAAACGGTACTGTAAAATAAATAAATTGCATGATTCATAAAGCAGCTATGATGGCAAGAGCCAAACTTAAACACTTCACTTATGATAAGCGAGTTGCCCTTTAGATGGGAAACATTTCAAATCTCAATATATTCTTGTTTCAGGGGTAAAATCTGGCTCTTGTAACTACAACTATCTTATGTTACTCTGCAATTTATGACCAGAAAGCATTTGGGCAATGAGTCGTGAAGTCAGGGAGGGGCTAAAAAGACTGTACAGTGTGGAGAGATGCTTAGTTGGTGCAGTGTCAGTGTCTTTTCCCCCTCTTTTGGAAATGATCCAGATTGTTAGGGATTTACAAGCTCTGGAATTAGCAGAAAGGCTTTGTTTTCTCAGCAATGAGCCAGAGGTGTACTGCAGAACAATTTACTGTCATACTCATTCCAAATATACTTCACATGTGTATTTGGATTACATGACTCTAGCTGGAGTATCTTTCATACCTTCCTTATTACAATACACAATAAGGCGGTATACATATTTCCTTTCTCTCGGTATAATTCAAAATATATATTTAAATTATTCTGGTTCGCTCACTCATTAGGATTAATGTTTTCTTTTTAAAATGTCCTCTAGTTTCAGTTAAGAGCTGCAATCTGGTACCTACCACACATTGCTGGGCTTAGTCTGCTCCATAGTAATCACACCCCCATGGCGCTCGCCTACCAGCTCAGGAGCCAACCAGCGAAGAGGTGCGAACACATCATCCTCTGTGATGATGTAATCCTCCTATAATAACATTGTAAAAACATTTCAGTCACACACAAAATTAGTGAATTTTACAAGCTGTAACTTTCTAGAAAACACGGCAAATAATTGTGCAAACACCTCTTCATTAAAAGCACTCTACAAAAGGAGAACTTTAGCTGTTTATCAGCTCTCACTGAGGCAGTGCACTCTCACTTTTTTACATAAATAGATTCAGTGCGTGACCTTATGAGTATTAAATTCAGACAGCTAAACTGATCAGAAGTATTAAGGAATCAACAAACAGAATGCCTTAGGACATTTGCAGTGTGTCAAGTTACAAGAGAGGTTACAAGAGACGATATTAATTCAGCAGCAAAATATACTTATATATATAATTATACTATAATTGATCAAAAGCAAACAGCCTACGATGAAAAAGGTCTATTTTTTTGTCAGGTCATCTGGAACTGGTTGCACAAAGGCAGACTTCAGACAAACAAGTCAGATTGGAGTGCCAGCACGTGGGGGGAGAATATGGTGTTGCTGCATACAGGTCATGGATGTATTATAAGATCAGCACCAAGTTATTTTTACAGTGTTTTCTGCAGCTGTCTCCAGTGTTTCAGGCTTTTCTCCACCTTTCAGCACAGAGATTGGTCCATAATGAAAATTGAAGGGGGCGACAACATCAGTTTGGCAGCTTTAGTTATGAGGTGCACGCACACAGAGCTCTCCAACATCACAAACAAACTTTCATATATATGCTTTTACTTTTCTATAGTATTGTATCTATAACATAATCAACTGAAACGCACATCAAAATACAGCTTTTAATGTGACTCGTCCGAAACGTGTTCTATTACAATAATGTGGTTCAGGTGTCACTGAAAGTATCTGGGGCGATACATCAGTACTGATGTTGTGTTGGCTGTGTCCGATTCATTCCTTTGACTTTATTAAATACTTGCAGCATCAGCAAGCAGCAGAAACGATAAGTGTGTCTTTAAATTGAGAGTGTGGCACAATAGTTGCAGCTTCATTAACATGCCAACCAGGATAAAATGTCAGTGAATTCGAGTAAAATGCAGCATATTTTGCTTATCCTGTGTCACATGAGGTCCCTTGGTAACACCAGTCCTGTACGGGCTTAAGAAGGAAGTATTTGTTCTCTTTCTCTGTTCTCGTGGCTCTTTTTAAACAAAAAGACATGGCTATCGTGCTTCACACTACAAAACTCTCATTCACGTGTGCCTTGTGGCAGAATCTAACAGTTACAATAATATTAAACAACACATAACAGTATTTTTTTTCCCTCCAAACTAACTGTGTAATTGTTCATAGATAGACTGGAGTAGAGTGGCTAATAGTTAAGCTTAAAATGCATCCAAGAGTAGAGATGGTCCAAATGGAAATATTGTAAATGGCTCGATCAGTGGTCTCAAAATATTTCTACCAGGAAAAAAGTTTAGAAATTAAGCAAAACAAACAAAATGTTTTCACTGCCTGATCCGTCATAGATGCCCAGTCTCCCCCACACATCCTTGTAAGTTTCTCTAGCTTCACTAAGATACCAGATGGCGCATCTAGCTGTGGTGGGAATCGATCAGCTGGGCTGCTTTGTGCTACGGGGGGCTGTGTTAAAATGCTACAAAGCAAAGAAGTCTTCATTTGTTTTTTCTATGAGTTTATAATGCCCACAATGTGAGCAAATGTGTCTAAAATCAGCTGTTTCTTAATATACATTCTTCTTTTCAGTCAGTTTAGTGATCACACAAACACAACACAATAAGATTTACTGGATTACTGCCGGCAATCTGCATCAGAACATTTCAATCATTTCAAATAATATGACATTATTTATCAGCCATAAAAAGTTTGATTGGATCATGTCTATTTAAGAGTAAAACCAGCCTAATGTACAGTATCCTCGTGTAACCAGCCACTGATGTTGACATGAATATGCAGTTTCATACAGTAGTGATGAAATTAACAAAATCTCCAGGAAGAAAATATCTGAAATTGAGGTTTATGCTTACTTTGTATCTGTAGGGTCCAATTCCATAGTCTCCTACTTTGACTGTAAGATCTGCAGTCAGGTAGCAGTTCCTCAGAGCTAAATCACTATGAGAGCATAAAGAAAGACATGGTTTAAATACTTTCAAGATTCACAATTACCAAATCATTCACTGAATACGAAGCTCGCAGGCAAGTTTGTGACCATCTCTGGAGTGAAAGTATTCAACTGACGCTTGTTCTTGTCCGAGTTACTCAATTTTGTTTGGCCTGTGCATTGTCATTTGTGTCTATAAAGTGAAGTTAAAGCATAGACCAGGGGGAAGTGACTACAAAATCAATGTCATCAAGATCAACAAGGAATCCACCATCTGCTCTTAACCCATAAGGGCTAAGATTACCTCGCAAGAATCAAGGGCAAGCGAGTCTGGCGAGGATCACAAATGACTTTGGCAACTATAAGACATTCTTCTTCTGTCATTTGCATTTGCTCTTCGCGTTGCAACAAGACTAATATGGGGGCTATTCCTGACTCGTGCATACAGCAGCAGGATATAGTTTCTAGAGGGAAACACAGGCTCTGCAAACTTTTTGTGGGGCTGCTAGGAGAGGGCGTAAGAAGCTCCGTCGCTCTCTCCGGACATTAAGCAGCCATATGGTAGTTCATTCACACTGACTGAAGAGGCAGGCTTTGATTTCCCTTTAGCTCTGCAGCATTCCCTGTGCACAAGTTCCAAGTCCTTTTACTCGCCTAACCACGAATACTGCTGACACCAGTGTTCCTGCGTGTACATGGCTCAGCTACTGTCAGACCCACTGAAACCTCTGTAAGATAAATTGAGATGTATTTTAAACTCTCCTGTCCTCTGCTGTTGGCTGAACATACAGTGACACAGATTCAGGTCCAAGCTGCCTCTTGATTTTATCTGTGATCAAGAGAAAAAGCAAATAACCCTTGGGTCAAAAACTTTATACCCACTACCAAGAACTGTTTATTATCACCTTTCAAAACCAATTATATTTTCACTCAGAAAAAGATAAATACATATATATATATATATATATATATATATATATATGTATTTATCTACAGAGGGAGCGCATCCTCTTTGCAGCCATAGTTTCTCCTACACCCTTGGAAGGCGAGTGGTATTTAGCTGGTTACAATCTGCAACTTTACCAATAGATGCCACTGAATCCTACAAACTGGTCCTTTAATGCTTGAAAGAATACAAACTGTCAAACACACTTAATAATAATCAGTAAGTGGGGGTGTTTTTGACTATTGTTGTTGACCTGTAAAGGATCAACTACTTGTTGGTTGGAGAGAAGTACCAGTTGGTACTGCATGCCATAATTTATTGCTCTGATAAAGAGGATTTATTTACGACATGACCTCAACCTCTACAAACATCTACGAACAACGAAAAACATTCTGTAACATCATAATAATAAAACTGTGGATAGTGATTCAGACATGACTAATGTTTTGATAATTGTGTTTGAGAGATTTGACTAAACTAAAAAAAAAAATCCAACCCAGGAAATACTAATACTAAGACATATGTGGCTCAAATGAACTGATAATCTAAAGTCTGAGAGATGAGGGAAAAATCTCAATCTTGGCAATACTGAACACACACACACACACACACACACACACACACACACACACACACACACACACACACACACAAACACACACACACACACACACACACACACACACACACACACACACACACACACACACACACACACACACACACACACACACACACACACACACACACACACACACACACACACACACACACACACACACACACACACACACACACAAACACACACACACACACATCACTGAACCATGCCTTAAAAGAAACTTCCTTCTGTCATTTCTGAGTGAGAATATATTCATGGCACACAGTCCAGTATGTGTTTTGCACTTTTGCAACACCATTCTCACCCTTGCACTGCAAAGCTGAGGTTTCAGCTTTGGATATCAGCCAGCACAGCACCGTCAACATACATTCAATCTGTGACTGCAATGCGTAACATTTAATTTTGTTTTAACTTTTGCGGCCTTAGAACAAAAGTGCCACGAAAATATTTTTACGATTGTTAATTAAATTAGTCCACACGGAGGGAAGGCTTGTAGAGCTTCCATTGAGTTGTAAGGATTAAAACACAACGCCCAATATGAGGCTATCCCTTTACAAGCAAAAAGCAGAATCATCATATCCTTCTGGCAACGGACAGCTGACACTGTGGCAATGCATGGGAGCTGTGTAATTGGAACCCCCTGAGCTTATTCTGAGCATGCAAAATAGAGCTGATGAGCTGAGCATCGTATGTTATGCCCAAGCCACCAGTTCCCAACACCCCCTGCACCCTACTGGCTGCTAGTAGCCAGACATCCAGTGCTCGCTGGGGTAAAAATGAAAATGAAATGCAGCCTCTCTGCTGTACACACCTTTTTTGGAGAACACTGGTACTCCTGAGACTGGTTGGACAGTAAGCACTAAAGTAAAACTAACAGTTGACCTATGTCTTGACAATCATGTTTTATGATGTTTGTGGCTATATATTTACCAAGTGACATTACATACACAGTACAGTTCGTACATAATAATCATATACAATGAAAAATGTTTTAGTCTGTCTTGATCAAAACATTTAGGGCACCAATATTTATGAATGTTGACAAGATGCAACATCAAAATGAAAATGAATGTTAAATAAATTACATTTCAGCCAAATCTTTAATTCCAAATGACAGTTATGTTGCACTGGACAAGAACAGTTAAAATGTATGAGACAAAAAAAACCCTATCACTTATCCTTCTGTATTTAAAAATATAGTTTAAAGAGAATAACTCCTTAATTAAGTAATACATATTTAATTAAAAAACTACTAATCTAATAAATTAAATTGGTGCAGAAAATGTTTTTTTTGGCTCATTAAGTGGTCGAGGTTATAAATAAAATACATAAACTACAATGTTTTTGTGCCTAAATGTCATTGAGCGAGTGAGCATTACCCTAAACAGCAGCTGTCTTCTTTGACAGACAAAGTGTTATGAAGAGCACAATGCTTAGCTTAGAGGGTTAAAACCTGTGAGCTTGCTTGAGTGTTGCAATTCTGAAGTGCTACCTGTGCAGGAAGTTGTGTTTGTGAAGGTGAGTGACACCAGCAGCAATTTCACAGGCCATCCTCTGCAGCTGCAGCAACTCAGCGTTTCTGAACATCCAATCCTGCTGAGACAGATAGCCCCGCAAATCCCCCTGAAAACAGACACACAGACAGACAGACAGACAGACAGACAGACAGACAGACAGACAGACAGTTAGTTGTATGAGCTCATCAATATCAAACATAAACATTCAATAAATCCAGAAGAATTTGTATTACAGCAATAGGAATAATAATTGAACAAGTGACTCTTTTGAATGCATTGTGCAGAGTCCGCCACACAGGGGCAGTAGACTCTCCTGTTACTGTCTCCTCAGCACTTCTTACTGCTGATGTGTGAGAGGACCAAATAAGGGTAACGCTGTTTAACGGACCTCTACGCTGTGTCACAGAGATTTATAAATATAAGAGTCCAGCTCAGGTCAGTGAAATAAACTGTGCCCCTGTCCGGTTGGGTTTCGGAGCTCACAAGCGGAGGGGAAGAAAAGAACAAGGTGTCCCGTGAGGCCAGCAGGACACGAGTTAATTAATTACATCCTAACATCACAAACATACACGCATGGTTAGTGAGTGATATTAAGTGTAATGTTACCAGTGTGACTGATCACAGTGCTGTGAGAAGTCAATATAAGAAACTGGAACAAGGAGTTGCTACAGGGCTCTTTGTGGTTGGACAGAGTCCTGAGGGACTCTAAATTTGAATTACAACAAGGGTCTCAGCCCTGCGCAGGTTCACAACCCAGAGCTGGTTGGGAATGTCTGTGGACACCTGTAGTTATCATTCAACAACAAGTAGCAGGGTGTACAATGGCTGAGAAACTGTCAATACTGTATATATTGTACTTTATTTCACTACAATGTTTGCAGTATATTTAACTCGACTTGACTTCCAAAATGTGAAAGCATGGGGCCATTTAAGTTTAATGTGCTGAACCGAGTTCCCCCGAGGAAAGAGCTACTGAGAACATACTGTACACATACCAGCGTCCTATAATGTACGAGGCGCTTTGCTTAAAAATTCCAAGTCACATGCAGTTACAGAGCGTGCAAGTTTGTGTTTGAGTGTCTGCGTGTTTACAAAGAGTTTACTTTTCCCTGAGCGATCTCGCTACAAGCAGCTTAGATCAGTCGTCTTACGTAAGCAACTTGGTTTGCCTGAACCACATTCACCGCTGCATACTCAGAGAAAAACTATCACACAAAAACACACACGGCTCTGAGAAGCAGACTTCAGAGAAGAGCTATATTCAATGTATGGTAATTGATACCCTCTGCCTGTCCTCATTTGTGAAGGCTCCACAGCAGGTGATTAAGCCTGGGTTTCAGGAGAGGGGGTCCAGTACTGTTAATGAAACAACATTAACTGTGAAAGGCCAAAACAATTAAGCCTTGTGTCTGACCCGTGAATAAACAAGAATGCACCAAGTTACCAGTGAACAGATTGATGTCTGGCTCAGACACCACATGATTTAGTTATGTAAAAAAAGAAAGAAAGAAGTTCAAGCTATTTTAAGTGCTTGCCCCCCCCCATGCAACAAGTTGATACTAGAAACAGGGTGTGTATTCTGATTACTGTTAGTTTATTTACTTGTAAGCTAAACAGAGCAAGTGGGCCATTGAATGAAATGTGAAACCCGAGCACTTAACAAGCTGCACTGTTTAAACGGCAACAAGTGTAACCAACCGTCTTTGTTAAATCAATGCTAATTTAAAGAATAAGTTATCACCGATAAAGCCAATCAATGTACGGAAGTCAAAAAGAACATCAACCACAGAAGAACTGCACCCACCAGGTGAAATTTAAGGCTCAATTTGCTTGTGGTCACAGCATGGTCAGTAACGTACAACTTAATAAATGCCATGACAGTAACATGAAGAGCACTTCCATAACACCACAAGGATTGTTGCTTTAACGATCGTAATAAATGAAGGAGATCAACAGCTTTTTGAAAGCCAAAAGTCAGCTGGCTTACATCTGAGGCCCTGAACCAGAGATGGGTCTGACTAACGTCCTGGCCTGGCACCAGGCTGGAGACCCCATGCATTAGAAGCCGTCAGTCACGCTATGGTATGTGACATTCTGCGGCCCTTGCACCAGTTGCTTGATGTATTTTGATGTCTAAAATGCTTTGAGTCAGGGTTACCCGGCACGGGTGATACGGGACGGAAAAACCATCATCAATCACCAGGCTGTCACAGGGAACGTCACAGTATATTGGCTTTTTCGGGTTCATCTTGTCCACTGCGCAGCTGCAGTGTCACATTTCATGTTTCGGCATCTTAGGGGATGACTGACATGGCCTGAAGTAGTAAGAGGCCACAGACAAGTTGTCTTTTACTTTAAATTCAACATGAAAGTAGGTTGAAACTGATATTTTGAAGTTTCATGTGCAAGTAGTCCAAATAGAACTCGATCTGTATTGAAAGAAAGAAAACACGTATTGTGTAAAACAAGATCCCACTTGGACGAAATCCTAAAAACTCTTTATCCAGCAGGGGATAACGAGCATAGACATCACTCAGTTGTGCTCCCCTCACACATTATCACCCTCAACAAACAGGACCTGGTCTTCATTACACTATCTTCCCTAATGACTCGCACACACTTGTGATAAGTCATTCACCTTGACTCATTTCCATCTCCTGTCAGAGATGTTAATAGAGCTGGCTGGGAAAGACCACAATGCCAGGACACCGGCCAGGCCCGGGCAGCTGACAATACCCTGGCCCAACAAAGTTATGCAATGTCTGGCAACGTGAGCCAAACTAGATCCTGCTGGACACGTTGCCAGTACGGATAAATGTGGCAAGGTGGGGGGTGGAGTTACTACTCAATGCATTTGGGTCACCTAAGCAGCAGACATGCACTTCCTTTTTCCTGCAAGCACAAAAAATGTGGTTCAGCATCCAAGGAGCAGAGATGAAAATCTTCCACCACGCTGCAGACAAGGAACTAATAAATTACAGAAAATGCAGCCAGACCAGTGCGATGTTTACCTTTTAAAACAACTGTGAAGTCAAACTTTATGGCGCAGGTTGTGCCAGCTCATTAATGGTTACCACAGAAAGGACATCCTGGCATCAAGACGTAATAACTGGGAGGACCTGTGCGCCTCTTGTGCACCAGACACACCTGAGCCTGATACACTCACACACATACAAGATTTACTGCTGCCAGAGTAGGACAAGGGTCATCTGATTCAACAGTTCACTCACATGTCAAATAAGTATTTTAATTCAACTCTCTGCTTTTGATTTCACAAATATGAAGAAACACTTTTAATTTTAAATGTAATACAACATTATTGAAATTCTATACAGTAAATGATCGGCCAATACTTTTATAGATTACACCTGCAATAACTAATATATTTTGGCCACTTGGGGGCAGCGGAAGTTGTAAACACAATATTAACTCATAATCGCCTTTTAAGTTGAACTTGCTGGCAAACGGTTACTTATTTAAACATTCAGCAGTTATAGGGCAATATTTTATTCATATGGAGTCGTGTTTCTGGTCAGCTGGTGAATATAAATTCCATATTCACCCTCTTTTAACCTTGTTTTGGTCTACTGAGGTAAACATCTGCCTCCTTAGCTGCTCATTGAAAACAGCTGCTTTATGTGGCCGAAATGACGACACGAGAGCAGTGAAAGTGAACCGAAGGAGAGAGGAGTCGCAGATTCAGGCGATAATTCTCGTTTTCACATTGTTATTTGATTTATCATTATAAAAATATGTTGTAGCCGCTTTAAAGAATAATGAAAATAGTAACTAGTTGCAAGTCTATTCTGGAGTCTGTGTTAATCAATAGCAATTATAACAGACATATAGAGGAGTCATGAAGACTACGTAAGCAGAAGGAATGTTGAGTCAATTGTAAGGTACGTTTTGAGGCTGCACTTTGATGGATTACATCACATCACATTATAAGACCTTTCTTGCTGCTGCATGGAGCACACTGGTGTTTGCATGTAATTTGTGCCAGTGCTGGAAAACAGAGTTGATTATTTCTCCAATATCCGAGTTGAAAATAACCAGCACAACATTTAGCCAGCGCAAAACTGACGTGACACAACAGATCGGCTGACGGCTGACGTCGGCTTAACGGCAAATAAGATGCCATTCACCGACGTCAGTCGACAAGGCAAATATCGACTGATGCGTCCCTACTTTAATATTATGTTATCCATCACTACAACAAATTAAGCTCAAATGTTGAATCCACATTTCTCTGACTGTTAAGTGTTCATTACAGGCTGGATTAGAAAGTGCAGTGTTTTCTATTTCTTGGTTACTGAACCAAACAGACACCGAGGTGGAGTTTATTTTTAGGGGAACATTTTTGGCTTGCATTCGTCGCTGGGCACCCCATAAGTTTCGTTGAGAACAGCTTAATTTACTTTAGACTCAACTCAACAGTCTCTAACATACACAAGGTGCTACCCATAAAAATGCACAAACACAGCAACTGGCGGTGCCGATACCAGGGGAGCGTAAATGGAGCTTGTTGCTTTACTGGGGGAGGTGGGAATGTGAGAGGTCGCAGGCTTAGACTAGCTATGCGACTTCAGGAGGGGGAGGGGAGCAGTGGAGGAGGGAGGGGAGGGAGCTCCAAGCAGTCAGAGCCCAGCCCACCCAGGATAGGTAAAGAAACATTGAATAAAATCAGCTGCCACGATGAAGCCTGAGTCACTTCAATATGTGAAGACGAACAAGGGCTAATTTGGGATTGAGACAGTAGGCTCTCAGTCCAGTTGGTCAGTAGGGCGGGTCAGCTATGCAATGCTTGCTGGACAGTATTTAAAGGGGTCTTGCCCTGTGAATTTGTGAGCTTAACGGACTGACAAGAGCTAATTCTCAGATTTCTCAATTAATGAAGCCTTCTAAGTGAAGAAGGGCTGAACTAGCAAGTAGGAAATAAACCTTCTTGCAATCCCTCGACCCTTGTACACAATGACAATGGCAAAACAAGATTACACACTGCAGATTTAAAGTACATCAATTTAATTCCCATGAATTTAAAATGATTAATTTTGGCTGTAATACAAGTTTCTCAAACACTTCTTTTTTGTAGATTAAAAAGGGGTTGATGGTGTTTGTTATAAATAACATTTAGTACAGAATGCGGTCACTCACCATTTCACAGTACTCAAAGACAAGCAAGAAGGGAATGGCCTCAACGCACTGTCCCAGGCATTGGAGGATGTTTGGGTGCTGCAGCACTCTGCATAGATAAAATAACATGAAACCTGTTAATACTGATGTTAATTAGTCAATCTTAGGCAATCTTTAAGATCTGAGAGGAGATTAAGTCTAATGCAGTGTGCAAGAGGAAAGGTAGAGGGTGCTGCTAACATTACAGTGATGGCTATTTTTGTCCACATGTACTGTAAGCATGTCCTTCCACTCACAATATAAAATACTATCAGTAATTAATCTAATATTAAAGATCGCCTGATTGAAAACAACAGAAACATAATAATAGTCTTCATTCAAGGGGTTTAGGGTGTTTACCTGTACGGATCCCCTTGCTGCAAGAAGTCATTCTGCTCCTTGGCACTTGCATTAGCTTTTAACTCCTTCACCACCACTCTGGCTCCACCTGGATCTGTGTAGATCTCACTCAGAAGGACCTGTTGATACATGACAACACTTCAGACTTAATAAGATACAGAGAAATAGGCCAAACAGAATGTTTCAGGTCACAAGATGCCAACAACTGCAGAGCAAACGGTTGGGGGAAAAAAAGCAAAAGATTTAAAAAAAATGTGACAAACTCTGGACAAACTGAGGATTGTTTGGAGAACATGTATTTACCCATCAACCTTAAGATGAGTCATGGAATAAGCAGTAAGAACAAGGAAGAGAATATGTGCCTAAACCAGTTATAACAGATTCAAACAGACACCTTCAGCAGGCTTTAGGCTGCTAAATGTGTTCAACCCTAACTTGAATCTACCTGAATCATACTTTATAAATAAAACTGCCTTGCCTTGCTTCAAAAAGTGAATTAAAGAAAACAAATCTTACCTGGCCAAACCAGCCATTTCCAATCTCTTGGATGTAACTCAAGCTGTGGCGTGCTACCTGGAAACCTGTGGATCCCTCTGTGAAACAACCACAAACCTTGTTAATTAAGACTGTACTAATGAACAGGCTTCAACTTGAGCATTCGCTACTCATAAGAGTGGTGATTTATTGGGTGGCAGTAGCTCATTGTGTAGGGACTTGGCTTGGGAACCAGAGGGTCCCCGGTACAAGTCCCACAGACCACAATATGGAGTGTGGACTGGTAGCTGGAGAGGTGCCAGTTTCACCTCCTGTGCACTGCCGAGGTGCCCTTGACCAAGGCAACCTAACCCCAAGAAACTGCATGTGGTTAGTGCAGTCACAAAAACACAACAAACTTCCATATATTTTTTCTAAATATTTAGGATTGAAAAGGACTGTATACTGAGAATTTAAATTTTATAAGTGTTTGGACACACATCAATTTGTCTGTGAGTGTGCATGGGCCTGACCTGCGATGAGGGAGGGAGGTTGGAGGTGTGGGGGTCCAGGCAGGGCCACAGGAGACACAGCGAGGGTGTACACCTCAGCTGGGGACTGCATAGAGGGCGTGTCCTCTGCCGGTGGAGTAAAGTCAATCTCATCATCAAAGTGGTCCTCAAACTCCTGCGTCAACAAAAAAACAAGAAGGGATTAAAACAGGCTTGCCATGACACTACAGTGCACATCTTTCACAACAGGAGCTAGATTCACAGTGGCTGTCCATTACGATCCATCCGCACTCTGTATTCTGTAGGTGTGGGCAGCCCGCATGGGAGCAGGTGGAGCTTTGGCTGTCTGGCTACCTGCCTGCCAGGACTCTCACCTTGAAGTTGATCTCCCTTTCCTTGCAGCAGGTCACGCAGTTCACTAGCAACACCACCAAGGCCACAAGCGCCGTCAGCGACACCACCAGGGACAGGTAGAGAGACACGGACAACGTGTCCCCTGTACTTCCACCTGAAAAGAAGGACAGACAGAAAGTATGCTGAATCATTCGCAATGATCGCTGTGCTTCCAAATGTATCCGGAAGAGAATGAAAGAAAGCACCCGACAGCCTTGTCATGAGCATAAACATAAGTGTGTTTGACAGTAATACAGCACGCCAGGGGTGTATTGGCTCTTCTTCTAAATCCACCCACAACAAAAAGCTTGACAACAAAAATAAACTGCACTGTGCTCCTGCAACTTCTTGAGCTCCCTGCTCTCTTTCACTAGCAACTCCTCTGCAGAGGGAAGAAATATAAAAAAAGGTTCACTTAAGGTTTACAATGTCTGCAAACATTACGTGACAATAACTGTGACTTCTTCAGACCAGAACAAGCAACCTCTATCCCTAATCAGCCATTCGGAGACAGCTGTGGCGGTTTCCACTGGCTGATAAGCAGCTGATGGTGCAGCAGTGGTGACAGCAGGTGTAGGTGTGCGCCGGTGAGGATGCTGCTGGCCCAGCAGTGAGTGGCAGGGCTGACAGCAGTCTTGCAACCCACCCACCGCGTTGCTCAGCTGCTGCACCTCTCACTACACCTATGCTGACCAACACACACGCACAGCTGAGGCTTTCTATTTTAGTGCAACCGATTTCCAATTCAGTGCCACCAACGTCTTTGTTCTGGAGACTGCTTCACACACACACACACACACACACACACACACACACACACACACACACACACACACACACACACACACACACACACACACACACACACACACACACACACACACACACACACATATTTTAACTATTAGAGGCCCAATTTATTCCAGCGTCTGTAGTATATTCCTGTAAAAAAAAAAAACACAGATAACGTGCTAATAAAGGAAATAAAAGTGGGCTGTAGTAGGTAGCCAAACCACATTTATAGCAGATTTAGATTTTAAAAGGAGTCAGCAATATAGCAAATAAATTTAAGTTGTGGCTGTGGCTCAGGAGGCAGAGCGGGTCATCCACTAATCAGAAGATTTGCGGCTCCTCAAAACCAGGTATCGCAGTGTGCGAACCCCAAATTGCTCCCAATGCTGTGCCATCAGTGTGTGTGAATGAATTAGTTTCTGTTTCTGATTGCAGCATCTGCAGAATGGGTGAATGTGACATGTAGTGTAAAGAGCTTTGAGTGGGAATAAGAATAGAAAGGTGCTATATAAGTGCAAACCATTCAAATTATATTATTTAGAAAAATTAAAAGATGCTACAAAGGCAGAATTGTTTAGTGTAGGCAATAGCCTTTAACTAAAAAAAAAAAAAATGTTCTCCCTGGATTGGAAGCTTACAAAGATGGACAGACAAAGTATTTAAAAAATGCCTGTTTCTTTCTGACAAAAGCTCAACCATGTTCTTGTCCACTTTGTCTTTTCAGGTCCCAAATGTCACTGCTCATTTCTAACAGCTCATCTGAAAGGTATGAGTACTGTCTGCCTGTTATAGTCATTGCTGTATGTGAATGAACAGTCAGAAGATGTTTGAGCCAATCTACTCCACTTGAAGCTTATTTTGTAATTGCACTATATCGTATCACATGATAATAAATGTGAACATAATCTCAGCCCTCTACATCTCAACAGGGCATGATGTGTGTGGATGACTGAGAGAGTACGAGTGTGTACTGAAAGACTGGTGAGAATTCGTGGGAGACTCTCCTCCCCATTCTCCGTCCCATGTTTACTCTGTCTCCCACTGGTCGCAGCTTGTCAGGTACATCCTGTCTGCTGGAGGGAGGATCAACACCTGCTGAGTCTCCTTCTGCTGAATTACAAATTCCAGACAGATGAAAGCGGTTGCTGAATACATCCAAACTACAACCCTACTACTAGTTGTCCCATGTTGTCACATTAGCTCATCAAGTAGATAAAGAAGATTTTGTTTAGTAATACTGCAACACAGTCTGATCCCTTTGGAGTAAATGAGAAACCAGACTGAGGCCAATATGTCTGCAATGAGCTTGTTCATTCGAAAACTTATCTTTTCTTTTCCTTTTTGACATTTTTTACAATGTATAAATTGTGCTCATTCGGATGGGATCAATCTGAAAATGGTCTCTTGTGTGGATGGTGCAAAGCTTTTCCATATTATGGCATATTCTCGTTGGACACAGTCTGGTCCTGAAATGTTAAAATCAAATCTCTCTGGATAGCTTATACAGGTGTCATCTTTAATCTGCATTTATGTTTATTGTGAGAAAAAAAAATGCTCTTAGTGCAGCAGCAGGGGGATTATTATTATCCTGAGCTAACCTTTTTGATCTATTTTACATGCTTGCAGATGTCAAAAGAAATAGAAAGTCAACTGAATGTCAATGAAAACATCTAAACAATGCATCCAACCTTACTGAAACAAGGAGAGTAGGAGGCAACAGAAAGGAGATTTAAAGTGCTGACACCGAGCTGAGAAACTGGGATGTGTCACACTGACAACAGACAATGGCTGTAATGCATAATGTTGTTGTTGTCTGTCAGCAGAAAGAGGGGAAAGAAGAACAGATTTAGCTATTTTTCTCCCGTTTTGGCATTAATTAATCTGGTCCTGGTTCCCCCGGTGTTATAAATAAAATATTCTCTTGAATTTAACCTGAGGTAAGAACTTGCAAAGGCTAAAAGCTAGTCTAACAAACAACAAGCTGAGCAGTGATCTTACTGCCAGTCAGCTCTGGTCAGATGGAGCAGCTGTGTATTCAGACAGCACAGCAGATGAAATGAGCAGCAATCACTTTATCTCCCCAGGGAACATTAGATATGATCCAAAGTGTCAGCCATGATTGATATTCATTTCATGTCTACTGCAGACAGTACGCCAAGCTATCACAGACGAAAATAGACAGGATTGCTTAATCTGGTCTATCTTGCATCCTTTTTTTTTTTTTTTTACAAATGTCTTGAGTGCCTTAGGTTTTCCCAAACTGATATACATTTCAAACTGTGAGTTGTGTTTCCCCTACCGCTGAGATCCAGTGTAACATTACAACTCTAGATCATGCTCGGTCAAATACAGCACAGGCAACTTGGCCTTCAGGAAAAGTAAAAAAAAAAAAAAAAAAAAAAAGGTATACTGTGGGACAAACTGTAAATGGTTGAAATACCTGAAATGGAAATGTTTCCACGGGAATACTTGCACAGACACCACCTCTGTACTAAAGACTGCACTAGAGAAACCGTGTCTGTGGTGAAATATTGATGAGAAGAGACATTAAAGATTAAATGGGTTTATAGTCAGAACACAGGCCGAGTGGATGTAGCTCTAAATGCAGATGTGTACTTACAACTGTTAAATTAAAGTGTTGCTGACCTTGCAATTCATCATCGGCATCAGGAGGGAGGCGATATGCCTTGCTTAGTCTTATATGGGCTACTGAAAGGTTATGCACAAATCCTTTGTGTTACAGTTGTAAGCAGAAAGAACAGGAGGAGAACTGACGCAGCTCGACATAACAGACTGAATCTGCTTAACATTCATTAATAAGAACCACAAACAAATAGGAAACTATATGGAGAGAGCGATCCAGAGGAATTAACATTGTCTGGAGGGAAGAAACAATGTGACATTAGGCAAATGTAAAGTAAGAGCAGTAAAAGCCTTCCAGTAAAGAGAAATTAAACTAAATATAAGAAAACATAAGATAAGCCTCTATTGATCCCAGAGGGGAAATCCTGTCCGTGTATTCAGTGAGAATCACAGCCAGTACCTTAGCATAAAATCTCTATTTAGACTGTAACGACACTCAACTCATGAAAAGACTGACAGACTGATTTTCACAGGCAAAAATTTCTCTTTTATTTTCGTTATCTTTTTCTGAGGTAGGGTATAAACTGTGCAAAACAATGTTTCCTTTTGTGAAGTGAAATTGATACCACAATAGATATCATCATTCATTTTTAATCTCACCGATTTGAATCTTCACATATTTGTATCACGATTTAACCGTCTTGCGATATATCTTTAAATTCTTAATTTGAAAATGCTTCACTACTTTTATGCGAGTTGTTAGTAGAACTGGTGAGGTACAGAGCTACAGTGACTCTCCAGTTTAGATAAATACAAACGTCATAAAGATTTACAACTGTAAACATACTGCAGCCCACTACCCCCACCCCCACCAAGGTGGGTACCACCACAGCCTCATACTGAGAAAAGGAAACCCCTGAGTCGGGTCTTACACTAAGCCACGGATAAGACCATCCACATATGATTCATAATTGTTGACTGGCAAGACTTTCCATAAAGACAAGATCGAGCTAATCATAAACCCCATCGTAATGGCCCTGTTCCAGTCCCATCAGAAATATGAAGGTTTGTTCACAAAACACTTTCTCCATCTACAATTATAGCAAACAAAATCTGTCATTTTGTTGGACTGTTCAGAATTCCAGCTGGCTTTAATAAAGCCAAAGCTAAAAACTTCACAACAATCCTGTGAAAAACATGTGGCTGTAATTGCAGGCAGCTTTTTGATACAAACACCTCCTGTCTGTTTCAGGAGCGCGGCGGGGTTCCAGGCAGTGCCGGACTCCCAGAGAGGCTGTAGCTGCAGTCAGATAGAAAAAACAGGAGCTGGGTCACGGCAGCTCTACATGGGATCAGTTCTCCTCAGTTAGGCCTTATCTGAGTCATGGGTTCATATTATGACTTGGCAGGCTCCACCAAATGACTCAACTGGTTTTTGGGACCAATACGGCAGGGAGCTGCCAGGTCTTATTTCGGTTCCTCTACATATTTCAGTAGGCATTCACGCAGAGGGGGAGCTGACCCATTTTTTTGCAGATTTTACCCACCAGTGTGCACAACAGTGGATGTCTGCACTTTCGGTTACATGCAGGATGAAGGACAGCATTGTCTGGCTGACATGTTTGGGTTTCAGGCTAAGATTTGTCTGCCTGCTAAAATAGGAAGCGCTAGAGCCTCATCGATCAAATGAAGAGCCCAGGGATCTGAAGCAGCCAATACTTGTGGCTGCCCTTGGAAGGATCCATAGTCATAAAACACTATGTATATTGGTCAATATCCGCATGTGTTTTCTCTTTTTTAATATACTTTTTTTTTTTTTTTAAATATGTTAAATGAAGCAAGCAAATGGACTGGGGTAAAGGGGGTTGTGGCTGGAGCCTCATCCCCTGACAGCAACATAAATGATAAGCTGGTTTGTGAAAGCAGCATCCCCCCACAGCCTGAGTCACTGAGTAATGCAGTGGAAGGTTAAGGCCAATGTCCACCTTGACTTATAAACTGGACATGCCACTATCACCTTCCTGTTACTACAGTTAAAGCTTACCTATCTACCCTTACCCATGTTTGATATGTGTAAACAAAGCGCATGTCACTTGAAGCCCGGCTTTGAAACTCCCTCTCCAGCTATTCTTTTAAGTGTGATCTCACCCGTACTTCATATCCTAAATCCAAATGTTTTTATTTTCCTAAATACAAACTTTAAACAACCAGGTATTACTGTATCACACCTGGACACAGACGGGGAAGTGGAGCAAAGAACAGGTTGCTATGTAATAAAAGCATAAAAAGCATGCGCATATTGCAACATAACTTTCCTGTAAGCTGTATTATAATTATGTAAACATCACTGTTGCTAATCATTGACTGGTCCTGATAAGCTTGGAATGTGTTACGGTTACACATTACCAATATTCACGTATGCATCCATTCATTTCTAACAGGGATGCTGGTTACATTATACCAAGAGAGGCCACAGTGACCCTCTTCCTCTGAGAAGATGCAAAAACAGTGAAACACTGAAACTATTCCCTTGTCTCTAAGGTGGGGCATCCTCAACAAATGACTGTTGTAGTAACTGAGTCATCTACTTGAATTGGTGTACTATTTTTTGATTAATCAAAATCCCTAATTCTGTCTGGAAAACAGTCAAAATACTTTAAAGGGAATTATAATCCGGTGAAATGAAGGAAACCAAATATATACTAATCTTTGAGAAGCTGTAACCGCCAAAACGTTATGTTACGTTAAAGTTTTTACTTGATAAATGCCACTGATGATTAAACCATCATCATAATTGTCATCAATTATTTTTCTGTTAATACACTATCAATTACAAAACAATAACATCTAATTAGTATCCCAAGTAAAACTGGTGGAATTGAATTGTTTTCATACATTTCCAGTTTCCTCCTGTTTCTGTAATTCTGGAAACAAGCTCTGGCGTTGGCACACGACAATATGGCAAACTGTTTTCTTCCAGGCACAGACTTTCATTCATCCTAAAATAATCAAATGAAAATCACACCCGTGACAGAACCTGTGATGTGGGACAAGTGCCAGGACACTATAATCAACATCAAAGAAGTTATTCAAGGTTCACTTCTAAACAATGAGAAACAGTGTTTCCATGCTGGTAGGCCAACATCTATTCCACTGTACCATAAACTTGTTTAAATGCCAAAGACTGGACCCAACCCAGTGAAAGGTGAAACATCCCATTACCTGTAGTTAAAACGGGTTGTTCTCCATTAACTCTGCTGCCTGATGACTGACTCATGTGCGTTAAAAATCAATCAGAATGAAACTAGACAAGGTTAATAAGTATTTACCAGAGTGTTGGTGAAGTGTGATGTTTGTGTTTACCTGTTTGCTATTAAGGAACTGAGTCGATTATCCCTCATAAACATTATTACCACTTCATAAACAGACAGACAGTAGAATTAATATCCCTTTAAACTTCGTGATCAAACACATGTCAAAGTCAATTAGCACAAGGATCCACACACTGATCACACGCGTCGCTGGTTAGCAGGAAATGCAGGCAGGTTGTTGTGTTGTTAGCTTTTAGCCGCTGATTAGCAACAGCTACCAGCAAATATGAGCAGACACAAACATCCGCTCGCTGGCGGCTGGATAGGAAAGAGTTTCAGTGAGTGAACAAACAATCGCTGAGCCGTGTCAGCTGTCTCACCTGATTTGTGAGGATACAGAAGAGGAGCACCTTCAGACAGACACAACGCCGACAGAAAAATCCCAGTGGCCAGCAACAAAACACATCCATGGCGGCTCTTCATCCTCCTAGCTTAGCTAACAAAATGCTAGCTAATTGGAATCGTCGTCCTAAACAGTAAATGGCTGGTTTGATACTAAATGAAGTGTTTTAATCATTTAACCCCAGTGTAGGCTACACAAACACGCATATTTTCTGTCTGTTTAACGTTAGCGACTCACTGTTAGCCAGCTAACTAGCTTCAGCTAGCATGTCAAGGCTAAGTGTTTTAGCTGACGACAGCAAACACCGCTACGAGATGGAGTGTCCCGTTGCCCATGGAGACAAAAGGAGCGATCACCTTTGACGACCGATCATATTCGGTGTGTCTACCTTAATGTTATTTAAATGAACATAGCTAAGGGAAATTAATCAATAGCCCTGACTATCATGAAACACCTCTCCTCCAAAGCGCCATGTTCCCGTACAACGTCACATCGCGGAATGAGGCGTGAAACTTCAAATAATTGACAAGTGCCTCAGCCAATCACAGCGAAGAATACCTTCACGTTACACCGCGCGGAGCCAATCAGCTTCGAGCTTTATTATCAGTCATGTAAATCCAGTGCTTTGTGTCAAAGCTGAAGAAAGCTTTTACATCCAGTAATTTGCAAACCATGTGATGCACGCAGTACTGATTAGGAAAGACGAGCTGTCTATATTAAATGTTTATTTCTGGATTTACGGCCAACCATAACCTCCCCAGCAGCATTTTATAGGCGGGCGGTGTCATATGACTGCTGCGATGGTGCTGGCTTACAGATCATGATCTATTTCTTGTTCAGTTTCTTTCATATGAATATTGCTGGGCATTAGATTTACTCATTAGAGAACTCAATCTTTCTGATAATTAAACAAAGCAAACAAAATGTAACTCTATTTCGATGTTAAATGCTAAAGATGCTAAAGAGCTGTCAAGTTGTTATAGGTTATTGATCCCAACTGAAGACAGCAACATATCTGTCTACCTGTACGTTTTCCCTGACATAATATTGTTTTATTGACTTTCAAGCCATAGCACATGATAATTGATTTATTTTGTGTGTTAATATATAAACAGATTTAGTTATTTTATTGCTGTATTATACTCGTAACCAGACAAACCCACATATTTCTCCTTTGTTTTTATATATAGCTAAAATTTACAATATGACAATTTAATATTCATTTTTTTACACAGTGGCTTTATTACAAGTTTTAAAGATTACCAGACATAATTAATACCAAAAATAAGAACACTAATGGTTGATTGATAAGTATCACACTCATCTCCTCCACTGAAAGGTTTTGTCTTTCTTGAGTACACCTGCTTCTGTATTTTACATCACTATTCCTTATGAATGACATGAAAGATTTGCACTGGTAAAAATAAATAAAAATCAAATGATTATCAGATTTGAATGTCATTATTCTTTACAGTATTTGTATTTGTGTGTGTTTTCAAAACAATATGAGTGAGAAAATGATCTGCTCTGATTAACTGATGAAGGAGGAGGAGGCTTTGTGGCGTGGGGGAAATCTCCCTGGGTTTGAGGACAGATACGTCAGGTTGCTTCTTGCACTCTGGATCACGAAGCTGAGAGAGAGTGCTGGTGGCTTATAGGCAGAAAGCAAGAGAGGCAGAGATCTGCACATCACAGGCGCAGAGAGCGAAAAACCTCACCCAAAGCACGGTGAGTACCAAGCTTTTTTTGCAAATTCATGTGCACAACAATGTTTCTGTGATGGTAGCTGGCAGTGTGTTTGTGCTTTGGAGCTTTCTTTAGCTTTAAAAGATGGGGGGGATTTTAAAAAAAATAGGATGTTCAACCTTCTTTGGGTTTTACTTCAGTTGCAACAACTTTCTCAGTCCGGAAGGAAAATATTTCATTATGTGAAACAAAGCTTGGATCATCAAGCAATTCTCAAGATTTCTGTCATATGATGAAATATATCTGTTTCTCTCTATCAGAAAATAACACAAAGTTATATCTTTTTTTAATATGGTTGCACAAAATGGTACTGCCCCACTGATAAAAGGTACAGCCCTACCTGAAGACTACCTACTGAGGAAGGATTATGCTGAATATATCTTATCTGACAGACTGTTACCTGACAGCAGAAAACACCTGCAACCAGTTTCATTCACTGTCACTTTGCATTTTCTCCATGCGTGCATGTTTGCATCCCTCAGGCAGCTAAAGAGGACCATGGCATTTGCAGGGATGCTGAGCGACGAGGACATCAAGGCTGCGGTCCAGGCTTGTCAAAGTGAGTCAGACAGCACACACACATACACACTCATATACTTACACGCAAGGAGACACACCCTTCACAAGCATCTAATTGTTAATACAAGTAGGTGAGTAAACTGTACATCAACTCACATATTACAGAGAGAGAGAGCGACAGGCATTGTTGGACCTACTCCCACTCCCACAAGGGATACCTGTGTGGTGTGTTGTTCACAGGGGGGACAGGAGGGAGCTTGCAGGTAACCAGGCAGCCATGCGACAGGAGAGCAGTTACCACCCAGATACCCAAGTGTTTATGCTGAGCATTCACACAGAGAAGACAGAAAATCACACAAGCTATACAGCCTTCGCATCCCAAAGCTCTTAATCATTTATCTCTAGCAATTATGTCTGCATGACAAAGCAAACACAGCTCAACCGCTCCAATGAATATCAAATGTCAGCGCTTATATGCCCTTTATTGAAGAAATACCCCGCTTTTGGCTGTGTTTTAGGCAAAACATTCAAACTTTTGTATTTAATTTTTTGGGTCTAGAAAGTATGATTTATTTCAAGAAGTGATGGAAAACTAAAATCTTTTAATTCCTAAACTCTTTCAGCAAATCAACATTTTCAGTTACTTGAAGGTAACTCATCCTAGATCAGAATTTCCACTCTTGACAGCTCTTAACATTTAGGTTTGCATTAGACCCACAGGCAATATTCAGTCTGCTTTGACTGTTTCAATGGCACAATGACATAGCCGATAATGGTATAAGACAGTGATGCACTACAGGGTGTATATTGGTAAATGTCATTGGTTGAAGAATGAAACTCATCTGAGAGAATGAGTGAATGCGACATCTCTATTCAGCCCCATTATTGCTTTTTTGTCATCTTGTGATTGACCCCTCACTCTCACATCTGTTGTCTCTTACTCTTACTCTCTCTCTCTCTCTCCATCTATCTCTCTGCCTATGTAGCTCCAGGCACATTCGACTTCAAGTCGTTCTTTGCTCGAGTGGGACTCACCAGCTCATCTGAGGCAGATGGGAAAAGGGTGTTTACAGTTCTGGACCAAGACAGGAGTGGATACATTGAGGAGGAGGAGCTCAAGTAAGGAGAGAGTGTGTGTGGTTTAGGGGCTAGAGTAATGATACAGATGGGTGTGTGTGAGTGTGCGTGTGTGTTACATTTATACTATACCTCCCTTGTGGTGGCCCTCAGGCAGAGGTCACTGTAAGAATGGAGCAGCCTTTCCGCTGCGAATGAATTCAGTAATACATGAGGGGAGGGCTGGTGAGTGAGTGATGGAGAGGGGTGGGTTAAGACAGCTCAGAAAGGCCTGGAGGGGGAGAAAATGCCATCAGAAAAGATAAAGTCTCAGATACAAAGTTGAACTTATCGCTGATATTTTTTTGTGCACGCATAAGGCTGTTCCTTCAGAATTTCTCTCCGGGGGCGAGGGAGCTGACTGTGGCTGAGACCAAAGCTCTGATGGCTGCCGGAGATAAGGATGGCGATGGCAAGATTGGGATGGAAGGTGGGTGCATGTAAAACATCTAAAAAAAAAGCTGTCAAGGAGCCATCTGTACAGGGGAGCTGTCCATTAGTTAGTGCTGAAAATGCAGTCTATAAAAAGCACATGCATTAACACTATACTGAAGTATAAAAGTACTACAACAAGCTAAAATATATACACTTTCTTGTTTGTTTAGTCATCTTCATTAACCATAGTGTTGTACTACACTGACTTTCGCCTGAAGAACACTGTTTCAATTTGCTATGTGAAGCACTTTGGGCTGCATGTTTGTATGAAAGGTGCTATAAAAATAAAGTTGAGTTGAGTTAAAAGGGATCTCTGACTGAATCAACTGTTTCTGTTTCTCCCCCACAGAGTTCTGTGAAATCCTGAAATAAAGAGAAAAAACATGCATGACCACGGCTGTCTTTCCTTATTTTGAATAATGGGTTTCTCATGGAAATCCTGACTTTCCAGATTGTTTGAGACCAGACAGATAATCTGCACCTGCCTGCTACTCTCCCTGTTGATGTGATACAATAATTCATAAGATGTTTGGTGGACAGACAGTTAAAGCTGGCTATTAGTTGTGTGTGTTTAATCGATCAGGTACCTGGAATGGATTAATAAATGTATTTGAGATGTGATATAACTGTGTCCTGTCATTCTTTTGCCTGTAACAGTCCATACATGAAGTGTTTTTATGTTATTTTATGGCTGGATATAGTTTCAACATTTCACTAAGACTCACTGTAATGACATCCAGGGTATTCAAGGAATTAAATTCACTTAATTCTGAGTATGAAGTCTCTACATCCCTACATTTATGAGAAAAGTTAGAGATGACTGACAAGATTAGCATTTGATAAATCACAAGAGACTTTTCATTAAATTATACTGCACAAAGAGAGCACACTGGTTCTGAGTGAGCTATTAGCATTCTGCAGTCCGTTAATTAAGATTGAGTAGTCTGAATTCATAAAGGAAAAGTATCAAACAGGAAATATTTAGGACAGAGGTCTTAAACTGCGCTCCCTCTCCCTCCCTCTGGCTAGCAACATGATGTCAAAAATATAATGTAAACCAGCCCTCAAGATAATTATTTTTCATATCAATTCAAACTATCCATCCATGTACAATAAAAAAAAACTACTTTATTTTTAAAAATGTATCTCCTTTGGCACAAAAGGTAAAAGGTGCCTGCAAATGGTTAATAAGAAAAGAGCAGGTTTCAGGTCTTCATTTGTTGTTGGCTGCAAATAACAAAGCAAATGATATAAAATTATGACATAAAATGTAAAGAAACTCCTGTTTGCATTTTTTGTTGCTTACAATGTTGGAACTATTTTCAGAATATTGTGCTTTCTTGTAGTACTTAAACATTGAAGTGGCCCTCTTATGAGATGACAATAGTGTCCCCAATCCCGTCAATTTTAGACCCCTGATTTAGGATCCAGTGTTGTGGGTGCCGATTGAAAGCACTCAACTAAACACTCGTGGAAGTTGGAGGATGTCAACACCACAGGCTGTCACAGGCATCATTTTGATGGTAAACCCCATTCTGATTCACCAAATCATTTGCTCTAAAATAGTGGAATTTTGTATTTTAAATTGGTGGGACCCCTCTTCAAATAAAGACATAAAAAATTGGGACTAGTACGGCCTTCTGCTGGACAGATTTCAAATGCCTGCAGAAATCCCAAGGTAATTATGGAAAAGATTCATAATTTAATAGTTTATAGAGATCTGAAATGACTGAGGTGAATGTCTGTGACAAGTGATTAACGTTTAAATGACCTAAAGGTCAACAGTCTGGAGTTTACATATCATAAAGAAGTCATGTAGGCCACAAAAACACATTCATCAGTCACACAAAACACACAAAAAGCTAGTTTATTCTTTTTAAAAAGTTAAAAAAATGTCTAATTAATTGGTGTATTGCCTATTTAGTGGTATAAGTCTTGTCACTGTTAGGGCACTGGGTTATTTTGAAACTTACTGCATGTGGAGTTCAGATAAACCATATGGGAATATAGCTATGTAGCCTATACATTAGGTAGAGCTGGTTAATGTGACAGGCCAGCATTGGCTGAGGCCGCACATATCTATCATCTGAGACCATCTCAGGGAGGTGCTACAAGTCCAATCCTTCAGATGCAAGACAGGAAAGTCTGACTCCAATAATTTATAATAAACTCTCAGTAAAACTGAGAAGAATATTAACTATGTGGGAAATAACCAGACAGTGAAGTAAATTAACTTCTGCACAGCCTATCACACACTGCAGGCAAGAGTATGAAATATAGCTGGTATTATTAAAGATAAAATATATCATAAAGTACATTTTGACGGGCTGAGGTGCTGCAGCCTCATAATGCATATGACTGTGCTATAGCCTATGGCAACATTGCACTGATACCACATGAGAGAGAATGAACAAATTCTAACAAGCAGTCTACCACAGAGGAACATATATCTAATCATATATAATACAGTGATAATGCAAAGGAGATAAAAAGCAGTAGTGTTTTTGAGAGCAGTCCTCCCACATATATTTACAACTTTTGAGTAACCACATAGGCTACTTCTTTCCGGACTTGTCATTTACGTTTAAGGTCGTGAATTAGACGTTTCCTTTGTTAATTAAGACAGTGGACAATTAAATTGCCCATGGTGCCCTTCCATGGTTCTCAAGTTTTTCTCACAAACCGAACAAGGACATATGACCCATGGACTGAAGTGTGTTGACTCTCACACAAGTCCCTTCATTTCATTTATATTCTCAGATGAAACCTACAACATCAGAATCAGCATCTTAAATTTTGGCCGTAAATCATATGAGCGCAACATGCCCCATGAAGTCAGCGGGCCTGCTCGAGTTTCCACACGTCTAGCTATAGGCCTCCGCACACATGGTAGCATCCTCATTTGTTCCCCTAAAAATAGGTCGAGACTAGTAGACACATTTTTTCGAAACCCATGCATCTTGGTATCTGATACTGAGACTCAAAGCTCTGTAAATGGTGTTGCTCATGGATATATAAGAGCGAGGGAAAGAGGCTTGGGGCATTCACCCGAGTCCGCCTTGGTTTTCACTCCCTCAACGCAGCGCAAAGGTGAGTGGGAAGTGCGCCCCCGCAAAGGCCGCACTGACTGGCAGATTGCACTGGGAGGAAAGGGAATCAGACAAGGAGATCTCCGTGGACTATAACATTAGGGGGGAAATGGAACCAACATAGCCAACAAGCGGACCACAGGACGATTCGATCAGTGCGAGAAGGAGGCCAATGAAATGTGGCCACTTTTGATTTCTAAGGATCAACATTTGTGGATGATAATTGCGCTATTTTACATGATCTCTTTTAACCGGATGAGAAAAAAAAATCGCACCTAAAGCTATCACTGCATTCGCCCGGCTGCTTTGTTTTATTTGTGGCAGTGACTCGTGTTGTCGTGATTTGGCCTCTCAATGGGAGCATCATCTATTTAGTGCCAGAGCAGCAGTTGCGCGTTGGGATAAACAGAGTCAGAGTCTGTGTGTGACATCCGGAGGCAAAGAGTAGCTCTTTAGCCCATGAAAAAAAAAAGAACAACAACAACAAAAAAAAAAAACAAGATCAGTGATGCTGAGTGACAGCCTTTGCAAATAAAAGCACTTATTTAGTTTAATTGTGACCCAGATGAAACAAGTGGACATTGTATGCTTCTAGATGCTTTACAGTACAGAGTTAATAATGCTTGAACTTTCATTCTCTTCATGTGAGGCTAGAGAGGAGGAGTAGCCTTGTTTAATACTTGGAAGCTATATTATCTGGACACTGGTGCATTATTTTAGCCTGCAGTCCTGAGACTTTGTTTGATTTATGATCATTTAAAAACAGGAAGGAAAGTCATTTAAGAACTGTATCTTAGGCCTCAGATACAAAATATCAGTCTCTAAAATGTATTTTTGCTTTAAAGAAGGATATTTGCAATGCAACGATGCTGTATTTCATTTGTGATGCTAACCCTGACCTTTGTCTTCTCTCCTCTCTTTAGAATAAAAAATGGCCTTCGCTGGTGTACTTGTTGATGCTGAAGTAAAAGCAGCTCTGGATGGCTGCGCAGGTGAGCTACACCATCTTCATTTAGCACACAGTGAATGCACTGCACTCACTTCTTCATCCTCATTTATTATTATGTGCACATTATGACTTTTCACTGCACATTTGATGCAAAAACCTGCTACAAATGGAGGTCACTGCACTGAACTCTTCAGAATAAATAGCCTGTTTTAAACTGTTATCACATTACATCAACACTGAAGCCCTCTGCTGTCCTATGCTATAGCAGCCTGTCGGGTGCTAATGGTGTTAACGTGTGTGTTCCAGCTGCTGACTCCTTCAACTACAAGACCTTCTTCAAGGCATGCGGCTTGTCCGGCAAGTCCTCTGAAGATGTCAAGAAGGCCTTCTTCATCATTGACCAGGACCAGAGTGGCTTCATTGAGGAGGATGAGCTTAAGTAAGACACTCAAAGCAAAGCACACTTAACCAAGCAATGCCTCTGTGCCCCCCAAAACACGCACAAGATCTAATATCACTGTGCTGCATTTGAGTTTTTAGAAAAAAACAAGGTGTAGCTTTACACTTTCCCCTCATTGGGACATTTTGTTTTAGTTTGGAATGAATGAAAACTACACACAAAATACTAAAGAAAGGCCTTGTTTAATGGAGCCTGAAGGTTTTATGATCTTATACATTTAAATCCCTATGGATGTTTACAGGATACTCATTCTACACTGTGATATACAGCAGACCAATCAATAGAGCCTGAGACATTCATCATTTTAACTCCTGCTCTTTTATCAACCTTACAGGCTGTTCCTGCAGAACTTCTCCGCCACCGCCAGAGCACTCACCGAGAAGGAGACCAAGGCTTTCCTCTCCGCTGGTGACAGTGATGGTGATGGCAAGATCGGAGTCGATGGTAAGACTTCCGGCATATCTTTGAATGTAGCAGATATATTAGGCATACTATTCATTCTGATGACTTTTAGAATTGGACTCTTATTCAGCATTTAATATCCATTCACATACTCCTTAAATCTGCACGGACTCAAAGTCTTGGTCAGAGTGGGTCCAGTTGGTCCAGATCATACCACCGTGATGACATAAGAATCTCAATACGTTTTGTTCTCTACTAATGGCAGTTTTATTCTGTTTTCACAGAGTTTGCTGCCCTTGTAAAGGCATAATTTTCCATTGACCAAGATCCCCTTCTTTTCATGGAACTGCGAACTGCAAGATTCAGTAATCATCAGCTGAAAGAATATTTTTTATACCTTATTTATGAGTTGCCTGCGGATTATTTTCTAAACATGGAACACATACTTTACTGTGAATGTTACTCAGATGTGTTAAATGTTCTGAAATGTCTTGTGCAAACTGTAAAACACCATCTGCACTTTTGAGGAAGAGTGAAAAACCAGGAATAAATACTCTTTTGGTGTAAATCAACTCCTTCAGGTCAGTCGTCTTTGCATTGGTTCCACTGTGGGGTTTCATACAACCCGCTGTATTCACATAGCTGTGGCTATGTCAACACAACGGGTTGAGGAAGAGGCGGTGCGAAACAAGGTTCCACCTGCTGGGGATTTTAAAATACTCGAGAGGTGCTGAGAGGCAATTCAACTAACCTGCCGAGCACTTGTTTTGATAATTGGTTAATGGGAGGGGGAGTTAAAGCTGGACTCGGGCCACGAGCTGGCAAACACAGTGGGGAAGGCCCTCGGGCTTTGCTCACATACTCCCCGGATCCAGGGAGGTTTGCAATGGATAGCTGTCACACATAGTGTAATTGGCTGGTCTGTTCCAAGGTCTTTTTCTCCACCAACTGCTGCGTAGTCAATTAGATGATGTGCTGTGGCAACAGGAGGGCTATTAACAGCCACTGTTGTATCAGCAACCTTTCAGCAGGTTGAATCTGGTGCTTAAATGAAGAACTTTAGCAGTCTGAGGGGTTCTTAACAAATGAATCAATTCATCTATTGAGTTTATATGGAATGTGCCATATATTATATATTATATTCTATATAATTGTACTGGCACAGAAATATTGAAGTCCTATTACAATTCCAGGGGGAAGTTATGAATGTTCAGGGAACTGCAAGTCAGCAATATGCAAACCTCAACGCTATCAGATGACACCCTAAGCTTGTAACCATCAACCAGTTTTCATAACAGAGAGAGGCATAGTGACAGCAGTGTGACCTCGCAGGACAGTGCTGCCACCTACAGGTCAAAGCTATCTCAGCATTACAAGTGGAGCTATTAGGCTGTCAAGAGGAACCATTCAGAATTTTCCTCTTCCTTTTTAAAAACTTTGATTGGAGTTTACAGAAACATCTGCCTACAGCATGAACACATTGTGCTTTTAAACATCTTAAAACAAGGTAAATGGTTCACTGACCTACAAAGAAAAAAGGGTTTTGTGCAATCTGCAATTGAAGACGGTTGTTTCTAAAAAAAAAGAAAAATCTTTCAGTCCAATTTGATTCATCTGGGCAATAATATCTTTTTATTATTTCAAAATATGCAAGTCAAAATGACACTGACTGCAATTTGGAAATTGCACTGCTTCTATGTTAAAGCTTAAATATGACTGCTATATGCTTGGTTTGATAGATATTAGAAACTTCCCAAATCTGACAAAACACAAATGATTGCACTTTCAAACTAAGATACAACACATTCTCATTGTGACTGTGAGCTATAGGCAAAAACATCTGGTTCTAACATCTATAATCTATCTTTGTACAATCCGACTCATCTAATTCACAAAGGCGACTCTTTTACTCCAAACTTGCCAAGAAGACTTAATAGAAATATTCACCAATACAATAGTCCATGCCTTCCAAATCAACAATGTAACACGAAAAGAGGGAAAAGAACCAATTAGCGCCACTTACGCCAGCTCTAACGCATGCATGCTCCGTATCCACCCTCCTGAATACGGTTGTGTGGTGCCAGCAGCACTTCCAATTCGTCCTGCTCAGCAGTGCACAAGCCTATTCTTAGTTTTTTAGAGGGCGGGGGGGCGGACATTAAAGACTTCTTCAAACGCACCTTTTAAGCGTCTTCATTTGTGAAACTTAAAATAGACCGCTCTCTGGCCGCCACCCCCTCCTCGCCGGTGTCAGTTATCTTATGCCTCAGATTGCCGATCGAGTGGAACTATAAAAGGTCACCGGGAGCACCGGGAAGATCACTGCAGTCGACCGGAGTCTTGTCTGTATCATCTGTACCCTACAAAGCAAAGACAGCAAAGGTGAGTTTGAATGAGAGCAGCAAAGAAAGCCGGGATCCGTGCAGACCAAAGCCCGCAGCATCACGCTTGGCGTCTCTGAGAAAAAAGATTTGAAACATTTAATATGGACTTCGCGTTGCAATGCATCATCTAAAGAAAGAATAAAGAGGTTGTTTTTTTGTTTTTCTGCGGGCTGAATGAAGACATGGATTACTGGTCAGCATCTATAGAGTTGCAATATAGAGAACACGTGTAAATCTCAGCCTCTCCGGTGGGATTTGGAAATGCAACATCAAACATGCCACTCAGACAGAAGTGGATTTAATCATTTGAAATCTGAAATTATTTTACTTGAATATATTTCTATTGTATTTGGAATAAAATAATAACAGTTTGATAATTTTGGCAACAGACCAAACAGTTTATAAACCCTGTTTTTAACGCTGCTATATAAATAATGATATTCGTATTGTTATTCTAACGGGAGTCGGCGCTCTGTCGAATGATAACCTGATCGATATTTAATGTGATTCCTTACTTAGATATTGTGAAACATAATCCATACATTTTCCCAAATGGCTCTGCAGCGATTAACATATTCTACTTAAGAAGCATAATAACCGCTTTTATTTGCTTTCTACAGATCAAAATGGCCTTCGCAGGTGTACTGAAGGATGCTGATATCGCTGCAGCACTGGCCGGGTGCAAAGGTGACTCTTTCAATTACAAAAATCACAGTAACAGACTCCTGCGTGTGTGTGTGTGTGTGTGTGTGTGTGTGTGTGTGTGTGTGTGTGTGTGTGTGTGTGTTTTCTCGGAGCATCGATTAACTTTGATATGGATTTTGTGTCACCCATTTCAGACGCTGGCACATTCGACCACAAGAAGTTCTTCAAGGCATGTGGGATGACCGGCAAGTCCGCCGAGGATGTCAAGAAGGCCTTCTTCATCATCGACCAGGACAAGAGCGGTTTCATTGAGGAGGATGAGCTGAAGTAAGACACACACACACACACACACACACACACACACACACACACCTGCACCTATAAAAGGCAACACCAGGGGGCCTAAACAGATATCCACACATCAGACCAGTCAATTAATCTTCTGATTCCAGCTGCGTAAAGCTGCACAATGCTTTCAGTTATTATTATCATTATTAAAAAACACATTTTATAAAACATATTTTAATTGGTGCAGACTTTTGATACAAACCCATTCAGCGGTCAGGTTGAATATGAAGTGTGTCTCAGCTATCCTGGAGTCCGTGAACTAACCACCGACCGTGTCCGTCCTGCAGGCTGTTCCTGCAGAACTTCAAGGCAGGTGCACGCGCCCTGAGCGACTCGGAGACCAAGGCTTTCCTCAAGGCCGGTGACTCCGACGGTGACGGCAAGATCGGCTGTGACGGTGCGCACTCTCAGCTCATTGATGCAGAGTGGTTAAAGGCTTTTGTTTGCGCGTCTTTTGGTGGAAAACAGATGTCAAACTGTGTGTCTTTCTTCTGTCTCATTGCAGAGTTCGCCGCTATGGTTAATGTATAAACTGGCAACATGACCAACAACACCTGCTCTGATGGAACAACAAAGCCCACATCGACCTCCCCCCTTTTCATCTGAATATAAATAATTTTTATACATTTGCTGAAGAGACGTTTCTTCCTATGCAACACACTGTCCAAAATGATGATTGTGAATGTCGCTCGGTTGTGTTCATGTCTTAAATATGAATTTTGCTTACTGTAAAATCTATGATGCACTTTCCAGGGACGAAAAAAGAATAAATATTCTTTTGCTACGGTCCTATTGAATTTTTTTATTGTTTATGTACGCTATGATTTGTGTCTTTTCAATTCATGAACTACATCCTATAAACTCGGGCCAAAAGTCATCTCTCAAATTCAGTTTGAACATGATTTATTGGCATGGCATATGAATACATCGGTGTTACAAAAGCACATAGGCTACAGTAAATAGTGGCTAAATAAAAAGAAAACAATGGCAAATTATAATACAAACTGCTGATGTAACTACACACACACAATCACACTCAGACACAGTCATTACATTCCCTAGCCCCAAGTCTTTACCCCTAACAGCCCCACAAGTGTAGCGGACCACTGTTTTATATAAAACAAGTCATAACACACACAAGTATAATATATAAGTATAGTATAGCACTGTAAGTCTGGATACACATAAAGTGCGTGTGTGTGTGTGTGTGTGTGTGTGTGTGTGTGTGTGTGTGTGTGTGTGTGTGTGTGTGTGTGTGTGTGTGTGTGTGTGTGTGTGTGTGTTGGGGTACAATCATGTAACTTCACCCTGCAGCCACTAGATGGAGTTAGGTCCATTAAGAGTAGAAGTTGGGACAGAGACAAAACGTTACAGTAAATAATTTGGCGAACAAACAAACAACCGACAAGTGTTTGGACATTTATTCCCACTCTTCACGCATTCCAGGCCAGGAAGGAGCCTGGCTTTAACTAAAGGACCCCAATTCACATTGAACTCATCATATATATCAGGAAGAAACAATTCTATGAACTGACAGAGTTCAATCCTGTCTCTGACTGAAGGAGGCGGATCTATACGCCACTGTATACGTACAGCAGCGAGGCTCGTAAAGGACATTAGCAAATGTAAATGAATAAATGATCGTGCAGTAACAGTATAGTCTGTGCGGTATCAACATGGCGCATGACATCATGCACCGGGTGTGGGTAAAGCCGCACCACTGCTCTCGATCCGGTGTCCTCAGTCTCTTTTTCACACACAGACTGGAGGAGATGATTGAGTTTCTCTTTACCTGCTCAGGAGTGCAGCTTCACGAGAGTGAAGACTATCGGACATCACTTGTTGAGGGGCCCCATTAACAAGTTGGGGCCGGGATTAGGTTTAGGAAAGGTTGACAATGACCAACCACCGAAGATACAAGCTTTTATTCAATGATGAAAGACGTCAGGGTGCTGCCAGATAAATAAACAAACAAACAAACAAAAAAAAAACAACCTTGCGTCTACTGTGCGTAAAAGTCACCTGCTCTTTAATCACATCATAAGAAAAAGACATAAATAAAAAAAGAATAAATAAGTAAGATCTAAGTATAATAAGGGATTTCTATCCACATTCGTTTTATGTCTCCAGGCCTTTTAAATAAAGTTTAAGGGGATCTCCCGCAGCTCACGGTCGCCAGCTGACGCGTGCAAGAGCGCAGCGCTGCCAAGAGTCGCCCGCGCCCCACGCACAATCGCACGCGCATTAAGTGGCTGACTTCTTTAATGTGAGGAAGCTGGCCGGGGGGTCCTGTGTCCCTGCCTTTTGTTACATTCAAGGATATCCCAGAGACTCGGGTTACAGATATTTTGGACACACAGCCCTCTGAATCCTGAGACAGCTCTGCGGGACTGTTTAAGCATCTAATGTTTCGATTGCAGGTTTAATATTGTGTGCAACGATTGTGAATTCATTCTAAAATGTTGACACAGTTTCAGCACTGTCTTTCTCCACCCTACACTGCTGCATATGCGCACCTTCAGCTAACCTTAAATCCTGGAGAGAAATAACCTTCCTTTTCTGTGCGCTGCCGCAGGGAACACTCTCCCAGAAACGTGCTTAATGACCCCTGAATGTGTTTGTGTGTCAGACCCACCCGGGGCCACATATGCCCTCGAAAAGAAAAAAAAGACAACCTGAATGTGGTCTTTTAGCAACAAACTGGACAGTCTGAAAAAAGGCCAGTGCGCAGCCCTGGCTTTTCAGAAAACAGGAACAAACAAAATGATCAAACACCAGCAGAAATGAAGCCAACGTCCAGCCCTGTATGACCTCTGACTGGTAGGCTATACCTCTATTTAAACAGTGCATGTGAATACCTGGGACACTGCACATAATGCATCATCATCACCATCAAGGCTGGATGGGACACCGGCAGCAGAGGGTGACCTCGGGTCCCTTAATCAGCACAGTTGACAAAGCAATTTAGTGAGACTGTCCCCCACGTCAGTATGAGAGAGCGAGAAGGCTCTAAAGCGTCCCTGACATTCAGCATGAGCAGCTATGTGTGTGTCTGGGGTTATAGTAGATTTGGTTGGAAATAATATTAACCCCCATCGTGTGAATCTGGGGCAACTAGAGCAGGTAGATCCTCAATGCATCCAGGCAGATCTGGGCAGGTGAAGCGCCTCAGAATGCCAGACTGCGTAAGGGCCGACCTCTCAGGTATGACTCTATAATCTCACACTAACCATTGACACAGTCCTCCCGCAAGACTACAACAAATATGACATTAAAGGGTCAGTGTCGGCTGACATTGTTGACATTTTATTTCCCATAACTCACCTCAAATGTAACGATAAGGGCACATTTGCAGCGGGAACGTGGCTCAGATGTGCTCGTTCTGGGACTGCTGCCTGTAAAAGGATATCTGCATGAAAGGGGTGGGGGTGGTTGGGGGGTGCAGAAGAAACAGCAAGAGAGGGAGAAACGGAGAGAGAGAGAGAGAGAGAGAGAGAGAGAGAGAGAGAGAGAGAGAGAGAGAGAGAGAGAGATTGCAGTTGCATTACAGCCTCCCTGCATTTACTGTACTATATAATTCTAGAGGTGAGAGGAGGTGGGGTTCGGGGATGATGGGAGGGAGTGGCGGATGGAGAGAAGAATGCGCTTTTTAACTTAATTTGCTATTTACAAGGGCGTTACAGATGTCCACGGTCCGGTCTCTGTGTCCCCGGGCGTTATAAATAGCAAAGGTTAATTAGTTAGCTGAGAAATTGGATCAGGGGCGGGCAGTTAGAATTTGATCCACAGACAGGTAACTCAAGCAATCCCTATTGTCACTGCAATCAGACCTATATAAATCCGCCTTGACAGACAACAGTCACCACATAGCCTTACCTCTCTTGCAGGATCACCGACCCGCCGAGAACACCCCCCCGAACACGGTAAGTTGCTTTGTGGATTCAGGGAGGTTGCTAACCCCTTTTTTAATGATGGAGAGTGGCTGCTTTTTGCTTTTTGCTTCTTCTTTTTTTTAAATGTTGATTTAGAAAGATTTTGAAGAGAAGGATGCTCTGGCTCCGGTTTATTCAGAGCGCTTCCGATGCTGCTTGAAGTTAGATGACAGGTGAAATAACGGCGTGCGTAAAAGGGGAGACTTATTTGCGTCGGAGGTGACCAAAAAAAAAAAAAGCCAAAGCGAGAAAGTTTTATAATGTCTAATGTGTGGGATGAGACTGTAACTTATTGGAGCAGTTATTTCACATTTTAACTTTCATAAGAACTTAAGGCTTTCTCTCTCCTGACTTCATCGGTCCGTAATGTCACCCGGACACCTCCTTGTCTCCATCAGTGTCAAGTTGGACAGTTTGCTGCTGTACCTGCACGGCCACATATGTTAATAATTCACCATGGCTTGTTCCTCCTACAGGAATAAAATGTCGCTCTCATCTATCCTCTCCGCTGACGCCATCGACAGCGCTATCAAGGACTGCCAAGGTATCGTCTTCCACCAATATCATTATTGCTCTCTTTATTCGATTTTTTTTTTTTTTTTAAAGTTCTATACAGCATTTCTACTGGAGCCTGTGCAGTCAGACTGGTTGTCTCTATGTTATTGCCTCCAGGAAGTCTGTGAAAATGTTGATATGGAAAGATGCATAGGGGCCAAGTTAAATACAGTGTATGGTTAAGGCTTTATTGATGATTTAACAGCATCAATTAGGCACAAGTCCAGACAAGTCATGTTAGTTTTATCATTGGAGGTGTTAAAATACAAAATATTCCACAGGGAGCATTGAGGATGAATATTTTCCATACTAAGAAAAGAAAGTTAGGAAATTTACAGCACACTTAATAATACCTTAAGATGATCTAACATACCAACAACATATGTTATCTTGTCTCCGCAATTTAAACTATCTGATCTTCCAGAGACTTGTCTTCATTCTAGCTTAGTGAAAAAACTTGACTACTAAATATTGAAAATGAGCTCCTGCTGTTCCTGACTTTCTATCCTCCTTCAGCCCCAGACTCCTTCTGCCCCAAGAAGTTCTTCCAGGTGTGTGGCCTCACCAAGAAGAGCCCACAGGATGTGAAGAAGGTTTTTGGGATCCTGGACAACGATGGCAATGGTTTCATTGAGGAGGAAGAGCTCAAGTGAGTCAGCGGCCGCTTCATTAATGACAGACTTTTTTGCTGTATTTGATGGCCCCTGAGACGGGAGGAGAGACTAGAAGTTGTCTTGGGAAATAATCACATTTCCATTTAGTTTTCATGTTGCATGTTAAGAGGATCCTCGTACATCATTAGTTTATCCAACTTATTGACACAACTCACATTGTTTTCCACATTATATGTGGGATCACGGATCACTGCAGCACACCTTTATATCTATCACCCTCAGAACATAACAGATGTAAAAAATCTAACACCACTTATGGGACAGGGACTGTTAATGTGTAGCCATTGTAATAGACTGTCTGCTCAATAGAAATTGTGTTCCTGGCTGTACAGCAGCACAAAATATCTGATAACTGTAGTAAATTACACGAGAACTTCATATAACTTATTATTACTTATTTTACATCCCGTTACTTGTGTACATTTAAGTTCTTTTATAACTTTTGTAGGACAGATTGAACCTCTGAGTCTGTTACCGATTTCTGCCTTTATGGTTATTGCTATGTGTCCAGTTGTTCCTCTGACTTTAACTTCTTCTCTGTGGCTTTGTGTATGCCAGGTCTTTCCTCCAGAGGTTTTCCCCTGGGGCTCGCGCTCTGACAGACAAGGAGATCAAGGGCTTCATGTGTGCTGCTGATGACGACAGCGATGGCCGGATTGGAGCAGATGGTGAGAGGATCGAGACTTATTTGAGATAAGATATTTGATATATGTATGTGTGATTAGAATAAAAAATCCACATATTTTATATTTTCAATTAGACTGCAAATTGACTAAATTTGTTTGGTTGTTTTAGGTCAGTATGCCAGAAAGAGAGGATGTAGCAATCATAGTTACGCTCTACCCCCTACTCCCTTTTCTGTCCTTCAGTAGCATGCTTAGTTTAATTGATTAGACAAATCACATCATTGACATGTTCTTAACTTTAGAGCACAACAGTGCCACTGAATTACAGTGCTAGCTCTACCTCTCTAGTCGTTTCATATCTTTATTGTTGCTAAATATGAAACACACATTTTCTAGTTGAGGCCGGTGTCAGACAGATGAGATAAATTATCGGGTGTCACATCTTACTAATGTTTTTCTTTCTCTACAGAGTTCCAGGCCATGGTCATGTCCTAAACAACTGGACCTCATCTCTCCAACTCAATGAGACCCCCCCCTCCAACCTCCTCCCTCTATTCCACTGCTATAAGGGCTCTCTTAGTTTTAGTTGTTTTCCATCTAGTTAGATGAATGATTTTGATTCTTTTTATTTTGCAAGATTCGCTCTGGTCCACAGACATACACATTCTCATCAGGTTTTTAGTTTTTTTTTTTCATGTTTTAGAGAGATCATAAAGCGGTATTTCCCAAATAAATGTACAATTTACCAAATTACTGAGAAAATAAAATAATAAAATCCAAAAAACGGCAGTTCTTTTCATTATTTCTATTCAAGTGTACATGTTTGTGTGTTTCTGAACAGTATGTCTTCTTGATGTGGTTTGAGATGACATCAGGTGTGCCAAGAAAAAAAACTAGTATAGTCAAGGGAGGTTGTTTCATGTGCACAAGATGGTCTAATTAACCCTAGAGAGTGGGAATCCATACATGATGATCCAGATGCGCCTATGCACAAAACAAACCATTTTCTTTAAAATTCCGTGGCCTCCTCACTTACCCGTACCGAACACACAGGTATATGATATGTAAGAGTCCTGAAAACCCGGGGTTTCTGATTGAGATGTATATACAGTACAGGTGTGTGTTTGTGTGAGAGAGTTTATACAGTGAGAGAGCTAGCGCAAGGAAAAGGCAGAGTAGGTGACCTTGATGGCCACCTGAGTGTCACAGTGGCTGGATCGAGTGACACCTGACCTCAGCTTTGTAAATAAACCCAGTTGAACCTTGGTGCTGCTCAGGCTGGGGTAACAAACCACATTGACACACACACACGCACACACACGCATACACGCACACACAAACAAACCCAATGCATTTGCAAAAATCAAATATGAGATCAGACACAGGTGACCATCCATGCAAACACACATAAGTATGCACATAAACACACGCACATCAGGGTTGTTGTTAATACAGGAATCAGTGTGAGTGAGAATGTTTGTGTGCGATTAGGAGATGCAAACTCTGCAGAATGCTGTAGCTGAGAATGCTAGCATTACATGTATTCCTTTGCCAGGTTTCCTTGGCAGCTCAGAACAGCTTGCTCAGGATATTAAAGAAGAATCATTTTATCACGCTCACCCAAATTCTCAGACAGATTGACCATCTCACAACTCTGCATGCCTCCTCCAAGAGACTTTAAATAGCATACAGCTTTTTCATTCTCTGCACTTACAGGATTCAGGGGATTAAAACTAACAACTACTTCACTATTCACCCACCCACTAGAGGCGCCAAAATACAGAGTCCCATGCGTTCTTTCACTGGTTCCACCTTGGTGTCATTTCAATAACCTGTATATTACAGGGAGAAGCTGACTATTACAGCAGACACCTGCTACTCAGAGCTATGGGGCAAACCCTGGTATTAGTAGGTCGTGGCTAAAAGTGTGGCATGTGTTGCTCGATTCAGATTTTCAGTTGTAAGAGCGTTCTTTCTTCAGCCAAATGTGTGTCTTGTCATATCACTGTCACTGTCACTGTCACTATGAAGTGATATAACTCTGACAAGGCCAATCTGATTTATTCACAATTTAATATGTTAAAACCAGTGACCATTTCAGACAATATCAGTCATTTTTATACCAAAATCCATAAATAATTTAGTGTTTTGCAATAAACATGCAGCGATGTACATAAGATCAAGTATACAGTAGAGTGAAACAAACTTTTAACATCCTGCAAGTTTGTATGTGAGTATGAGCAAAGACAAAGCTGGAGAGATCCTGTGAGAGATATTGTTAAGTTAAGAGAACATTCAGAAGTAATGATGTGTATTTGAGTGTACATATACATACTTGCAGTCTAAAAAGATAGTGGTGTGCTAAAGCATGAGTCTTAGTTTGAACTTAACATTGTTATAAATAGTATACATCATTATAAATGTAAAAAGAAAGACTGGGTTGAAATCTTTAAAAGTATGCAAAAGCAAACTTTGGGCATCCATGCATATAGGAGGTGTAGTAATGTCAACATTATAATAAAAAAAACTTTATTGAGGACATTGTTCAAAAGAAAATCAATTAGATGAAATGTTTTGAAACCTAATTTAGATCTACACAATTTGAATTAACTTATATTAATTATGTATATACTCTACATAAAAATGTATGTGCATACCAGAGCATGTTATTTATAGACAAACTGTTGTCTGCCAAGACAAAAACACAGGACATGCACAGAGAGACAAACAGCTAATTAGATCATCATGTATCAATATCTGCTGTTATCAGTTTCTGATCCTCTGCAGACATTGGGTGGAGCAGTGAGAATGTGTGTGGGGGATGTGGGGGTTAGGGTACATGACTGAAAGCAGGACAAGGTTGGGGAAGCCAGTAACACAAGCCAGGGGACACACAATAGAGCCATGACCCCTACAGGTCAGGAGTGGCGAGTGGTAAACAGGAAGGAAATGTGAGCCAACAGGTCGACACTGACTGCTGGATGTGCTGCTGTGGGACATCAGTACAAGATAATGTGACAAGCAGCTTACCTGGACTCAAGGGCAGAGAGAGAGAGACTGTAGCTCTGAGAGCGCAGCTCTGACAGTTCTGTTGGGCTGACAATGTGAGAAAAATGACAAGCAACAGCAGTTGATGGACTGCAAGATGAAACATGGAGGAAGTCTTGACATTATTTCACAAAACTGGCCTTAAAGGACCAGTGTGTAGGATTTAGTGGCATTTAGGGGTGAGGCTAACTAACTAACAGATCATCGCTGGCGTCCGTATTGGACGACATGGGAATGTGAACGGGCAGTTAAGTGTGTAGTAGAAACTATGGAGGCTGCGAAACTCCCAAAAAACATAAAAGACCCCGTCTACAGCCAGTGTTTGGTTTGTCCGTCCAGGGCTACTGTAGAAACATGGTGGTTCAACATGGCAAACTCCATGAAAGGCGACCTGTGGCGTCTATAGATAAAAAAGGTGACAAAAAAATGTTTCAGTGAGGTGATTATACACTACTGAAAACATTATACACTGGACCTTTCACCTTCATCTGTCGAGAGAGGCGGCTGTGGTTCAGGAGGTAGACATGAGAATACTGCCGGTCTGATCCCCAGCTCCACCCTCTGCATACTGAAGTGTCCTTGGGCAATGCTGTGCCATCAGTGTGTGAGTGTGTGTGAGTGGGTGAATGTGACATGTAGCGTAAAGTGCTTTAAGTGCTATAAAAGTGTAATCCATTTACCATTCAAGATAAAAAAAAATAAGGGCTGGATTGAACTCAAGGTTGTTACAGTCTGATACGTTGAAAATTAAATGTGGGGTAGCTTCCTCAGATGTATTAGTGGTGGGTGTTATAACTTCACATGACCGGATGACTGCGTACGCTTGATGAACTTCCAGAGACTTGACTTTAACTGCATGAAGTCTTACTTTATTGAAGATCCTGCAGTAACATGTTGCATGTTTATAGGTATCTGGGTTTCCACCTGGATAACCTCTTCAGCTGGAGTGATCATGTAGATCATGTATGTTCCCGTTTACAGCAAATGCTGTATTTTTTACGCAGACTGAAGGTGTTTGGTGTCAGCCAGAACATCATGTTTTTATTTTATCAGGCAGTGATGGAGAGTATCAGGTATGGGATGACGGCGTGGTTCAGCAATCTCTCCACACAGTCCAAATCTAAGTTGCAGCGCCTGGTACAGACTGCCATGAAGGTGATGGGGAGGACTGAAAAGCTCTCCCTTCAGTCCATCTATTAGCAGTCTGTACTCCGCGCGGAGAGTATTGTTAGACCCGTCCCACATCCTTCAAACGGAATATGAGGTCTTGCCTTCTGGCAGAAGGTACAGAATCCCAAAATGCAAATTGTACCGTTTTAAAAACTCTTTCGTACCCACCTCCATCAAAATTTTAAATAGATCTGTACGCTGAGGCCTGGGAAGTGTGCAATAACTTGGTGTTCTGTTTGTTTTGTTTTTTATTTGCTTTAATCTTTCATTGGATGTGTCATGAGTGTGTATGTAGCCTACATGTATGTCTTTAGTTGTTCTATGTATTTTATGTGTATTTATTGTCTGTAAGGGCAGCTACTACTATGCACTACGCACTTTGAGTCTATGGCAAATTTCCCCTAGGGGACAATAAAGTATATTCTAATCCTAATGTCTTCAGTGATAGCTGAACGAATCCCACACACTAAGTTACTCTGCCTCCCACTCAGACAGTAACTTTATCACAACAGTATAAGTATGTGGCACTATATACTGCAGTGGGGGATCATTAGAAAGCAATATGTAATAGAAAGCCTTTATGTATGTCACATGGGATGTTGTGGGGAAGGGGAGGTATTCTGCAGCGTTTGCTCTCAGAAAAGTGCGTTTTGTACTGTAATGTCACAGGATGTTTGAGAAAAAGTCTGAAGTGTCATTTCAAGCATTAGGGTAAATCCATGTAGTAAATCATGTACTTTCTAAATATATAATTTCAGAGATAATAAGAAGGGGTCATACCATGAGAAATCAATACATACTGACGATGAGAACTATTTCTTACTCGGTTAGTCCTTACATGACGAGTGAGGGTTTACTTTTGTTTCCCAAGAACCAGGGGAATGAAGAGAGAGGTTAGAAAAGATAAAATGTTAATAGGGTTGAATTCAGTAGTAGACATCACAGTAGCAGCAGTAGTAGTAATAGTAGTAGCCGCAGTAGACACCTTGAAATGTTAGGATGCAGCATTAGGTAACAAACAAAGGAATGGAGTAGCCTAACCAAGCAAACTTAAAGTAACTTTTACTTAACTTTTATATCAAAATGTTTTGTGGGACCGCTTACAACGAACCATGCCATTTGTGTACATAGGCACTTTATGGGATGGACACATAGGCCTAGCCTGCTTGTCTGCTTGGCACTTCAATAATTGATGCCCTCGCTTCATTGTCACAAAAAACTCATATCAAGAAAGGAGTGTCAGGCTCACCTTACTGATTAAGTCTGTGTGAAACTTTAATGCGCACCCCATCTTCAACTGATAACAAACTTGAAGTGCTCAAGCAAACGAGGTAATGGGGAGCTGAACTGTTTGGACGCCCGCCTTGCATCCAGTGTCTGCTCTGACAAACGCCGGTCATATTTTGACTCATTCCCAGTGTTTTGGAGCCTGTACGTATCAGAGATGTTGCTACCTGATAGTCTGAACGGTGAGGAACGTCGTAAAAGATTTAACTGGCGTGTTAGGATGACTGAATGGGCTTTGTGAGCTCTTCGCAGGAACTCTATCCATAATGCAGGGGATGACAGCACTGCCACTGTTCCCCAACAAGCATTAGTCCTGAGCCTCTACTTATGATGTCTGCGTGCAGCTTCCCTTCATTAATGAATGATAGGCCATGCAAGTATCAATGTCCACTCCTGAAACACACAAAATCTATTTCCACCCTGACATGAGCCTACTGTTTACATATAATTTATATACACATGGAGCTCTGTCTATTAACTAGACTAATGCAAGTTTGCAATATGAACTAAAAGCCACACCCTGCTTAAACCCCTGAGCAGCTGCAACATGTGCTGACTCACCCTCAGACTGAGTAATAGCTGTCGTGGAGATGTAGACAGGTACTTTGCAGACTTTTCCAAATGAGAAGGCACAATCAGATAAGATGGCGAGAGTCATCCAGGACAAACTTACTTTGACTAGCTGAATAATAGAGGAAAACTGTGAGAGGACAACTAAAGAACGTTTGTGTCTGACTGGAGTTTGGCTGGTAAACACCTTACAACATCCATAAATGTTGGATAAGACACATACATAGAGTCAGCTAAAAAGCACTTTCATAAGCTTAGATTACACACACGGTGCCTTCAGAAACTCAGACAACATTACGTACAAGTGTCTGCACCTAAAAACATAGCTTATGGTAATAGTTTTTCATCAACAAACATCATCAACTTTCATCAACTACTGCTGTTTACATGTATTACAACAAACAGGGTATACCTTTAATCTCTTTACAGCAGTACAAATAAATGTTAAACCAACAACCCATGAGTATCAATGTCACCCAGGCTAGTTGTTTCCCCCTGTTTCCAGTGTTTGTGCTAAGCTAAGCTAATCAACTTCTGGTTTTAGGAACTTTTTGTACAATTCTCTTATGTATTTTTTATTTCTTAACAATCATACATACTTTCTTCTTCATTTGACATATTCAGTGTTTTTCCCCCTGACACTTGACCATTGTCCTAAAGCTGTTTGGTTGTTTTAACTGCATACTTTTCTAAGGACCCCATCTACAGCCAGTGCTTGGTGTGTCCGTTCTGGGATACTGTAGAAACATCGCGGCCTTCACAAAAGAGGACCCGCTATAGATAAAAACAGCTCATTCTAAAGTATCGAAAACACAATCATTCTTATTTTCAGGTGATTAAACACTGATGATACCAATAGAGCCTCCTGAATGTTACACACTGGAAGTAAAGTATTTATTGCCGTCTGTCAGTTCACACACTGTTTATCTCAGTCAGTGACCCAGAAAGACTGTACCTGAGTACGACAGCACCTACAAGACCTATGTCACCCCCCCCCCAATGCTACCTACAGCCTGACAGACTTCAGCTACCTTGTTCCTACATGATTTAAAGAACTACTGTGAGGTTTCAGCTCCCTCCGTATAGTCTCAGTTTCTCGCTCAGGTAGTCTGGCCATCAGATCCGACTATTACCTCAGTAGAGCTGCCAGGTTGGACCCAGCATCCCCCCCTCCCTCCCCTCCCCTCTCTCTTGTTAGATTCCAGCAAACAGTGAATTATTCAGGGTTAACAAGCTGTTGGAATGGCAAACGCAGTTCTGCATTTTCATTAAACCTGTCCTTCTGCGTCTCTTGTAGCTGAGGAGAGGATGAGGGCTCAAGTGTGAAACAGTATTAGACTGATTCCTCTGACAGAAAGGTGACAGAGAAGATGGTGACGGCGAGGGGGCCATGTGTGTCAAAGGAGAGTCCGGTATCAGGCAAAGTCATGGCCTCCTCAATTGCTTCCTGGTAGAGGATTGTGTTGCCTGATTTGAATGAGTCAAAAGATCACTTGTGATTGTTAACGCTGGCTAGACTGAGCTAACTGGTTTTGATTGGTGTAACAGGTTGACTGCGATAGGACATGAAGCAGTCAGATCTTAAAGGCTTTGTTTATGTATTTGTCCTCAACAGATATATTAGGTAAAGCAGACAGAGTCACAAGGTACAAACCTCCACTGCAGCCCAGGGGCAGAGCTATATAATTTCTTTCTTGGTAATTTGAATTTCTTGGTAATATTGTCTGTGTTATACTCATGGCAACAAAGCATATTGAATTCATTCAATTATTCATGGGGTTGCAAGAGGGTGGCAGAGATATATGTAGATTTAATTGCAAATAAATATCACATATATTAATATTTACTTGAAAAAAGGCCCCAAAAAACAAGTTATTTGAACTCTTAAATTTTACAATATTGTGGCACATTAGTAAAACATTGAATATCAGTATTTAATTAGATAAGAAATTCTTTTATTTCCAGATCTTCAGAAATTTTTCATTGAACTTAAGCCTATCAGTTAGTATAAAATGTGGCCATAACAGATCATTAAATTATATGGGTTTATCTCTGTTTCTGTTTTAACATTCATCTAAATTAATTTGACACCATTTGACACCGAACTGGAGTGGCAGCAGGGAGGTCAGGCATTTCTGCTGTGTTAGACTATCACTTATATTTCTCCTAATCTGTCTCTGAAGCTGAAGGTGACCAGTTACTGTTGACTCCACTTAATGGCACAGAGCTCTTGTATACTCACCCATACACACAATCCCATGCAACCTCACACACAAGGCTAAAAGGTCACACTAACATACACATATAAATACATATGCACACATTTGTGTACATTTGGTATGATTGATTTTGAATTTATGGGATCTTTTAGAACTAATATCCATAGATATGATGTGCTTTCTTTTTAAAAAGCCACCACTTGGATTGAAATAGACAACAACAAGAACATAATATTCACTCTAATATATTATTCTTTGTTATTGTCAAAGAAATTAAACAACTTATTAACTTATTGCTAAAACTGCACGTGTGGCATTGATTATTACATTTAAACAGTTTAATTTTGAACATATTGGACATTGCTGAGCTAATTTTACAGCACATTGTGGAGAACCATGTTCCTGTTTGACTGCAAACATTAGTAATTTTGAATTTTCTGTCCTTATTAATTTTATGTCCTATATTAATATTATTAATCGTGTAGGACCTTATATATACTGTCAGTGTGTAGGACAGAGAAATGCTGCAGCACTGCTCTCTACAGATGGAAATTTAAAAACAATATTGCACTTCACCCCGTTGAGTGATGTCAGGTATGCTGCCCCGGTAGGAGCTGTAAAACCTCATAATGATTCCTCTTGTGTCAAAGAAAATTAATCTTGGATTAAATAACATATGGTCAGCTGTACTGAAAGCAACTTGATCCAACGTGGATCAGACAAGAAAAACGTTAAAGGAATGACTGACACTAAATGCAAATAAACTTATTTCATAACTTCACATATTAAACTGAATCTTATTTGTATCACCATCAGTGAATCAGACTGTCTTAGTTTAGTTTAAGTTCATATCAGTATGACCAACTCCACTGCTGACTGCTGACCTCCTGCATTGTGCTCATTAAATGAGAGAAACTATACTGTGGCGCCCTCTAGTGCTTTTGGGGTGATACATGCAGAGAGAAATGTGGCGTATAACATGTACATGTACATATGTGTCAGCACTGAGTGAATATTAAAAACAATACATTAAAAAAACAATCCTATACTATCTTATCTCCAAACAACAAATTAAACCAGGGGTTCCCAAACTTTGTCATGTAAGGGACGCCCATAATATATATATATATATATATATATATATATATATATATATATATATTAGATCCCATAACCACAGTTTATTAGGATATCCCCAACCCTATCTCTGTCCTTGTTGTTACAATATCCAAAAAATGGGAAACTTAAAATATTTGGTTCCTCATTTTTATAGGAATCCCCTACAACCTACTCAAGGACCCCAGTTTGTAGGCCCAGGCCCCCTTTGGGACTGCCAGAGGATGCCAGAGGGGCCTCAAACAATTTGATGGAAGTTGTCTAATTGCCTCCCAGTCAAGACATCGTTCATGTGTCAGTGTTGACCCGGTAACAGTCTGCGTCTGCCACAAAGCTGCTGCTCCTGAAATGTACCTATATTTACTGAATCTACTGCGTGAAGATGTTAAATACAAATGTTATAATTATTATATTAATAAAAGTAAGAAAAGGTTTTCAGAAATAGTTTTTTAAAAGACATCTTGCAAAAGAGGAGCCCGGCCATTTGTTAGTGATATTTGAGGGGGGGGGATGCCTTGGCATGGAAAAAGTTTAGGTACCCCTGAGTTAGTTACTCACCTCCACGTCACTTTCGCCGGACGTGACGTCACTGCGGCCTCTTCCCTGCGTCACCGGGAGCGCTGCTGCTGCTGCTGCTGCCTGTCAACGTCACACAGCCCTCAGAGGACCTCTGTGTAGCCGGATTGTGTTTTTAACTGTTTCTCTCCAGTAACTGCCCTCCACCATGCCCATGTACCAGGTAAAGCCCATCGGTGGGGGTCCCATAAAGACCGACCTGCCAACCTGCATGTACAAGTTACCAAATGTCCACGCGCAGCCAGGGAACAGCTGCACCTCTGAGCACGCGCTTCAGGTAACTCATTTCACTCCGACGAGGGTTTTTATTTTATTTTCAACTTATTTCAGCTTGAGTTTGTCCCTCGTTGTTTGTCCCTCGCGGCTCGTTTTTGGTCTTCTCACGCGCTGAGACACGCGCATCTCGGACGGTGTGTTAGCGTTAGCCTTCATTAGCCGAGTTAGCCTGCTAGCTGGCTAACTTTAGCCTGTCAGTACAATGAGTAACCTCACTTTCGGCTGATGCAACAATTACTACACGTCTCCACTGCTCCATCAGCGTTTAAAGGTTATTAAACTGTATTTAAAGGACGCTATTACAGCAGTATTTCTCCGCCCTTTGATGCATTGGCGTTAATTGTTATTAAAATGGATATTATGATAATATGGCCGCACAGAGGAGACCCTCACACTGTGGTGGGCTGGGACTACTAACTTACATCTACTAGTACTGTACTTAAATACAGTTTTAATGGTACTTTGTTGGAGTCATGCCACTTTTTACTGCTCTGCATTAATCTGACAGCTATAGTTACTTTACAAATGAACACACACCTTAATGAACCTATAAAATATGAACAATATATATAATTTTGTGTCAAATATGATCCACCTTATCCAACTACATCTGTAGAATCCTACTTACACATTAACGCATGAGCAATATTAATATAATATATAATAGTGAAACAATATTTCTGCATTCAGAACATTTATTTTTATACTTTGTGGACATTTTGTTAATATTATGTAGTTAGCCTTAAGTATTATTTTACTTGTAATGGAGTATTTTTTACAGGGTGATATTGCTACTTCTACTTAAGTGTCTGGATACTTCCTTCTGGGGTAGACATTGTGGCACCAGACTATAATGGCATAATATATACATATATATATATATATATATATATACACCGATCAACCATAACATCATGAGCACTGACAGGTGAAGTGAATAACACTGATTCTCTGGTTATCATGGCTTCTGTCAGTGGGTGGGATATATTAGTCAGCAAGCATTTTCCTCAATTTGGAGAAGCAGGAAAAATGGGCAGCGTGAGGATTTAAGCGACTTTGACCAGGGCCACATTGTGATGGCTAGATGACTGGGTCAGAGCATCTCCAAACCTGCAGCTCTTGTGGGGTGTTCTCGGTCTGCAGTGGTCAGTACCTATCAAAAGTGCTCCAAGAAAGGAAAAGAACTGGAGACTGGGTCATGGGGCAGCCAAGGCTCATTGATGCACATGGAGAGTGAAGGCTGGCCCGTGTGGTCTGATCCAACAGACGAGCTACTGTAGCTCAAACTAATGCAAAAAGTTAATGATGGTTCTGATAGAAAGGTGTCAGGACACACAAAGTGCATCACATTTTGTTGGTATGGAGCTGCATAACATCATAACCACCAAGGGTGCCTAGGTGGTCATAATGTTATGGCTGATTGGTTTGTGTATGTATATATATGATGGTACAAGACAAGTATCTACATGAGGTCTAGTCTTCAAAAAGTCTCAATAAGTTGTCTTTCTTTGATCCTTCTTGTATGTGTGTGTATACTGGTAGGGTTTATTTCAAGACTGGGAATACATTTAATCTGTTCTCAGTACTTTTTGCAGGATTGTGCTCAAATTGATCAATGCTCACACCGTCAAAATTCCCATTTATGGTTTCATCCGAACTGAGCAATTCTCTCTTTATCTCACCAGAATGGCGAGGTGGACCCAGCAGTCAAAGCTCTGGAGGCCCGGCAGGATGAGATCATGAGAAAACTGTACGAGTTGAAAGCAGCTGTGGAGGGCCTGGCCAAGACGGTGACCACTCCAGATGCTGATCTGGACCTGACAGTCAGCAGCAGCCTCTCCTCCCAAAGCCTCAGCTCCACAACCTTCAAAGGCGCCGTCACAGACCTGGACACACTACTGGGGAAGGTGAGAAACTGGGAACTGTACGTGTTTACTCTGGAGAAAGTGTTTGTTATTGACACACTGACAGTATGCTTCTATTTCCTGCACATACTTTGACTGCATTTTCTCTGTGGCAGTATCCGTCTATAGATGTTTCTCCTGACCACACCCATCATACCTGCCGACTATTACACGTTATAAATAGTTTGCTAACATGCACAACCAGCTGGAATTTGTCTTGAAGCAGATATGAGGGTGTGGACTCATTAAGCCTGTTTGTGCAGGCTGCATTGGCCTTTGTTACAGCTGTCAAATGTATTTTGGATGCTGCACGTATTTACCTCTTTTTTTAAATTTTATTTATTTATGTCACAAGGACCTCGGTGCTCTCCGTGACATTGTTATAAACGCCAATCCGGCGCAGCCACCCCTGTCCCTGATGGTGCTCCATAGCCTGCTGTGTCAGCGCTACCGGGTGCTCTCCACCGTCCATGTCCACTCCTCAGTTACCGGTGTGCTGCCACAGCTCCTGTCCTGCCTCGGTCCACGCCATGCAGACAGCTACGCCCGCCACATGTTCCAGCTGGGCTTCACCCTCATATGGAAAGATGGTAAGGCACATCGAGAAAGGCAGAATGTGTGGGGGGAAGGACAGAAGACAAGGAGTGATGAAGACAGTGAAACAATTACATTCACACAGCTCGTTTTAAATCAAAACTAGTTTTATATGCTAGTGCGACACGTTCCTGATAGAAACATCTCTTCTGATTTAATTTGGATTTAATGTGAGTGTAGGTGGTTTTAGTACCTTTCACCCTGGAAAAGTAATTACAAGAAACAATGAAATAAAAACAAACTGTAATCAGACATTTGAGCTGGGTGAGTTATTAAAGGTGCAGTGTTTAATATTCAGGAGGATCTGTTTGCAGAAATGGAATATAATATTCATAGGTATGTTTTCATCAGTGTATAATCACCTGAATATATGAATCGTGTTTTTGTTACCTTTTTAGAATGAGACGTTTTTATCTACAGACTCCTTTGTGGGTGTGACCATGTTTCTACAGTAGCCCAGAATAGACAAACCAAAGACTGGCTCTAGATAGTGCCGTTCACAGTTTTTGCGTGTTTTGCAGCCACCGTAGTTTCTCCTGCACGCTGGGAAGGGGAGGGTGAAGCGAGAGAGTGACAATCTCCAAGAACACTGCTAGATGCCTCTAAATCCTACACACTGGACCTTTTTAAGAAGTCAATTTGAATATTGTCAGTAATTAAATTTTTAAGAACACAACTTTGGAACTTATTCTGACCTATTTGGACATTATTGTCGTTAATCTACATGTCATGACTATTCTGTTTATGAGTGCTATTTCTAACTAGTGTCATATTATCAATAATTGGCCATTTACAATAATTTATAAACACTTGAGCTCTTGTTTACCATTTCATGTTTGTGCTATTCACAGTCCCCAAACTGCAGATGAAGTTCAGTGTCCAGAACATGTGCCCCATTGAGGGCGAGGCCAACGTGGCGCGCTTCCTCTTCAAGCTGCTGGCGCCCTACCCCAGTGACCCTGCTCTTGCCACACTGGTGGACAGCTGGGTGGACACGGCTTTCTTCCAGCTGGCAGAGGGCAGTGCCAAAGAGCGGTCCGCCGTCCTGCGGGCACTCAACTCCGCTCTGGGCCGCAACCCCTGGCTGGCCGGGCCGGACCTCTCCCTGGCCGACATTGCCTGCTACTGTTGCGTGCTACAAAGTGGCTCGGCCTCCTCTGCTCCCACTAACGTCCAGCGATGGATCAAGTCCTGTGAGAACCTGGGTCACTTCAGCCCTGCCAAGCTACTTCTGCAGTGACGAGGGTCGTCCCGGGACGGATACCAGAAAGGGTGTCTTATCCAAGCAAAGTGAGAGAAGGGCATTAGAATATTAAACTATACCAGCCATGTCTGGAACAGCTTCTAATGCTTCCTTCCTTACTATAGTATATCACTGAACTGACAAAGACTCAGTAGAGGCAACATGGTTGACCGTTAAAAGTAAAAGTTGTCTGGGCCATGCTGCGTTTGTATAAAAATAGAGATTCTAAGGCTATTTTTGCAAGGGAGGAAGCATGAGAGGACTGTAAAGACAGGGGCTTGGTGGTGGATTAAATCAAAGGTACTAACAGAAGTTGTTGGTCCAACACACACTGTACACCTTCCACCCACTTTGTGCCTAATATGATCCAGTTCTAAATGTGTGTGAGTGTTAATGTGTGGCAACGGGTATTACTAATATGTTTTCAAAAGTAATACTTTGTACCATTTGTTTTTCTGACATCATTAAAACTTCCACTTTGGATCAAACTTTGAACTGGGGCCTGGGGTTTGTTTCATTCAAAGACAAAAAATCCCTTAATGCAACCTGAACAGGTGGCATTTACTGAAGTGCACCTCTGTGGCCAACAGGTGGCAGGATTGTCATTTATACATTAAAGATAATGTCCAAACTATCAGAGCCGCACCTCATCCCACCATACATGGAGTGGAAAGTAGGGAAACACTAAACAGTTGGTTCGGCCATGACAAAGCTAAGAAAAGAACTCACATCTTTGGAAAAATCTCTACTCCACCTGGCTTGCGAAAAGAACAAGGAAGCAATCATAGCCCAATGTAGTCCCTTATAGCATCACACAGAGAAGCAAGTCTGCAGACCTCCTGGCTTCAGTGTTTGCAATTTATATATCGGAAACACTCTTTAAGAACAAGTCAAAGAGAAACCTTTACAATACTGTTAAACTTCATACCTGAAATTTCATGTTTGGCATTATTGTCATATCTTTTTTTACACTGTGTGTGGATTTTAAATATAACATTTAATAGTTCCTGAGCCTGTCTTCACTCAAAGTGGAAGTACTGAAAAACAAGTAGAAATCCTGTATAAAAAGCATATTTTAAACATTTTACTTACATGTTCTAATCTAATGGATACCCACCAATACTGTTTTCTAAATGTAATATGGAAAATCGGTTAAAACTTATATAAAGATACTGAAGAAGAAATGTTGACTGAATGTTTGATGTTTAAAGTTATTTTTGAAGTTGTCCTTTCATTTTTCAGTTTATTTTCCAGAGTGGGTTTACTTATTGCAGTTTAGTTATATATAAATATTTAAAATGTTTAGTTTTAATTCCATTTTTAATATGGGGGTAAATTTGACCCAATTGACAAAGACTAAAACTGGACATTCCCTGTATATTTTTATTTTAGTTTTATAAGTACACAATATCATTATTTTTTTTTTCTAAAGTCTATTCTTTATTTTTATTTCAGTTAAATAAAAACCAGATTAGTCCTAAAGCTGTAAAACATTTGTATCCACAATCTTTAAAAATACTTTTAACTTTGAATGTGAATTAGTCACCCAGCAGTTAGTGACCTATTTTTGTAACATAATTATTTCACCTTTTCTTTCCTTGCACCAAACTTTATTATTTTTGACTCCTTAAACCTGTAGCATTTTAAAATGTGCATCTAAAATTGCAGCTCGGTTCTGAACCGGTTGCTATGCTGTCAGGTTTTAAGGTTTTATTCTCTGCAGAAATCCTCTAGCTACACACATTTCCTGTGTTCTTCCTCTGCAATCAGATGTTCGAGCCGTGTTTGTCCTTATCAGCTGATGTGCTGTTGAATAGAATCCCGATGCCCTGTCTGTCAAGCAGAATAGATTTTGGAGGGCAGTTTCAGAGCAGTCCACTGCTGGGCAGTCTTATACCGCTGCCTGCTGCAGGCGAACTCAGAGAGATAACTAGAATATATACTTATTCATACATGCTATGATGTTGAAAAGTAGAAAAAGCAAATCCCAGAGCTTTTCATACTCTCTCAGGGTTGGTTTTGCATCTTCAGAAGTGTCATGTTTTCGACAGCTCGGGTCCAGACAGAGCCTGTGTATGAGTGTGTGTTTGTGCGCTCTGACAGCCCCCAGTTGGTCCCCAGGCAGCTGCCTGACAAGACGAAAGCTCTTAGCTGACATCTGGGCACATGGCAAGGAAAACACCGGGGACCATGCAGCACTGGATATTTGGTGTTTGTGTGCTCTGTGTGTTATCCTCACACACAAACACACACTTTTTTGAAACGGTTATCAGTATCTGTTCGTCAAGGAGGGGGTTGCATGCAAATAAGGCAGCCTTTTTACCATCCCATCACTGATCTAATTACTTTTGGTTTCCATTTGGTTTTCGTGAAAAAAAAAAAAAAAAAACACAAGACAGAAAAAAAAAAAAAGCTCTTTCCTTGTCTCTTTATATATGATATAAAACATACAGACAGGAGATGCATTCTCATTGAAGAGCTGTAGAAAAAACAAACTAGCTTAACTGAAAGACAAAATCACTTCAGTTTAACCCTGTGGCTACTTCAAATCACAACAATAGCACAGATAGAAAGATGCTTCTGTCAGAATAGTCAGTCCTTGAATGCCATTGTCCATGATTGTCAATTAGATATTTCCATTAGGCCATTCAGGAGTGGAAGATATATGCTATCAAAACAGGTAGGGGAGGAATATTAGAAAACAGAAAACACATCTGGGCTAAACTGTCTGAAATGAGATAAAACTCAGGGTTTTCCTGTAATGATTTTAGCACAATATGGTTTGATTCTGCATCAATTCAAAGGCTGAGAGAGAGATAGAGAGAGAGTCACTGGGAATGTATTCACTCAGTGACCGAAGTGCACACGTTGCTGTTGTATCTCAAAAGCTGAATGCGTTCAAAGTAGTCGTCGGTCAGAAAGTTTCTCTGTGAGGTGACCAGGTTGCCTTTCTGACTGAAGAGACGTTGGACGGGGGCTGTGGACGGCAGGGTGGTGTTGTATTTAAGGAAAAGCTGCTTCACTCTGGGGAAGTCCTGCAGGCACTCGAGGCTCTTCCCCGTTCCTTCAACATACTTGCGGATCTCCTCCATCACTCCCCGTTGCTGGATCTGAATGGCGGGCTTGACGGGCCCGTAGCTGAAGAAGTCGTCTTCAGATTTGATGGTCGACAGATTGCGGCTGGGGTTCGTCTCTGTCACGTTACAGGGGTCCACCTGGGAGGCCTCCGTGGCCAGCAGGGCGCACATCTCCTCCCTCTCGGAGGCCGCCATCCACCACAAACGAAACTGAGGAGTCGTTGCTGTCGCGATCTTCGCCTCCGTGCTGGCGAACAGCTCCTGGAACCGCACATCGATGGCCACCACGATGGCGCTGATGACATCGCCAAAGTAATTGGCCGCGTCTTTCTGCTCATTTAACTTGTTCTTGAGACTGAGTACGGTCGGGATGACCAGCCCCAGGTAGCACTTCTGCTCCGCTTGGAAAAGTTCAAGTGCAAACGCGAGCGGGTGGAACACGGTCACGTACTCTTTGAGGAAGGCCATCTCCTCTGGCTGCATGCGTGGGACCTCCAGGCGGGCACACAGCTCGGTCAGCTCCCGCTCGGTGAGAGAGACGATCTTCTGCACCGCACAGTACTCCACGTTCCAGCGTATGACGGCGGGGACGACAAGAGCCATCTTCCCGATCTCCTCCGCCGCATCCATACCGACCTGAAGATGGTGGCACTTGTTCCAGATGGCGTACAACTTGGCCATCGCACTGTAATGCAGCTGGCACATGGGCCCCTGCGACACAGCCTGCCAAAAGTCCTCGGTGACAATCAGCTCCAGGGTGTGAGACGCACATCGCTGGACGGTGGGCAGAAACAGGAGCATGTCCTGCTCCGGCTCGCCCTCGAGGACTGCGCTGACGTTCTCGTAGAAGCCAATGTCATCGTCGTTTTCCGTGCTGTCCATCGCAAACTCTTTGAACACGCTCATAAAGGGGCTGCCGTTGTCAGTGACCGTGGTCTGCACTTTGCTCTCGATGTTGTACGCCACGTGGATGTCGTGTATCCGTCCGGCAATGGTGTCATACGTGATCCGGCCCTGCAGCCGCGCGAAGCCCAGAGCAGCAGACTTCCTCTCCAAAGAATCTGCGTCGATCCAGTGACAGGTCATCCCGAAGAAGCTTCTGTTGTTGGCTGTCCAGATGTCAGCCGTGGTGCACACGTACTGGATGTTGCTGAGCTTTGCCATCAGCTCTTCACGCATCCTGGAAAAACCCTGGTCCACCTTGGTAAACAAGGTCACCCTGTCCATGGACTTTAGCCCTTCAGTTAAGCCTGCAATCAGCTTCCTGAAGCCTGGCTGCTCTAGCACGTAAAACGACTGGCAGTCTTCCACAATGAAGTTGAAAATGAGATCATCAGTCTTTGCTTGGGTCATGCATTTGGAGATGATTTCTGCTTTAAGTTTTTTCAGCTGGCAGTGCCTACTTTCTTCACCATTGTGCTCTTCTTTCTTCCTTCCCCTCTTGGCATCAGGCCTGGCTTCACAGCCCAAATGTGTTCTCTGAAAGACAAAACAAACAAAAAAAAACACACCAACAAGGTCTCTGGTTACTTGTTGGAGGTGTGCCATTTGTATGTCCTGAGTTTTCTAACAGTTTGAAAACTTCAACTGCGATGCAAATAACAAAAAAAAAACAAAGCACTTTAATAACACATAATGATTAGATTTTTTTTCCAGAGGAGTTGATCATGAAGAGCCTGCAGCGCCATGAGTTGGTAATCAGCATGCAGCTATAATGTAACGTTGATAATCACGAGGGGAAAGCTATTCATTCATTGACTCTTTCAAACATTAACCTGGCGGGTCCGGGAGATCAGCACAGGGGATATTACTTTCTGCAACTTACGTCTAAATGCTTCTTTAGGTTTGACGTGGAGGTTTTCGACGTGGAGAGCAGATTAACCCTCGGCAGACATAGATTACACTGGACGATGATATTTTTCCCTTGATCTGCCTTGTACGTGAAATGGTGGCGATAACGCCAAGTATGCATGGCCGATTTAGTCTCGCCGCAGGGTTCATGGTGATCCACATCCATTTCGGACGCTACCCCGACTGTTATTGACGTCTCGAAATATAATAAAAGTATCGTAATCCGATTTAGTAATCGTGATTACACGTAAAGTAACGATGGCGGTAGAGAAATCCTCATGAAAAGGGGCAGGCCTTTGTTCGGATGTTGGCCCAGAAAACAAACAAGGAGCCGACACCGTCGTCATTTTTTTTGTTCGGCGCATGCGCGTTGATAACCTGCGAGTGAATAGGCAGTGGAGCCGTACGCATGCGTGTCACGCTCACGGGGGCGCAAGCGGCGTGACGTCGCTGTCCGCTCCTTACGGTTGTTACTCGCGTTCATTGAAGTACTCTTACGAGCGTTTCCTTTTCCTCCGAGTGTGGCAGCGAGTTTGGCGCCACCGTCAGGCCTGCGGAAGTAAAGGAGAAAAAAAAGATGCCACAGCGTGTTAATTGATCCATTGTATCAAAAGCATCCAGTCAGACATGAGACACAGCGCAACACCTGAGCCGCAATTACAGAACAAAAGCCTTACATCATAGTTGGATGTTAGAAACACAGAAACAAGTAGTACATTTACCTTTGATTTACACAAATTAATCACTGATGTATATTTCAATTGCATAAAAAAAAGGTTTAAAAACAATGTCTTTGTTTTAATATGCTCATTCTTCCAAATTAAAAGACACTACACCTTCTTAAACAGTTAAAACATGTTGATTGTTTTACTTTTTGAATAGTTTTCTATTTTAATGTATGTTTGTATGCTGCTACTGGATGCTTGAATTTCCCTCGGGATAAATAAAGTATCTATCTATCTATCTATCTATCTATCTATCTATCTATCTATCTATCTATCTATCTATCTATCTATCTATTGACATGGGACAAGCAGGATTTTCTCACATCACAATAAGTTTGGGAGCCAGTCGTGGTCCAGTGTGTAACTCACACAGGTGTGACGTGGAGATTTGAAAGTAGGAGACATCTGATAAGATATTCCTTTATTGATCCCCTGTAGGAGAAATTCAAGTACGATAAAAAAGTCACAAAATAAGAACATTCTAAAATAGAAAATATAAGACTATAATGAAATATATATACACTATATGAAATATGCAATAAAATGTTGTGCAAAATATCTTGATCTCTAGTAGTTAAACCTTTGAATTGAACAATATTTGCATATAAGTTCTATTTTCCAACCAAGGAAAGGGAGTATATGTCATTTAAAGAATTCTGACAAAGTAAACACATAAGTAAACATATTAGACACAAACTATTAGTCCAACCAGATTAAGTCTGGAGGGGATCCACTGAGGAAAAGGAGGAGAAACAGCTCCATGAAAGAAATGTGTAAAGAATAAAGAATTGCACTAACCTCTCTCTTTATTCCTGTTCAGAATACTTACAGCCCATATAATGTGCCATTGTATTGTAAAGCATTGGGGCATATATTACCATTCAATGTTTTGCTTATTCCTGAGGGCATTTTATGTTGTTATCTCTGGTGGTTCAGTTTGTTGAAAGCTGTTATCTGTGAGTTGTTAGTTGTGCAGTTGTTTCTATAAATATGATGCATTCACACTAATTTGACGAACACAAACAAAAATAAATAAATAGCCAATTCTTAGGTTGAGCTGCAGGGTGTAATCACCAGACTTGAAACCAGACTGGCAGTACCATCGAGAGTTGTTGCTGCTTTTTTTTTTTTTTATCAAGCCTGAGGCACCTTGCCAGATGAAGCCATCATCCGCTGGTTTGAAACCCTTCCATCTGGCTCAGAGATGCATTAAGCATGTCTTTAATCTGGTGTTCACATGGGCATGAATGGCATTTTGCATCCATGTTTTTTGTCAGTTTTTTGTCAGCCTTGTGATCAAAGTCAGAGGAAAGCAAGGAAAGAGTTTGTTATCACAGAAAGACAAGTTCTGTAAGTTATTCACATGTTTTATGTATTTCTCACCAACCATATGCATCAAAGCAACAAGTGTTTGTCTATCTATCTATCTTTTCTAAGAAATAGCATCCTCTCCTGTGAAATCCGATTAACCTAAGTGATTTACAGTGTGCTTGCTGGTAACACGCACCTCACCGAGCATCTAATTGCTTTTTTTAATGCTCTGTTCATTGGTTGTTTGGCGTCAGCGCATCACAGAGAAAGGACCGTCGTGAGTAATCTTCTCATTATTTCTCTCCCCCACCCCCATCCTCACCCATGTGACAGCTGACTGTGAGTTTGGTAATATTCATGGATTCTCAATCCAGTGGAGAGTGTCCAAATGTCTCACACGAGATTGTTTGGCTAATTAATAATTCCCCAAAGATACATTTCCACATGTTTTAAATGCATTTGTGACCCAATTGGAAACTGAAATGTCACAGAGAGTTTTTTGTTTTTTTTTCGTTCTTTATTAAACATCTCCTCCATTGGTTATATTTGGTGAGGGTGGGGTCTCACTTAAGAGCCATTGACGTAGTCCTCTTTGGCAACGGGTTTTAACAGAGACGCAGCCTGTGTAGGGACAGAGAAAAGTGTTTTGAGACAACGATAAAAAGGGGAAACAGAAGAATGAAGTGGTGAGGAGGTTTGAAGTGTTCTGATTTGGTACACGATGTTGCTGTCGTGCTGTCCTGCACGCCTCGAACCTGTGTGGAGCCCCTGGAGTGGGCACAACCGGTGTCCTCTCGTATTCGCAGCAGCAAACAGTTGGTTTTGAGCATCAGGTGAGCGTTTCTGACAACATTCCCACTTCTTCCTCCTCTTTCTTTGGGCGACACTTTTAGCAGAGGAGCAGAGAGAGTGGACGCGCCTAAATAAGTATGACCAAAGGATCCGCGCCCTGACGCGCTCCGGTGAGCGCATGCTGGACCGGTGAGAGTGTGGACTAGTATGAAGCGCCATGGCTTGGTGTGACCGCGGGGTTCAAACGCTGCTGGCCACCGTGGGGGCTTTCGCTGCCTTCAGCCTGATGACCATCGCCATCGGCACGGACTACTGGCTCTATTCGAGGGCGTACATCTGCAACAGCACCAATGCCACCACAGACGAGACCCAATCGCAGCCCAGAACCAAGAGGGGCGACCTCACCCACTCCGGGCTCTGGAGAATCTGCTGTATTGAAGGTAAGCCCGCTCCGACGCATGGAAACCCTAAACATCTGCATGGTCATTTAACACAGACTGAACCGTGCAATCCCTGTTCTTTTCGTACAGCAAATAGTTTGATTTCTCTCTTTTTTTCCGAGGAGGAATCTTTTGTCTCTGAGTGCGCACAGGAGCTAGAGCGCACAAAAAGATGCGCTCCGTTTTACGCACGCCAAATGTCTCGATCGGGTTTTGGGGAGACAACAAAGACATTATGATAAAGGTGGAACAGCTTTCAGAGGTTGTAGTTCAGATGGAGAAAGCGTCGATACGCAAACAGGTAACGGATTTTAACACCGCTGATGTGCTGAAGTTAACGGGTGTCCCGGTGAGCGCAGAACTCAAACCTGTTTGCCAACTGTTACCTCGCATTGTTCAGGCTCAGGCCCACACAATAAAGACGGCTGCGTTATAGTCTGCGAGACAATCCGGTGCCAAGCCGGCGCGTCGGAGCTCATTCACTTTTAGCCGGTCGGTGCCAGGAAATGTGCGCGCTATGAGTCTACTTTCATTCATGTCTTCTTTGTATCCGATGCTGTTGCTTGGCAACATCCCTGAAAATCGCTATGGAAACATGCCCGGTGATTTAAAAATAGATGACTCTGAGTTCACAGCATGTCCAAGCAAAATAGGAGGAAAAACATTTTTTTATATGTATATATAAAACTCGAGGTAAACACCCCCCAGTTCATCTTTTCATCCTTTTGGAAAGTGTTTTTGAATAATTTTACGGATTTGGTGTTTAAAAAGGAGGTGCGCTGGCAGTGACGTCTTCATTCAGAGGCAGACAGACGCTCATTCATGGTCCAATCTTCCTTCCGGTCACCGCTTGACTTCTCGCCTCAGCCATCAATGGGCGAGCCGAGGTGACTGGATGAATTGGTTCATGTTAAAAACTGCTGTCATGACGCACAGTTTTATAGAAACAGTTGTACGAATAAATGTCCTAGATAAGAAAGACATTAACTACACTTATCTTACTCCAGAATTTGTTTTGAAAACGGACTATATGTGTCAAATATTGCTTTACCAACATACAGAATGTGCATGTCAATCTTTAGAGACTTTTTTTTTAAAACTCTACCTCAAAACATTATTAAAAACAGGAAACTGCAGAGTTAAGAAGGGCTTTTGGCTACAGACAGGCGGTTCAGCCTCATTGTCAGTTCTGGAGCATTAGTGCAGATACACAAATATAACGTGAGAAGGAAACAAGATCAGAAACTTTTGTCACCTCTTAGACTAGAAAATATATTCTAAAATGTGTGTTTTCTTCTTTTCTCAGTGTATATATTTTCACCCCCCCCCAAAAAAAAGAAATAAAAAACAATTTACTTTACAGCTAGATACTTTATTGCCATTTTATAATCTGTTTAAGTGTTGGATCAGGTGCTTTTAAGTATTTGCAGTTTATTATGTGGACTGATTCATTCAATTTGAAAGACTTAACGTCCTCAGAGGCCACATATAGGGAGAAATTCAGCTGTCATCAATGATTAAACCGTTTCTGGGATTGTCCTGTTGAACACGTGAAGAACATCCTGGCGTGTACCTGCAATTTACTGAGAGTCATGCTTGGCTGGGCACCTGTCTGTGATGTGGACAGACGCGCAACTCTGCATTACATCCTCTGAAGACCCTAAGAAATGAAAATAAATGACAAATGCCTGCCGACTATTATGTCAAGCATGATTTCCCATCAGTGCTTTGAAGTAAACAATGAAAGTGGATTAATGACAGCGGAGACTGAATTGATGTTTATGAGGTTGGGGACAAAGACCGGCTCTGTGCAAAGAGACTTCTTGTTTAAAAGCACAATTTGCAAAAAAAGGCCGAGCCTATTCTCTCTCTCTCTCTCTCTCTCTCTCTCTCTCTCTCTCTCTCTGCGCTAATAGTTTCACTTCTGAGCCTGGGCTTAAAACTACAGGATGCTTGGACGGTGGCTCTGTTGTCATGGAGACTCATAAGTACAGAGGAGAAGACAATGAAGGAAGACTCAACCCCTGCCCCTCCACACACACACACACACACACACACACACACACACACACACACACACACCCCTCTGGTCATAATGACAAACACGCTGGGTTATTGACGGACGACTCTGTGTGCTTCACAGTACAGAAAGCAACAACGTGTCTTTCTCTCAGCAACTGCACACACACACACACACAGCAGCATGTTCTCCTCTCAGACCCCCTTTAATGAATGTGTTTTAGTCGCCCTGCCCAACCAGCGTTACCTACCTGACATTTAAGGAGCAGGCAGGAATATATGGAGTGAGGCTCTGGCGGGGTCAGCCACTACCCTCATTTACAGAGTCCTTTGCATTTCTCCACAGTTGTTTATGAATTTTTTTTTCTCTTTGTTTGTTTTCCCACATGAATGCCAGGCTAGCACAGAGAGCGTCCCAATTTGCATCAGACTCAGCAGTGCATCAGAGGCCTGTTGCTTAAGTGTGACTGGAGTAAAATGAGGAATGACCTGATGACTAACTTACAGTAAACATCCCAGCTGGAGGTGGCGTGAGCAGCGAGGCAGCTGTTTTTTCTTAAGGGAAGTGTGTGTTTTTTTTGCAAGGAGGGGTTTGTTTAGGCGGGGTGGGGGGTCAATTTGCCATTCCCACCGTGCTCTGCAAGTCTGTAATTAAAACGCTGCAACTGAGAAGCAATGCGGGGGTACTAATTAGCCAGCAGGCCCCAATTTCCACCTCAGTCCCTCCGTCCTCCTCTCCTCTGCTTGATGTGCACTCTCTCTTCTCATCTCTTTATTAACTTCTCCATTCTCATCATTCTTTTATCTGCCTCGTGGCTTTCTCTTCTGCTATTCTACCTTTTTTAATGAACCCTGTGTCACTCCACCTACATACCCACAAACCCTCAGCCCCCTTTTCATTTTGGATGCGTTTCGTTTCTGTTCTCTTTTTAAACAAAGTTCCTTTGTGTCGTATTCAAGTTATGTTGATGGCTACTTGTAAATATGTAACCTTAAAGGTCCCCTGTGTAACATTTAGAGGATCTATTGGCAGGAATGGAAAATAATATTTGTAGGTATGTTTTCATTAGTTTATACTCACCTGGAAATAAGAATTTCAAGAAATTTCGTTATCTTAGAATGAGCCGTTTTTATCTGCAGAGGCAGCGGGTTGTCTTTCATGGACACAATGGTGAATTGATGTTTTTACACTTGAGTTTTTGTAGAGATTACACAGACAAGATGTTCTGTGTTAAAGTGGGCTAAGTCTAATCCAATAGGTCAAACATTTTTTCAAATTCAGTTAAAGTCTCCTCGCGGTCTGTTAAAACCAATGTTTGTACACAGCCCTTTCTCTGTAAATGGGAAACACACTAAGTAGATCGAGCCACACAGCACCAACTAATGTCAAATTACTTGCCCACAGACATTCAGCTTAATTTCTAGATTGCCAAGTTTTGCTGTTTTTGTGATGTTAGCTATAGCAGCAGAGAGATGTGGGTACTGCTGTCTGAAGCTGGCGTGCTCTTCATGTTAGCTGCACAGCAGAACTTTGGAAACCCACAACATGGTCATGGACATGTGTCATTTTCCGCACTATATCATTGTATTAATCATGTTATCAGTATTTCTCAAATGGTGATATGTGTACGGGGTGCTTTGGAGTACTTCAGCGGGTACTTGACGTGTTTCTTATTTCTAAAATAATCATACGAGCTCAATAAAAAATTTAAGTTTGATAAACCACATTTTATATATAGTATTCCTATTTCAATTCAATCATTAACTGCCATAGACTGAAGATCTTCAGTGAAACACAAGTTCATGTTTCTCTCTCAATTATAAGTACAATGTCAGACAGATGCAGTTCACTGCAACTACAATGTCGTCTTAGTGTTATTGCATTTAAGTGTTTTCCTTTATAAATCAGACAGTGATGGTGCAGCGCTGTATTCTACCTCTTTATGAAGGCTTTTTTTTCCTACAAAATGTTTTGGACTGGTCAGGGGGTACTAAAAAAATATTTAAAAGGGGTACAGTAATGAAAAAAGTTGGTCTAGAAGTGCTTCAGTTCTTTCAATACCAACAGTTTACATTCCTCATTGCTTTAAGTTCCTTTACCATCCATCTCCCTTTGGTCACTTGATCATGTTTTAAAACAATATCAGGTTTCAATCACATAGGAAATATACAATATATAAAATATAATAGAGAACCAATGGGCTGTGATGCAATAGATCTTTTGTCTTAATCCACAGTCAAACAATAAAACCTTAAGCAGTTTATTGAGAATCCATTATATAGATTCAAGATTCAAGAAGCTTTATCTTGAATCTATATAATGGATTCTCAATAAACTGCTTAAGGTTTTATTGTTTGACTGTGGATATATGCACATTTTTATAAGTGACAATGCATGACAGCCTTCAGAACAGACTACATGCGGCGATAGATCTCACTTTTCTTCCAGCAATGTGGAAACACGTGCACCCCAAGCAGGGCTGTGTATGAAGAAATTGCAGCCTGGTGACAATTTAATTAACCAACTGTCAGTCATATCAACACTGAATCACTGATGTCGTCGCCAAATTGCTTTTCTTTCATCCTCACTTGGACTGAAAAAAACAAAACAATCGGAGGGGTTTGTTTGATTACACAGATGCTTTTATATTCTGCCCTGGCATTCCCTGATTTCCAAAGTAATAAATGTATGTGTCTCTAAGTCTGTGTGAGTTATTCGTGTGTCTGCATTTTGATATCAAGCCCCAGTAACAGTGCTCTATCTGTTTACAGCTTCATAAAACCCAATCATCCAACGTGCTGTAAAACTCGGAGCGCTCTCCCTCATCAGTGTTCACACTCTCTTGGTCTTGCTCTGTTATGTGTAGCTTTACTATAAGGATTTCACCCAGTGGGGGCTGCACAGTTGTAGTGAAATGCAATATTAAAGTCCCTTTTAAATTGGTTTAATCATCAATCTATTTGCAGTGCTATTGAAGTGTGAAAATGAGGCAGTGGGAGCATGTGTTGCAAGACACACCGTGCTCCTGGAGACACCATAGTGAGGAAGTGCTGCACTCAATGAGACAATAGCTATTGGTGTATTCCACTGAGGCCGCTCCGTTATTGGCTGAGCAGCGTTAATTCAAAATAATGACAACGTGCATCATCCCGTTGCCAGTGGCACCACAGCTGTGACAGCAGCTCCCAATACAGTGTGTGTATGTTTGTGTGCACACGTGTCTGCATGCTTATGTGTGTCCATTTGTGGCTCGCAGCCATGTAGCGTTAAGTGGTGACAGATCTGTGAAGGGGAACAGGGAAGTGCCGTCTGTGATTTGGTGGGTGTCAAAATGCAATGAAGACGTCAAAAGCATCCTTGGAGATTGTTTATGTGAAAGAGCTTATTAAAGACTAACAGGGGTTGCCATGGAGAAGAGGAGGAGATGCTCAGCATGGGGCTTTGCAACTCCAGTCAGGCCCGTTATTTCCTGTGTAATGTGTTGACTGTGTAAGATTAATTCTCAATTTTTCACAACACAATCACCTTGTAACATCCCCCAAATTTATTTGTGAGATGTTCCAATTTTCTGTTTGTTAAAAACACGTTACAGATACAGTATGTGTGTAAGGTGAGCAGCTGTGTGTCTGTTAGTCTCTGCACGTCCATTCAGTTTCACAGCTTCTACATTGCACAACCATCCTCCGACCTTTGTTGCACAATCCACATTTTGCCTTCTAACGCTCTCTCCGCCTTTCCTGATTTCTCTCTTGTTGATTCCCGGCTCTCCACCTCTGTCCTCTGCTCCCCATACTATTGTTGTTTCATTTCCTTGTACCTTCTTCCCTTGTTTAATCTCTTCTTCCTCCCTCCACCCTCCCTCCCAGCTAGTCAGTATTCAGACTTTATTTCATTTCATGAAGGACTGCCTGTACGCATGTGCACACACACACACACACACACACACACACACACACACACACACACACACACACACACACACACACACACACAACTAAACGTAGACATTGAGCTGATAACTGTCACTCATAAATCAGAAGCCTTGAGGCCTCCACTTATAATCAGATTTCCAATCAGTTGCAATATTGTCCTTTATTTCTTCCTTTCTCCATCACACACACACACACAAACACACAGGCGACAAGACACAGGCGTCAGACTGGCTGGGGTAGCTGGGGTCTCGACTGGAGCGGAGGATTGAGAATATTGTGCACTAGTCAAAATGAATAGTAGCGTTCTGGGTTCACAATGAAAGGTGTGTTTGTGTGCGCAGTTTTTTAAAAAATGTAAAAGCAGTTTGACATTACAGTTTAGTAGAAAAGACACGCACATACAAAAATGCATGTATAAAATCTGCAGTTAACACAGCAATTAACAGCACAGCTAAGGTGTCTGTATTTCCGTTATCTTCACAGTTCTTGATCTAACCATAAGAGCCAGATGTGTTTTTCATTTGGCTGCTTAAAATAGTCCATAGCCCTTTTTTCCATCAGTGACTAGACACAGAAACTTGTGCTCCATTTCCACTGACTGATTTGACGCTAATTAATTTGATGTCCCTTATTAAGCAGCAGACCTAGTTAATGGAAGCGAGCGTGCCCTTAAAAGCTGTGGCACAGACAATGATGGCTGCTGACCCTTCGGCACCTGGGAAATGGAGTTGACAGGTGTCTGTCTGTCTTTGGTATAGGCTGTTGACGGGAAGGTTGAAATTTATAGGGTAGGTCATTTCTAATCTCTGCTGCCTGTTAAGCCATTCGAGATGAAAAGGCAGCTTTGTATTTTTGATGTGGGATAAGTAAAAGTCTTTGTTGCTTACAGAGACCGGCAAAGATTAACTGAGGCTTAGTCATTTGACCATTCGCTTAAAATGTCCCCACAAAACAGCGACTGTCCAGTCTTAGCAACCATAATGAGGCCCAAGCAGGTCTGTCAAGCTTTGGATTTCTTCACGTCAATGCAAAACAATGTGGCTCGAGTACTTGGATTGGGAGATAGATTTAAAGAGTTGGTGGGTGGAGGGTGGTGTCCTTTATCCCTTCCAAAACCAAAAACACAAGGGTATGAAATGGATTAAAGGCTGTGATTATCTACTCCAATGTAAGCTTCATTTGTGATTATGTCCAGCTAACTAACTCATTACCTTGGTAGCAACCAAGCATTACTTCCAGGATCAATGCTGTTCCTTCATTTACATGTCTGGCACGTGCAGCTTTAACCTCAGTCTTTTAGCATGTTATAATGTATGTAGCAGAGTTACAGAGTTCTTATTTTAATACGAGTCAGCTGGAGAAAAAAAAGGATGTCAGCCCATAGGGAGAAACCATTTTATAAAAATTGAGGTCATCGGCTTCAAGCGGTTGAGAAGCCTGCTTTTGTCAACCATTACATGAACCGAATGCTTGACATAGGCATAAACCATCAACTCTGGCTAATATTCGCCTCCCGTTCGCTTCCATTCTATGCGAGTGAAGTAGCGAATAAACTTTCTGCTTCGTGTGGAGTTGAAAGCAAACAAGTGTGTGTGGTTGACCCCTAAAACAAACCAAACCAGCAAACTGATTTCCGGATGTGCTGCTCTGTTAGGAAGCAGTGGCACTTGTGGATAAAATGTCAAATACATGACATTGCTGGAATTAAAGATGTTGCGTAGAAAGATATTTCTACCCTTCCTTGATCACTTTACACACATCACAACTAATACTGTTGTCATCTTCATGAGATGAAGCCACAGTTTGGATTGTTTCTTGCTATACGTCATGATATACTCCAATTTGTTGCAAGTTTCCAAAAGCGTGGACGCATTTTGCAACGCAGAACTGTCAGAAAAACATGCCTTCATTGATAAAAAGAACTGATAATCTTGGAGGTATAAGGAACTGGTTCTCAACTGGAACTATTTGTGACTGGCAGAGCTTAGCCAATGGTTCCTGTACTCTGGGATACAGACAAATGCAAAATTACGCACATGAACACAGTTACTACACACACAAATACAATATGCAAATGTAAAAATATGCAAATGCAGCCCAGCCCACCTATAATTCTGAGGGTGTTGTTTGCAGAATAACTAAAGTGAATGGTGAATGAGTAGCCAAATAGCTCCCAGCATTACCACCGCTGCACTGAGCACATCCATTAACCCCACCCCCAACCCTTTTTCTCTCTAGACAAGGTGTTGTTTATACTCCGGCTCAATTACAGCTACAGGCTTCTCTCAGCTTCAACCTCTCTCTGTCCCTCTCTCTCTCACCCTCCACTCTATTCTTCCGCTGTAACTCACCTCAGCATTAAAAGCTTCCAGCACATGCTCCTTTGTTGTTCAAATAGGCTTTTTGTTCCTCCTAGCACTCAACCATTCACCTGAGCTGGATTTGGACACGCGCCACAACCCCCCAAATCCCTCCGGGCAATGCAATCTTAATCCCACCACCGTATAGTGTATGCACTGATCCCTCGAAACACAAACTACCCCTCCCCACTCTGATTTCCTTCCTCAAATATGTGTGCACTGAGCTGTGATCTTTAGTCTGCAGGTTGAATGGTGGACCCAGGGAGCTATAAACAACAACAATCCTTGTCTGACACTTTTTTTGAAAATGTAGATCCAAGGTCAAAATCTCATTCATGGTTGGAGGTGAAACCCATGGAGAGGGTAATGAATAGAGAATATGTTGCTTTTGTGTGCAGTATGGATCCAGTTTATCACATCCAGCAAAATGCCACTGAAAGAAAAATATGTCCTGCTACTCCTGTTGACATCAAAGAGACTAGGTCGAAACCCAGTATTTGGCTGGACAGTCAATGTGCCCCTCAAAGGCTTTGACACACCAAACCGACGTCAAAGAACTAGCATCGACTAAATCTGATTGCTGTGTCGCCTCAGCCAAATGAAGGATCTCTGTGTCTTGGCCAAAAGTGACACTAGAACTCACCGCACCAACTACAGCAAATGTCTAACTTGCATGTATGTTCTGCACCTGAACGAGAGGTTCTCCATAACCAGCCAGTGGCTGTAGTCTGCATTCGTCATTCAAAAAGGAACACAGGAAGAGATAGGACTGCAGATATAAACAAAAGCAGCCTAATAGTTGTAGGTTTGCCCGCTCTCGCTCAGATGGTGTTGTAAAACAGCTACTTCTGATCGAGAAACAAAGTCATTTGCTGCTTTACTTATTTCCATTTGTCCTCTTGTGCACTGATTTGCTAAAGCTGAGCAACCAATCAGAGGGATTTCTCTCACCATTGACCTCTGCCGCCAATTCAACATGCCCAGTTGGCTAGAAAAACCGCAAATGAGTGCAAACAGTGCTGAACATACTGCAAAAACAAGGGCTACAGACACTCAAAGTTGACGTGTCAGGGCCTTTGTGTCTGTTCATTTTGAAAGAGCAACGGCCAATAGGGGAAAACTCCAGTACTCAACTGCCCAATGGTCTAACTTCATCTCTCACTAACTCACTGAGTCAGGCACAGACTGTAGCGTTTATATGGCCAATTTGCTGCTGTCCAGCCAAATATAACCAGCGGTCACCTGAGATATGACTCCCCACTCCTTCCTCTTTTATCAGAGAGAAGAGCACAAGAGTGGCTTACTCCAGTGGACACAGTTGAACAAAAAACAGGTTACTGGGTAGGGAGCACTCTGACTCCAGCATCTCACATCCTTAAGCCAGCTGAAACCAACCAGCAAAAAGCATTTTTTTTGGGGATATATTCTTGATTTGGTTGAACAGTCCTCCTGTCTCCTAAACATCACATATATCAGACTGTTAAAGCTTGTATCATTCTGGTTGTCTTTGTCCTGCAGGCATCAATCAAGGCAGCTGTTACAGAATCAACCATTTCCCAGACGACAATGACTACGACACAGACAGCTCTGAATACCTGCTGCGTAAGTGACCCCCACTCGTCATCTTTGTCTGGCATTGTTGAAACTGTCAGCCCTTTATTTTTTAGGGGAATACAGAAAGTCCACTGACCTTCACTGTCTTATTATTTGGTCCTGAGAGTAGTCTCCAAACAGATGAGGCTCTTTTATACAGACATTGATCAAATGTAAAGACGAAGACAAGCAAGCATTATGGTATCAGACTATGATCACAACCTGTGATATTTTTAATCTATTTAGTTTTTAGTTTTGTCTTCTTTGAATGTCTTTTTTCCTTTAAAGCAATGTATTATTTGTTATACTGTGAGACAATTAAAGGCAGCTTGGCCAAACCCGACTGCTGTATCTATTTGGCCTGAAAAGCCTTAATTCGTTAGGTCGTATTTACCCAGTGTTCAAGGGTTTTAATTGACTTTCATAGTTTAATTAAATGTTTTTTTCTTGCTAAGTCATGAGCCCCAACCCCACGAAGGGTATCTTGACACTGTGGCTTCAAACACTGAGCTCACACATAGAGGAGGCTCATTATGATTTATTTTCTTAACATTTATTTAAAAGGTGTGAAAAATACTGTACAATTTGCAACACTCCATAGTTTATTGTTTGCTCTGAGTGATCACCAGCTTGTTTGCACTTTCCCCTCTTTGTTTTTTTCCCTGATTACATGAAGCATATTATGATTCTCTGTTTAGTCTGAGCTGGTCTTTGGCTGTGTGGGGACATAAAATCCTTCTTAAAACCAGTTTAAACCAATCTTCTCCTTTTAAAAGATGTTGTGAAAATTGGTTAAAAAATTTTGATTAGTTTGATATAAAATGGGGATATTCAATCAGCAGATGGCCCTCATTTTAGGCACAGTATCTGCCTAACATGCAGAGAAGAACAAAGAAGTATCAGACTTTGGACAAAGTCCAAACTGAGTCCATTAGCCAGGAGGGCTTATTCAGCTTTACAGTTAAATAAGCTCACCCATCCTTGGATGCTTGTAAAATGGCACAGTGATTCATTTCTAGGGAGGTGATAGTCAGTGAGAGCTCTTGTTACATCCCACAGCTGATTAGCAAAGCTTTGTCACAACAAGGCCCCAAAGTATAAAAGATAATGGAGTTCTCAAAAATGGATGGGAGAAGAGGTGGAGGACTGGATAGATGAGGGCTCAACAGAGTAATGAAAATTCAAATTATTTAAAAGAGTCCATTTTTCTTTTTAAAAACTGTGCTGTTAAATTAATTTACAAGTTCCATTCTTCTTTTGCCTGTTATTAATCTATTTATGGTTATATATGTCTATAAATTGCTTAATAATTTGATCTATTGATTAATGGATTGATTTATTCATTTGTATTCATCTTTCACCGACCGGTCTCCTTAGTGTCCAATCAAATATTGGTTAATGAATTGTGTTATAACCGTTCACAGTGAATTAATGATCTCTCCTCAATGTCCGCCCTCCTCTGTCTCTGCAGGTATAGTCCGTGCCTCCAGTGTGTTCCCCATCCTTAGTACCTGCCTGTTGATGCTCGGTGGGCTTTGTGTTGGGGTGGGCCGAGTCTACAACAAGACAAACAACGTCCTCCTCAGTGCAGGCATCCTCTTTGTAGCTGCAGGTGAGCTGCAGGATTACACCGTGCTCCCAGCGAGGAGCGATCACGCAAGGGCTGGGGTTTTGTATTGAAGAAAGGCAGCTTGATGTGACACCTGTGGTCACATATTGTACTTCATCAGTGGTGCAATCATAAAGATGAACTTTCTTTCCCACTGAAGAGGGTCAGGAACTCCCTACCTCACACACAAGTGATGAGGACACGTGTCTAATGGCAGTCATTGGTTTTATCACTGTGACTGGTAAAGTCATGAATGATTGATCATTGTTGGCTCTTCATCACACGCCTCCATGCCGTTTTCCTGACTCTCCTGACTGTTGTCTTTCTGTTTCTTCATCCATCAGGTCTGAGCAACATAATCGGCATCATCGTCTACATCTCCAGTAACGCAGGAGACCCCAACGACAAACGTGACGATGACAAGAAGTACACGTATTCCTACGGCTGGTCGTTCTACTTTGGTGCCCTCTCCTTCATTGTGGCCGAAACGGTGGCCGTCCTCGCCATCAACATCTACATTGAGAGAAACAAGGAAGTTCGCTGGAGGGCACGGCGCGAGTTCATCCGTTCTCTCTCTTCCTCTTCCCCTTACTCGAGGATACCGAGCTTCCGCTACCGCCGGCGGACGTCGCATGCAAGCTCTCATTCTACAGAGGCGTCGCGGGAGAACTCACCAGTGGTTGGTCTGAAGGGGGAGCCATCGTCCAGTGGGGCTCTGGATGAGCTGTCCATGTACGCCCTGGCGAGGGACAGCGTGACAGAGAACACGTACAGCCCCGAGCATGAGGCTGCCGCTGAGTTCCTCCAGGTCCATAACTGTTTCCCCAATGATTTAAAGGACGGGGTGAATCGCAGGACCACACCGGTGTGAGGGGCACATTGCAGGGCCCCAAGGTTCACCTGGAAGTGGATGTGCGCTAATCTGTTGGAGCCTGAGTGCTTGTGATAGCCTCCCATCTTAGAGGCGCAGTTTTTAGAGAGACTGTCCTTTTATTTAAAGGACCAGAGCAATAGAGAGGACAGTCAGCTTGACAGAAGCCAATTAGTCATTTATCTGCTTCTAGAGATCATCAAAGCAGAATAGAGTTACATTGTCTGTGCTGTAGCCGATGCGAAATTAGTGTTATCTTTCAACTGTCGAAATGCTTACATGAGCAGTGTGTGGATCCCAACCCTTGTTTGTGTAATGATCCCGAAACATTGTGGACAAAGTAAAGTGAAGCGTTGAGATGTGCCAATCAGCAGTATTCTACCTGTGAAGTATTTAACAAGGTGCTAAATGAAATGTAGGCTACCCTTCAACTTGAAAGTGTTCCATTTGTGTGTGCAATTGCTATAAAGTGTGGACCTCTTTCCAAAGTTTGTATTGTGTCCCCATAACCAGTTTGGTCTTGCCTTATACTCAAATCATAGGTTTTAAAGAGACAACAGAGGCTCTATCTCTCAGCACTGTCCTTTAGAATAATATATGGCCTTTTAAGCAAGCTCAAATTACGAACATTTTTAATGGATCCTTTTTCATGAGAGTGTGCTGGGTTGTATTGTATTGAATGTTTCCTATTTTAGCATATTGTTCAAGTCAACCATCCAATATGAAAGGTTCTGTCTCCCTCGTCGTCTATTCCTTTTCTTCTCTGACATTTTGTCAGTGGAACAAATGTCCGTTTTGTCAGTGGAACACCTCTGTTCAAGGCCCTTTTTATTCACTTCCATATCAGTCCGCCAGCCTTCCATCACAGCCCCCCCGATGGACGTGACATTGTGTTTGTGCCTGTCACAAGGGAAGAACAGCTGACAAAAAGGGGGTGCCCAGAACTGTGAAAAACGGCAAAGGTCAGGACTTCCTTTTGCTCTGAATGAAACCTTGGCATCCAGTGTGTTTGAGGGATAAGGATCAGAGCTAGGCGGAGAATGTTTGTCCGTCTGTCACACCCCCTGTGAGTCCATCTGGACCCAGACGGAAGCAGAGGGAGCTGTCTGCAACTGCGTCCCTGAAGGATTTGGCTTGTGTGTATGTGTGTGCTGTCCTTCTGCACCTCCATCACTGCTCTTTCTTTTAGTTCTCTCAGGAAATACTGTGTTGTTGTTGCAGGTTGAACACTTTGAGGTCCTCTCCCTACTTAGTGGCAGTGCTGGGAAATGGACCGGTGATAAAGATAAACCTGGTAAAAAAAAAAAAAATGCCATTACTGTATTTTGTAAATGCTGTGAGTGTTTGCTTGAGCTTGCTCCAAGAACCAGCTGGGGAGGGATTTTTTCAGTCTGAGGGCTATTCGGTTGGTTCTGGCGTGGCAAGCGAGCTCACTCAACCACAGAATAGTATTTGATTGTATTTAGTGTGTTTGATATTGATACCACTTCATATACCCGGCTGAGCTTGTGTAAAAGAAAGCCATCAGTACTCTGAGTGTAGATCTTTTATATTACAGCTTGAGGGGGAAATTCCAAATGTGTTTGTTTGTAATGTAAAGCTGTCAAGTTGTATATAAAAGCACAATAAAAAAAATACAGAAAAGAGAAAGAAAAAAAAAAAAGCATTGAATGTGCAAAGACATGGACAGAAGATTCAAAGCATTATTTTACTGAACAATGTCTCAATAATAATGCCTTGATGCAATCTGGTATTGGTCACACAATTATATTAATCATTTTATATTCAGGTAAACACACACTGGTTTTGCTGTTTTATCAGTCAAAAGTTAATCTGTTGAATATTCTGTTTTGTAAGGTGAAGTACAGTAAGTACGTTTAGGAGACTACACTAGATTTTCTATTCCATGTGTATGCGGCAGCTGTACTTTACTGTATGTGCTTATATTGATTTATGCTTACAATTGTGAAATAAGCACATTCTCAGTTTGTTTTTCAAGAAATTAACTATAAATATTTGATTACGAATGTTCAGAAGGGACGTGTGCTAATTGGATGGATTGCATAATAATAAAAGAAAAATCACAGGGAAAGAAACTTAGCCATTTGTTGTTGTATTTTTAAAATTTTCCATGCTAGTTCAAGACCAAACTTACTGAAATATCATCACTATTGTAACATATATTGATATTGGATAGTAGAGTGCCTTTGTTTTATTTATAATATAATGCATTTCCTGCTTCTAGTGTTCCAATCAAAAAAGCATTTTTATTTCATCTGAATTTAATTTAATTATTTTGCTCATTTTCACTTTTTAGTTACAACCCAAAACACACTGTACATAGACAAATAAACTAAATCAGGGTTATACATTTATTGTTGTGCTTTACTGGTGATTTATTTTAATATGACTCTACGGTCAAGCTAACAGGCTGATGCTTAGCAGGTATAATGTTTACTATGTTCACCATCTTAGTGTTTTAGCGTGCTAACATTTGTTAATTCCATGAAAGTATAAAGAGAACTGGATACATTCCTATGAAAGCTACTTAGTGGCACATGAAGCCTAAAAAGCCATTTCCCACTGCAAAGAAATTCCCCGGATAACAAGCCAGCTAACTTCCGATTTAGCCCTCCGTTAACTTTAATGAGGATAAATAATTTACTCTTGTGAATCTTCTAGACTTGTTACCGGACTAAATTGGATCAAACTCTGATAGTGAAACAATAAATTTTGCAGGGTTTTTACAGCTGCTTCTTTCACAATGTAAACTTATGGGAGTCTTTTTGGGCCAGTCTGCATCACTTGACAGACGCCATTGCTGTAAAGACACGGTTTGGCCACTATGTGAAATTGGCTTCACAGCCGGCAGCTTTCCTGGGGCTTGGTTAATCAACAGTAAACACAAAATACAGCAGAAGCTGATGGGAATGTTTGTTTTGCAGGTATTTGGTCATTATATAACTATTGGTTTGACCTGTGCACCAGATCAAAAGTTAAGGGATCAGCAAAAGTAATCCTAAAGGGGCACATGAATGTGAGACTGCAAAATTTAATGGCAATCCATCTGGTAGCTGTTGAGAAATTTTATTCAAAACCACAAATGTCTCATGGTGGCTCTAGAGGAAAAGTCAGGGGATCATCAAAATCAGTAGGATTCATCCTCTGGGAACCATGAATGTCTGTAAAAGAAATTTATATTAATCTATCCAATTGTTATTCAGTCAGGAAGTGGTGGATCTACTGACCAACAAACTGATATTGCCATGACTTAATGTAATAGGGCAACCCACCAACTATGTATAATAAATACACATTGAGCCATGAGCATTAATCTAAGTAGAGCTGGTTTCCCATTGAAGACATACAGTGCTTCATTCAGGTTTCTATGGCTGACCTTCTCTGACTCCTGAATGCCTCTTCAGTTTGGCTGCATAAGACTGAATCACTGTCATCTCCGAATGAATGAACTATACTTCAACCCCGGAGTCTCCGTATTGTTTGGCAAAGACATAAATCAGTCAGCATCATGCTTTGGGCAGCGCTCCTCGATCAAAACGTTATAAAAGCCGCCACTCTCGCTCAGAGATGCCACCTGATAAAATGAAGCCATTTTTTAAAGCTCAACAGTCATCCAGCTGATTCAGTCAGAGTGGACCTTTCTTTTCTCAATGTGTGTGAATCATATAAACATACAGACTGTTGAAAAGAACGAATGCTCAGCAGAGAAACTGTTTTTACATCTCAAGGCAGAATAAAGGCGTTCTCCACATTACTAACATTTTTCTTTTGGTCCTGCTTTTCATAAGTCTCTGTGTTTGGTCATATGCAGAGATGAACCCGCAAGGAAAAGCAGAATATCACCTTTATTGTAGTTGCTGTTTGCATAGTTCAAGTACCACTAGATAAGTATATGCAGTGAGTTATTGCATGCTTCATGTGAGAGAATAAAAGTACATTACCCAGTCTGACATGTGTAATTATAAGATTTCATTTTGTTAAAAGAGGAATCAGAGCTGTTTATCTAGCTGGCAAAATTATCTTTAGACAGTAATATCTGATGTTGCAGTACAGCTACATCAGTCCCTTGTAATTTCCACCTAATTTCATTTTTCTTCACTGTGCGCTCATTAACTCACAATTCACAGTCCCACACCACCTCACCTCTGCTTCATGCAGATCAGTGGCCAAAGCTTTTTGCCAGAACCGGTCAAATGAGAGCAGACCGTGTTGCAGAGGTGAACATGCGTGGTAACTGATCCCGTTGTTTTATAGAAGAATACTAACATGACCCTTATAGAAATCACCTCGGGGCATGGGTAATCTAATTTAGCTTGAGTAATGTTACCTGTCATTAGCAAATGAATACTGTCGGGGTCCCTCTGAAAGCTATGAAATGTATTCTGTTATGGGTAAAATTAGCCACCATTTAAGGTTGTTTTTCATCCCGGAATAAAATTTCTAACAAGGAAGCTGGCAGGCCTAATTGAAGTTAATCACTGCTGAGTTTAGACGTGTCAATCCTGATTTCATCATAAGTGATTCTGCGTGTTTCTGTCATTGCTCTAACAGTTCCGGTTCTGAGAGCCTTGGCAGTGATATTTCAGGTAAATGTGAGTCAGACATGCCTTCTTGCCAGACGCTGTCATCTGTTGTATACAGTGTTTGTCATCCTTGCTCAGTTGACATGAGGCGAACCCTCCAGTATCTTCAATAACATGTTACCACAGTCGTCCACACGGCTAGCTGTTGCTTGGAGACTCTGCAGCTGTGAGGTGTTTGGTCTCCCTGCAGTCACTAGGGGACCATGAGCAAATGAAGCAGGTCAGAGGGTCACCCAGTAAGACAGGCTGTGCTAAAAGACACTATTATTTCACACTTAGAGACAAGCGGTCGCTCTCACAGCCTCAGCAAGGAACACGTCCTCTGGGAGAAAAGCCAGTTTTGCTGCAAATGCATCCAGGTGGAACGTGATAATGAACACAACTGTCTCGCCTCCCCTCAAGCTCCACTGTGGGGTTTCTTCTTTCTTTTTTTAAGCTAGTGAGTGAAATGATTTATCTTTAATGATCAATTTCTTGGTTCGGTTAGCTACTGATGGTGTTTACAGAAAGCACTTTGGTCCCTTTTTTTTTTAACACATGCATTGTGTCTTGCCTTCTCCCTTTACCTCTTGCTTTTAATGTCTTGCCTTTTAGTGTGTTAAAAAGCTGTGTGAGCGTTGTCAGGGCTGAAAATGGGCCAGAGTCCTGTCTAAAGTGGGGCACAGTGGTTTATAAAAAGCATGCCCATTTACTCAAGTATTTCATAGGGAAAAGGTTGATTGTGCCTTTGAGATGTATCAGCTTTTTACAGTTTCTTCCATCCTCAAACTTTGTGGTGTCATTTTTTTTTTTTAAAGCAATTAAAAGCATTTGTGTGCCAAATCAGATTATTATCTCAATGTATTATTAAAGATTAAATTAAAAGTCTTAAGATGTCGGTTTACAAAATGGAAAAACTTTAGAATCAAAGGATTCAAAGCCACTTGTTGGATTTTTTTTAAGCTTTCTCAAAATGGCTCAATTAACATATAGTAAGGGACATTCAGAAGGCCCATTCATTAAACACAGGAATATTTAAAGCTCTAAAACTCTCTCTGCTGTGCTGTCAATCATATTCAAACTCTATAAACTGAATGTCAAATTTTAGCGGCCCTATGTCAAAGCCCTTTTTCTGTCTTTCTGAATCTGGATCAGCTGCTGACATCAGGTGGGACCCTTGTCTCAAAGCTTAACCGCCGATTGGCTGAATAAGTAGATCAGCTCATTCAGACGACAACTAATAAAGGAAATCTCTCCCCCCCACCCCCAGGAGTCCCCTGACACACGGCGCCTGAGACAAATGAGCTGGAAACGGTTCGGACTGAATAAGAATATGAAAGAGATGTGACAGAGAGCGTTTCAGATACATGATAGATCGATAGCATCAGTGTTTGGCGTGGCAATGAAATATCGAACAGCAGTCAAAACTTGCCAGAAAATTTTCTTAGATTGGCTTTGATGTTGTGGTTAGAAGTGCGCAACTCAAATGCTCACAATCAATAGACTGTCTAAGCTTTAAATGAAGGTGTCTGATCTTGACCCGACTCTTGGTCAACACCAGAATGGTAAAATAATGGGTGTAATAGGTGAAAGCACTCCCCAGTACATCTTCATCTCGTAGCTGAAGGACCTCGGCTCACCAGCTAGGGAGGGAGAGGAAGAGAGGAGAGCGGTAGAAACTAGGGCACTGTTATCTGGCCCCCTTTTTTTTCCAACTACCAGGCACAAGGCAGAGAAAGAGAAAGAAAGAGCTGTGGACAGGAGAGAGGAGAGGACATCAGAAGTGTAGTGAAGCTGTAGACAAGACGGGGGAACCTCTGGAGTCAACATTCAAAGGCAAAGGCAACCTTGACTGTCCTACGCAGTCTTTACGATCGCACGCGCTCTTTCGTTCTATACACAGCCACATACACACTAGCTTTTCATTTGTCACACACACGTGCAAACCACAGGCACGCGCACGCACACACATCCACAACTTTGCACGCACAGCGAGCAGCAACATGTTCGAGGAACAGGCGACCAAGGTCAAGATCACGTCTGTGGTGATCTTGGTGGGCATGTCCTCCATGCTGGCGGCGGTGGTGACCGACCACTGGGCCGTACTCAGCCCCCGGGTGGAGAAGCTCAACGCTACCTGCGAGGCGGCCCACTTTGGCCTCTGGAGGCTCTGCAAGAAGAGCATCTTCATTGTCGAGGAGGACCCTCAGGGCAAAGGCTGCGGCCCCATCAGCTTACCTGGAGGTACGGAGCCTCTTGATCTCACTGTTGGCAAATATGATGGATTTTTGTATTTCAGTTTGTCAGGCTAAACATTTCTTTCTGTTGTCCAAGTGAATTTGTTTTGTGGTTGCTTGAAATAGTCCTGGATGTAGTGAGGTTTTATTTTACTGGATGAAGTAAGAAAAAACGGTGTTTGGTTTCCAGTGGATTGGAACCTGTAAAGAAATATTTATACTACAGTTCTGCTTTATGTTTCTGTGCAAACATGCAGGTCAAAGCAGAAAAAATGGACTCAAGCGCTGACTAGAGCGGTGTCTCTGCTGGCTTTCATCTACTCACTTGTATCACAGTTAGAATTAAGTCTTGCTTTTGACTTGCTTGGGTTTCAGTTATGCAGAACTGGCGTTTGTGCCCTCAAATATTGCTGCTTTGACATCTAAAAATAATTTTAAGGACCACCACTGAGGAAGTAAAGAAGGAAGAGAGAGGGTTGGAGTCTGCCGCCTTTTCTTCCATCTGTGTGTCTGTCCCTTCCTCTCCTCATACACACAAAGGCACATATCAGCACATATGTTGGCATGTGCATATGTGTGAGCATGTAAATACACAAACACACATGCATGTGTGTTTGGACTGAATGTGTAACAGTTCTGTGGCCAGCTTCTCACTGAACCATCATTATCTTCCACAGAGGAAGTCACTGAACAGACTGCCAATTAAGCACAGTCCAACAGCTGAAGTTGAGTGCGTAACGGGAGAGCATCGCCGCTATACTTCACAGTTAACATGACAAAAACATGAATCTGTTTTGTCTGGACTGATGGACTCTCATTGTAAGATGGGAATAAAATCAATTTTAGCTCACACCAAAGCCCCACTTCTCTAGATTTTTCCTTTTTTTGTGGGACTTCTCAGATCACAAGGGGAAGTGTTAGATCATCTGTCAGCATACTTTCTGACTCTCTGTATATGAAAATGTAAAATCATAAGATGCTATTTAACTTCTACATCTTTTGTTTAGTCTGGCTCACAGTGTCAGAGCTGAGGTTAATTGGCTTTGATCAAACTAAATGCAAGACTTGTCTAGAGAGCAGAAGAAATTAAAAGAATGCTGACGCCTTTGTCCAAGGCAACTTACAATAATTAAAAGAAAAAAAATTATACAAGTATACAGCAACTACTTCAAGTGCTACATTTAAACAATAAGACAACCTGTTTTTTGTGTGTTTGTCTTCATGGGCCAAGGTGGGCTCTCTTTGTAGTGATTGGCATAGAGGATGGTCTAGAGTCTATGGTTTGACCATGTCCTGGAGGTAGGATGGGCCTGAGCCATTCACAGCTTGGTTGGCAAGTACCAGTGACTTAAATTGGATTTGAGCAGCCACCAGTAGCTTGTGCAGGGTGCAGAGGAGTAGTGTGTGGGAGAACTTGGGTACATTGAAGACCAACTGAGCTGGTGCATTCTGGTTGAATTCAAGCAGTATTTATAATGCCACAGATAAATCCTAGTCTGCACAATGTTTAAATGCACCCATTTGTGCACAAACTCTTACTTAAAGGACCAGTGTGTCGGATTTAGTGGCATTTTGAGGTGAAGTTGCAGATTGCAGCCAACTGAATACGACTCGCCTTCTCAGTGCGAAGGAGGAACTACTGTGACTGCTAAAACTTGCATAAAAGTATAAAGCCTTAACTAGAGCCACAGTTTGGTTTGTCCGTTCTGGGCTACTGTAGAAACATGGCGGTTCAACATGGCGCCCTCCGTAGAAGAAGATCCACTCCCTCTGCAGATAAAAAAAACTAATTCTTAGATAACGAAAACACGTTTCTTATTATTTTCAGGTGATTATACACTAATGAAAACATACATATGAATATTGTATTCCCTTTCTGCCAATATATCCTCCTACATGTTTCACACTGGACTAGACAAAAAAGTAGTTGGAGAAGCTGTTTGGTGCACAATCTGTGTCGAAAAAAGTAAAACGGTGATCTTTAACTTACAAGTCTTTTTTGTAAGTTCTTTTCCCTCCTTGCATAACACAGCATTGAGTAACTGATTCCAAAAGAATAAGTCAAAACAATCAGTGTTGTATTTAAAAGTCTACTTCTCCAAAATAACCATGTAGCTTTAATTACAAGCTCTCTTAGAACAGAGCCCTGGGGTAAACAGTGTCTGGCTGGCCTCTGGCTGCGTGTGCGTGCCTTGCAGCTTAACAGACAGATTTCACTCCGACTCCATCATTGACTTTAGCCTTCAGCTCCAGCACCTCAGGATCAGTACAGGCCTTAATGAAGTGTGGCTCCCCGCTCTAGCTCATGAGTTAGAGTACACCTGGGAGACACAGGAGGGACGAAGGAGATTGGGGGGAAAAAAAGGATCCTGCGTGGAAGGACAGAGGTAGGGATGCCGCTGTTGGTGGAGGAAAGGGGGAGCACAATTAAAGTGTCCTAAGAAAGAAGGGGCTTTCAGCGAATAGAGGTGAAACTGTACTAAGATTTGTGCATTACATGTTGTAAAAACCAGAAAGAGACAGACAAGAGTTGTGACAGCTGCTTGCCATAAAATATGACAACACCAATGGCCTCCAGAACAACTTCTTGCTGTAAAATGAGACATACATACTCTGTTAAGTCCAGTAGTTGGAGATTCCTTTTCCCTGTGGACAAGTCAATTGCCTGTGGAACGTATGAAGGACATATTGTAGCTGACAGACTTAAAACTCCATCCTGACAGCAGTAGTAAAAAAGTGTCATATCTGTACAGAGTCCCAGCTGCTTCTGTGATACGCAACACAACCTGGAATGGATAGGAATGACTAGACAGAACCCATCTGACAGACTAAAGCTGTCGGCAGCTCACCTGTCTCACGTCCAGCAGCGAAGGGAGTTCAGCTCAGTCTGCTGCCACCTGTCAAGAGTGTGCAGCAAGAAATATCAGCTGTTTTGTCAGAGACCCCTTTGGCTACATTCCCACAATCACACCAGTGTTTCCACACTTGCATTATGAGGGATAATGAGTCATTCTCTCATATTACCTGAAAAGGTCTAGTGATTTGGCGTGTGGCCACGCAGTTCTGCCATTTGTTCCCACGCCAAGCTCAGTAGTTTAGTTACACAAGCCCATCTCTCCCCATTTGTGGCCCTGGTGTCATCTGAAATGGATCTGTGAGTGTGGTGATGTGTCCCTAGTTCTAGTCCTCTTTCACGCCATGTTATGTAAACATGACATTGGGTGAGATGCTGTTTTCTCGCTCAGAAAGTGAGTTTCAGTGACCATCTACAGGTTTCTTCTCAATAAGTGCTTTCTCTACTGTCATCCAGTTGGCCAATCTGCCAGATAGTTTAACAGCAGAGAGGACCAGAGAAAAATACAGCCAATCTCTGGCTTCAGCCATTTGCTTTCTCCTTGATAGAGTGCTATCAGTAATGGCAGCACAGTACTGAAAGCTTGGCTGGATTGCAGTTTGTGTGCAATTTCACATGTGATACATTCACAGGTGTTTTTAAGGGAGTCAGTGTTTGCACTTTGCAAGCCAGCTAACCTTAACACCAGCATTAACACCTCATGACAAGGTATGTTTGAGGTATGACTAGATTTTCATCAACTTGAGTAACCTGCCACTGAGTTTGGAGCCTAACGGACTGGCTGATTGACTAACAACACCACACCAGCGTTACTTTGTCTGCTCCTCAATTTAAGGTGTGTTGTAGTGCACATAAGCAGAGCATAATGGTGTAAAAGAAATCTTGAGCTGATAGAGAGTGCCCTATAACAGATTACATCCTTGATGAATGGTATACCCAAGTAGGCAGCGGTGATTGGACTTAATAACGCACATTTGCATTTTTCCAAACAGAGGGGGAGTTATTCGTCAAGAGGCGTGTACACAAACACTTTTTCATATAGGCACAATTACACTGCTTTTGTGAAGGGGTTGCATAACAACGGCAGCAAAGCGGTGAACCCAAATGACTTTTGAAATTAGCTTCCCACAAATGACGCATGACAGCTTGAGTGCTGTAAAAGTCAAACAAACCCTTTATGGATCGCATCAAGCTGCTCAACTGGGAAATAAAGAGCATGAATTATGCTTTTGTGTGCACGTGTGTGTTCCTATACATATGTGTGCAAAGAATCCAGGGAGAGGAATTTATTACCAGAGATGTTTTAAAGCTTGCCAGTGGTCAGGCATCGTGTTTTCTAGTCCTACAGCGGAAAGAAATTACCACCAAAACAACCCTCCTCCTCTTTCAGTGACACAATGCCTGACCGGTGCCCCCAATTCATACCCTCAAAAGCACCGATGTCACCTTGAGACACCATTTTCACTATCTAGACACCCAGTCATTTTCCTTTCTAGCCTGCCAGATTTCTGCTTCAGGTGCAGAGCCAAAAACTGTGGAGGTGTGGCGCTGATTTGGCATTCAGAAAACAAGTGTAAGGTTCCAAATTTGAATGAATCACTCCCTATTATGTAAATTTGAAATATATAAAAGGAAATAAATATATGTTGAGAGATAACTGCTGCCATCACTTGCAGAATGAGATGCTAGGATGCAGTTTGTGGTGAGTCAAACTTAGATGTTTTGAATTTAATGATAAAGGTCAGGCCACACACACACACACACACACACACACACACAGGATCAGGCCGTGAGGACTCCTGTGCTGCTGTGTCCCAGTTATCAGAGTTCCTGGTGGAATAGCCATTCAAATACCACCACCAACCATCCTATTCACATTGACCCAGAATTAGTCGGTCATTCTGCGTGGCTCGAAAAAGAACAGCCCCCCCATCACCTAAAAAAACCATGAACTCCTGCAAAGGATTCAGAAGCTTTTTTTCAAGACCACCTGCGCAAGTTGTTATTATAGGTAAAAACATGGAAATACCATTATAATTCAATTAAATGTGAGTGGGTTTTGGATGGTACTTCACAGATCAATGGGAAAAGGTGGAAGGCACAAGCATAGAAAAGAACTGTAAAAGGAAATCCACAAGAATACTAAACCGAAAGAAGAAGTTAAGGTCGAAGAGAGAGAGACAGGTGTAATGACAGGTGGAGAGGAAGGAAAGGGTAAAGGAGAAACTGGCCGCAGAGTTTAATGCAAAGAGGCGAAACTAAAATGACAGGCGATACCTCGTTCTAATCTCTCTCCCCTCCCGGAACTAAATCTCCCCATTAGCCAGACTGCAAGGTCAATTATACGCACCCAGATGTTCTCTTCCTCCATAAAGTTATGATACTAGCCAGATTTGTTTTTAACCATTTCTGGGCAGTGTAAATATGAGTGTTTAAGCTGCATAGATATTGTAGTTTAACTTTGTTTGTGAAGCGACAGAGTTAACAGTACTCCACCAGTATAATGTGTCATAAAGACGGAAGTTTCCAACTTTCTCTCCTAGCATACTGAGGCAGTGACAAAAAAGTTGCAAAGTCATTAAATCAACTTGGATGAATCACACCTGTGCAACAGCTCTCCCTGTCCTGTCTTGTAACGCCAAGAAGAATTTGTAGTGGGGACCCATATTTGTTGTCTGCTCTATAAAAGTTATTGCCGTTTTGGAGGTAATCTGAATGTTGTAAACAAATCACAGTGTAGCTGTTGTGAAATGGTTGGACTTCATTTAGCAAAATCACCATCACAACAAAATTTGTTTAATTAACTATTCGTTGAATCTCACCTCCGAACTACGATTGTCCAATTTTAGCTTAGCAACCGTAACTAGGCATGGCAACCGTGTCATGTTGTGGATTTCCCCACATGCTGTACATGGAGATCTATATGAAGAGTTTGGAGAATGGGGTATCATTTTGACACCTTTCCAAATCCAGAAACACAGGACTAAAAGTGGAAGGGTTGCATTAAACACAACAATTTATCTGTCCAAATGTTAGCCTGCATGGCCAACAGTAGTTACCAAGCATTATTTCCAAAATTACGGGGCATGTCAGTTGCTTATTATATTATTATGGAGGTTATGTAACCTAAAATTCCTGTTCAGGATTGGCAGACCCGCTGCCTGAGAGCAAAGGTGCTGAGAGTTTAGAGTTATAACAGCAGCTCTGTCCTGCTCTTTAAATGGCTAGCACTTCAGCAACTGTTACATTTGCCAAACCCATTGGTTATTCGGCATAGAAAAAGCTCTGGCAGTGTGCTCATTAAGTAGCCAATCAATCACCATGGCAACACCAGCCCAGGCAGGCTCCAGAAGTCCCCTGTGCCACACTGTAAACAAGGACCGAATCCAAGTGAAACCAGTTGTGTGGACTGTTCTGTTAACTGTTATAGAAACTATTGATACAGCAACCTTCATGTTGCACAACAAGTGTTTTTTTTTTTAGATTTATTCAGTTTGTGTCAAATTTTATCCACTGCCAACTACGGAGTTAATTGCTTTCTCCTTTTTGTTTATTCCTTTATTACTATTTGGGCTTTCTTTCTTTGTTCCTTCAGTACATTCCACATCCTCCAGTCTCTTTTTCTCGTAAAAGTTTAAAAACGCTAACATTAAAGCATAACTCCTAACTACAGTGCTGCTTCTCAATGTACGTCTTTCCATTGTACCTTCAAACCACCAAAGGGTTATTAGAACAAACAACATTTAAACTGCATTTTTATTAAAAATACATTATAATATAACTATCTCTTCACTATAATACATGAACAATGCTGCTCCTTTATTTCTGTATCTTCTAAATGGATCATCAGCTGGCGAGGACACCTTTTGCATGGGACATGCAGCTTTAGCCTCAATGCAGAAGTACATCATCTATGGAGCAATCAAGTGCATATTTAAGACCCTTTTAGTTCACTCTCACTGCTCTAGTATTGCTGTTTCTGGTCACAGCAGGCAGCTATTTTCATGTAAAAGCCACAATTCATAACCTGCTCAGCACTAAACAGCAAACAGACATTGCTGGTAAATATAGCCGAGCATGTAGCAGCCAGAGCCAGCTTCCCTCGGGAGTTGGTAGAGACCCAAACAGAGCTAAAAGAGAGTGAATATTGTACTTCTACTGGGTGGTCAGAGATATGACTGCAAACGAAGGTAATGTTGCTGTGTAGCTGCTGCATGTGTAAATAAGCAACTGTTTGCTACAAAATTCACCATGGTGAGGATATACCTTTTGTTTCTGCTGCCCCGAGGTGGCAAAAACAAATCTCTTACTGCAGGTTTTGGCCAACAAATTCCACGGTCATCCACTAGAAATGAGAAAACTTCCTTTTGTTTATTTGTCTGTGAAATCGAATACCCACTGTTTTAAACATTACTGCAAATTTCAAGACAGATAAATCTGTTATTCACCATCATTGCTGTGAACTGCACAAGTGCCACGCTAGAATGACAGCTTGGCATGCCTAGCAACAGTAGCTAAGAGGGGGTGGGGCTTAGCGAATGGTCAATTACTCAACCTTAGAAAATGAGTCACTGTCCTAACTCATTTTCTGTCACTGCTGTCTACACTATCAATCTGAATTTATCAGGATCAAGGAGATAACTAGAGGCTCAGTCTTTTGAAGCCCCCTTTGTATAAATCAGAGGTCTTTCCACCTTGTCTTTGTGGTGAGCAGATTGTGTTCTCTGAGACTGGAGTAAATCTTATAGCTACACCCAAACACATATTAGCTCAGATTAGTTTAGCCCCAGAGGTAAAGACACCTAATAAGAGAAGACTAATGAAAAAAATATATTTACAGATCCAGGCTGCACTGTGACTCCGCCTCCGGTTCTCCCTACCACCAGCCTCACACACACACACACACACACACACACACTTACACACTCACACACTCACACACTTCCACACTCACATACTATTACACGCATGCACAAAGACACACATATGTATGCACACGGTCCTCTTGATATGCCTTTACATGGGTAAATAGATAGGACTAGGCAAGACCTGCAGCAGCCTGTTGCTAGGTTACCTCTTTAGTGATTCTTTCTCATCCTGGGTAACAAACAGCTCCTCTGTTGCCTGGTACACACATACACACACTCACATGCACATACACCGACAGCAACACACAAACATTTTCCATCTCTGTGTGGACAGAGAGAGCACCTGTCTGTTTTATGGGTTTAATCTCAGCGAGAAAGCATGGTGAGTGGAGGGAAGAGGGGACCCTCACTTGGCCTTTACGTCCTTTCCACCCCTCCCTCTCGGCCAGGCTGCCCTAAGAGACAGCAAATAGATAGATGGATGTGTGGGCAATGACTGCACCCAAGAATCGTTTTTCTGTATGGGGTTATCTTGAAGATTGTGGTCAAAGGACTAGAGTTTGGGCAAGCAAAGTGCAGAAATGTATCATTCCTGTGTAGAAATGGGCATGGGGAATAAACACAGCCAACATGGAGGACAGTGAGGGATTTAACTTCAAGACATTTTATTTTAGGATGAAATCAAGTCGCAGAACACTACTGAGATTTGGCTACTGTGTTAAACGTCCATCTGATCAAACAGCAGAGACAGCGTGCTGATTCTACCAGTTTAGAAATGCGTTTTTATACTTGGATAACACACACATTCTTCATTTTCTGTTATATCGAGCACATCGAATGTCTTTCAACCAAACAGGCACAGGTTTCAGTCACTGGGTTTGCATGTACCCACTCTGGTGAAGTGTGCATGAGCCTTAAAAAAAAGCTGCTGGGGTGGGACGTCATACAGAGACAGCGTTCAGTCAAAAGCACTGCAGTTGGATTTTAAGGAAGAAGATTCAGTTTCATGGTATTATTGAGAGGGGTATTTGTTTATATCCCATTTCAACAAATCCAAACTATGAGGTAATATCAAAAGATAAGAGTGTAAAATGTTGTAAGCTGTCATGGGAATTTATTGCTAAATTGGGTTATACAATGGCATTTAAAAGTTATTTTTGTTCTGAATGAATCAATGAATATTGGGCCCACAAAACACATTTAGAATCATTTCAGAAGTTTCTAAATTGTGAGGTTATAGATGGTGAAAGAAACCTGTTGTCATGTTGACACAAGGTTTATAAAGATCTGAACTTATGCAAAGTATCATGATCAAACAACTTTGCTAGCTGGAAATTGGGTAACTGAATTTATACAAAACATTTTTTTACAAGGCTACCAGTGATACACCAAACCAGAAATCCAGGCTAAAATGAATAATAAATATAATGTCTAAGTTTTTTCATAGCTGTGTGTCCTATTAATGTATGTGTATTTGTTCGCTTTCTGTCCGTTGAGAGATTTACATCAATTGGTAGTGCAGACACACAGGGCTTGGGATACAACCTGAGCCACATGCTCTCTCCCCCCCTCATGTTTCATCTGCCTCTGTCTATCACTCTCTCGCCCCCTCCTCTCTCTCTTTCTCTCTCTCTCTCCCTGTCTTACGCTGCAGCGAAGAACTGTTCCTACTTCAAACACTTTACCTCGGGGGAAGAAGCTGAGGTTTTTGAAGTCAAGACCCAGAAAGGTGGGTGCCTCCTCACTCACTGCCACCCAGACTACATGTTATAACAGATCCTGTTTTTCTGGGACCCAACTGTGTGTTGGTGATGACAAAGAAACATAACAGAAACCATTTCTAGTAGTTTTCTAAGTAAGAGGAAAGAAGGTGCACAGCAGTTTTATGCATGAATATATGCTCAGGTATCCTATATTATTCAAATCTAAGCACAGCATATGAAGAAATGCCTGTATGTCACATGTAAGACCCCAATAACCGGGTCTTCCCCACATTCCTGCAAATTTTCAACAGCAAACACATTTTGAAAGGAAATGTTAATGCTGCCTGGAATACGTTTTATATATAACGAGCAAATGTTACCTCACAAACTCAGTTACATACACACGTTCCCTCATGTCCATTAAGAAAGAAATCTGTTCCAATATCCTCTGATTTTCATCTTCTCATCTTCCCCCGCCTTAGCAAGATTGCTACTTTCAAAAGTAAACGTATTTCCAGGAAACGGTTCCCCTGTACGTTGGCAACGTGACCCTTTCAGCTTCTGACTAGACACAGAGGAGATACCCATACAGGAAGGCAATTACAGATTAGTGTCTGAGCTTTAAATTGCAATAGATAGAGCACGGTTACATCTTGGTAGAATTAAGTGAAGAAAAACGTATGTCTTTTTTTTTTTTGTCAGAACATATTGAAAATTCAACAGGAGTGGACATTTACTGTGTAGCACAAAACACAGAATATTATGGGCAACAATCAGTCATTCAGACAAGAACAGCAAGGGCAACTTTATTTGTTGAGTACATTTTATGCAAGTTTTTTTTTTTAATTACATAGCACATTGAGAACAATTAATTAAATGTCAGACGCAAAACAAATGCAAAATATAAAATGAGAAAGCAGAAAGTGTTCAAGGATGGTTACAGCTTTAGTACACTGACAGACAAGGCCCATTGCAGTGGTGGAAATTTTATTAACTCAAATAATGTACTTAAGTACAAATCTGAGATATTTTCATTTTATGAATATGTCTACTATATAATTATACAAAATATAAACAAATCATGATGTATTATTATTGGGGATATTCACAAGCTTAGTGGCAGTATATATAGTAGAAAATAAGCCCTACCTTACCAGCTGCAAAAAGTTATGTACATATTACTGCATCAATTTTGATCATTTACAATATAAATTCTGAAATGGGCCAATCTGCATAATAACTAATTTAACTTTTTGTACTTTAAGTATATTTAGATGCTCAACCTTTATATCATATTTTCAATGCAGGACTTCTACTTCTAACAGAATATTTCTACATTGTGGTATTCCTACTTTTTACTTAAAGTGTGTGTACGATTCAGTGGCATCTAGTGGTGAAGTTGCAGATTGCAACTAACTTGACGACCTGGGAATGAGAACAGGCTGTGAAGTCTCTAGAAGAAACTACTGACTTGCTTCGAAACTCACAAAAAATGTAAAAGGCTCTATCTACAGCCAGTGTTAAGTGTTAGCTACTGTAGAAACATGGCAGTTCAACATGGCGGACTCCATAGAAAGTGACCCGCTCCCTCTGTAGATAAAACAGCTCATTCTAAGGTAACAAAAACACAACAATGTCCTATATTCAGGTGATTATACACCAATGTAAAACATACCTATGAATATTATTCCATTTCTGCCAATAGATCCTCCCACATGTTACACACACACCTTTAAATAAAACATTTGAGTTCCACCACTGACCTTGTACCAGCAAAAAAGTCCTGCATAGAATCAAATACAAGAAATAAATCAAATCTGGGCACTGTGGAAATCTGTTGATGGAACATAACACACAGTGCAAACAGGCTCAAGCAAAAACATGCACACATGAAATGAATAATACCATTTACAGAGACTTTTACACACACAAATACTCACACAGACCAAGAGTCCTCAAAATGAGCCCGAACAGCACTGGAGAGGCTGAGTGCAAGGTTACTTTACACCTGGTGTTACGCCACAGTCTGGATGCTGAAATGAAATATGATGCTCCAAGGATCATTTCTATCGCAGCTGGAGTGTTATAGAGAAGGAAAGACTAGATTATCTTTATCTAACAGACAGACAGGAGGGGAGGCGGGCAGCAAAAGAGGGAGAGACGTTCTAATCACCTCGTTATAAGCCTGCAGCATCGTATCTGTCATGCAAATGACATTATTGCCAGTTCGGATAAATGACTGTTGTTTTTAAAGTGAGGCTAATTTAAAGGCTAATTATCTGTGTCATAACTCGCCTGAGCGCAATATTGAAACAATTATTATGGAAACGATACTGCAACCTCCCCTTCGGTTCCTACCCGCTCGCTCAATTTTTTAATCGCTACCACTTTCCTGTCTCACTCTTAGGTCCTCGCTGTTTTTCTTTCTTTGTCTCTTCTCTTTCCTTCTTTATTTTCTTTTTTTTCTGTCTCTTTCACACCTTTCCTGTTATTCTTTTTTCCTCATCTCAGAGTACAATATCTCAGCAGCAGCCATCGCCATATTCAGTCTGTTCTTCATGATCCTGGGCACCCTCTGTGTCATCTTCTCTTTTGGAAAAGGGCGGGACTACCTGCTCCGGCCTGCTGGGATGTTCTTCGCCTTTGCAGGTCAGATATGGCAGATAATGTGAATGTAATGTGAAATTACAGATCAGGCTTTGTGTAGTACTCTTGTCTCAGTGCTTACAGCTTGAAATGAAGTGTGTCAGTGTCATAATCACACACACTTTTTCTTTTGGGGATGAATATTACTTATGCAGCTAATTTAACAGAGATGACAAAGCTGATTTTTCACTGACAATTTTTTTTTGGTGTGGCAAGTGCTGATAGACTCTGGGGTGACAATTCGAAAGATCTACAAGTGTTAAATTAACTTTGATGGGTGCAAACTAACATCAAGCATCACAGTTACTGTTACAGACTTAACAGGTTAAAATAACAGTGAAAGTCTTGCAGTGTAAATGTGGAACATGTCATTAATGAGAGTGAAGCATCTGCCTTTACCAGCGTTCTCTCTGTTTTGGCACGCAGGCCTTTGCATCATCATTTGTGTCGAGGTAATGCGCCAGTCTGTCAAGCGTATGATTGACAGTGATGAGACCATCTGGATTGAATACTACTACTCCTGGTCCTTTACCTGCGCCTGCGCCTCCTTCACCCTGCTCATCCTCAGTGGAGTTGCCCTGCTCCTCATCTCCATGCCCCACATGCCACGTAACCCCTGGGAGACCTGCATGGACGCTGAGCCTGACACCTTAGATTAGCCAGACACACGTTTAAAGGCCTGGTTAAAATGGCATGAAAATACAAGTGGTTTTGCATCTTTTAGCCCTTTAATTACTGCAAGCCATTTTCAAAAGCATTCAAGTTTTTAGCTTCATTTCCCACCTTTCTTGTCTATTGATTTCAGGTCATGTTAGTAATATATTAAAATCAACTTATGATAGATAACCAGCCAGAGCAAAAACAATGACGTTCACATCTTCAAAGCAGTTGGAAGCAGCAACTGTTTTGAAAACTCTTCCTTGTTGGTGTGTTTAAGTGCTGAGGAATAATTAAGTAGCATCTAAAACTTAAGAGTTGTCTGCCGAACAGCACCTTTTTTAAAGCAAAAATTTACCAAACTCACATTATGTTTTGGGTTTTTTTTACAAGGTCTATATGTGTTTTTTTTATTATTATTGTGTTAGGGGTTTGGTTTTGTGACAACATATCTCATAAATGCAAAGCTTGTCAGCAACAGTGTCTCAGATTTAGCATGTTGGAGCTTTCCACAAGCACCTGAACACACCAACACACCAAGTTGGCCCTGCTAGTAACTGCCTCAATAAGTGACCAAATAAGTAAAGTTATTAGTAGCATTTTGCTAATTGATTTTCATACTATACTAAACCTAACTGGAAGCAGTGGACACCTGGAAATCAAGAAAAGATCGATCTAGACGTATGGTATATTTTAGAAAATGTATAAAACAATTTGTTGTAAATGTGTTTAACATGAAGACTGAATCGCCCTTTAAGGCTTGAGTGGACAAGGGTCAAATGCCACATTTAAGAGTAAACAGAAAGGTCGTTAGTGGCTAATCTGACAACATCTGAACTCTCAACAACTGCACCTGATATCTGCCACTCAGATGATCTTTTTTACTGGACCAAACCTGGATAAAACTACACAATATGATAACAAACAGGTTAGATATGACTTAATAAATCTGAATCTAATTCCTGAGATAGAAATAAAAAAATGTCCAGGCAAGATTTAAGACTGGAATAAAACTTTACCACACCAAAGCAGATAAAGGCGCTGAGCAATTGCACTGTAATGCTTTGTTTAAAGTTGTGAATCGTTATAATGGGCTACTGTCACTGCAGTCTTTTCTTTTCTCCAAGGACTTTCTACAGTCAATCCGTACCATTGATTGTCTAGAGAGAGACCACTTGCCTGATACTCCCTTGTTGACATCAGTCATTTATTTCAGGTCAATGTTCAAGACCCCAGGTAACTTAAGTCGGGATCTCCAATCCATAATACTGCCCGTAGTATTTGCTGAGCCTCGGGGTTACGCTTTATATGTCAGCAAATGTAGGTTTTCTGCTTTTAGTGGGCATTTTAAAAAATAGTTTTAACATCAGAAATATGCAATACAATATACCAAGTTTAGAAAATAATTGACCATTTGATAACGCCGTACCCTGAGCAGTTATTGTCCAATCATAGCTTAGTAATGGTAACCACACGGCAGGTCTGTCAAGCTAAAGATTTGCCACATGTTGAAGTGATGTGTAAAGGGCTGTAAGAGATATACCCTGTATCCAAAACCAAACATACAAGCAAGAAATGCATTAAACAGTGTGTTTATCTGCTCTAACATGAGCTGCAGACATTAACAGGTCTGACTACAGTATAATAACAGTTAGCCAACCCAGCGTTATACCCAAAGCCAGCAACATTTCATGATTTTGTGGAGTTGCAGGTTAAATAATAATAAAGAAAACACATATTCTTTTCTGGCACATTAACTGTGTAGCTCCAATTTCCTGACATTGTGACAGTAGGTCCCGGAGGCCACTGTATCAGAGCGTAGGCTAATGTTAGGGGCTCTGGCTCCCATCGTTGCCATGTCCAACAAACACAATGGGTAACTTGTAATATTAAATGTGAAACATTGATAAAACTAACTATAAATTGAACACACTTGTCCAAGTATACATAAACAATGCTTTTTATTTGTTTCCATGTCTTTTACATGGATCAGCGACTCGTTAGTATGCTCACTTTTTGTCTGGGACATGTAGCTTTACCCTCAGTCTTTAAGCACAATGTCATGAATGCAGCCTCCAACTTCTTATTTAAGATTCCTTTAAAACATGTAAAATAATCATCCCCTCTCTCTCCACCCACCCTTCCTGTCTCTCTACAGCTGTCTGTTAAATGAATCTGCAGTACATTAAATAGCTGGAGACAGCATGAAGCTATCGTTAACTTAATTAGATTCCCCAAGAAATGCTAAAATCAATGAAAGTTGTCATTTCAGCAGAGAAAACTGACGACCGCTGACTTGAAATGAGAAGCCTGCTTTTGTCTGGCTTTGTCTGAAATCAATGGCTGGACCATTGTTGTGGAAATTACTAAGAATTGTCAAGGTAAATCTGTAATTGTTATCACTGTAAACTGAATATGTGCAAAAATGAAAAGCTTGACAGGCATAGCAACAGTAACTAAGGGGGGCTTAGCAAATGGTCAATTGAATGTTTGCAACAAAATATAAAATACATGACATACATTACATAAACTACATAACATACATCCATAGAGAATTTCTTTCATATTTAGAAAAAAATATATAATTGTTTGTGGAACTTTTTTTTTTTTGCAATGTTGTATTAAATGATGTAACTTTTCTTTTGGGGCCATAAATGCCTAAGGCTAATATATTTAGGATAAGTATGACACAGATGACTTTTCATTTAAGTATTGCCTATGATTGTAAAATGGTACCTTAAAGCTTAAAGATCTTTTGTGTTCTGTAGACAACAATATTGTTGCTATCAGTCGCTAATTATTTTCATGTTCAAAATCATAAACAACCTTTTCAATTCTAGTTAAAACCAATAAAAAACATCAGGTTTCATCTGACAGCAGTCATTTTTACTTGGCTCTTTTTCCTGCGTAGAGTTTACACAAGGGTCGTATATATTGTAGGCAAAACAGTCTTCTACGTCTAGCATGTTATTTTTCAGTGAGTCACCCTAGCCCCGATGTCATTCAGCCATGGTGCAGGTGCAGTGAAATTAAAGTTCCATAAATGACGCTGTTTCACAGGGGAACACAAGAGGAAATGATTACATTTAGCTCTGAGGTCCTTCTGAGAGGAAACATTTTCATTTTTCTTACTGCAATCACAAAAGTTCCTTGGTCATTGTACAGGTTTGTATTTTAGAAAGATGAAACAATACCTGTATGTTGTTGTTTTTTTTTTCATTTTATTGACTATTTTATATAACCTACAGAGGTGGATCATAAGAGATGTTTAATAAAATATATACAATAAACCTGTAGGAGTTTTTGTGGGGGGAAAAAAGACCAGAGTTTAGTATTTATGGCAAACAATACACCTGATTTGTATTTTATTTTAGATTTGTAAATGCTCTGAATAAGTATGTGTCCATGATCGTCTTTTTTCAAAAGAACTATAATAAAAAATTACCACTAACAAGGTCAATAATGCTGTTTTATGTTGCTATGACTTCTTCTGCACAGGTCTTTTCCACATGTACCATCAGTCTTCTACCAATAAGCCGGTATCATCATGTTTGTTCCCCTCTGTTTCCATTACTGTGGAAATTCTGTTAACACATATGAAATAAAGCAGGGTTACAGCCTTTCCTCCTATTATGTTTTTATATGTTTACCTATAGATAGAGAGAGTCAATGGGTGCACATTTATTCAGGAAATAAAAATGTCAAGTCTTTTTTTTAATAACATTTTAACTATCCTTGTGTCATCGCTCGCTTCAGTCCAGGAATCTCTCAGCCAGAGAATGTAGTTGAATTGAGAGACAAACCTGGAAATGCTCCAGAGACCGTACACACTGCAGGTCAGGGCTTTTCAGTCGTGGATGTAATAGATGCACGAAGCTCATTAAATCATTCATGAGACCTTTACCTTGGAGCAATGAGACCACCGGCATGAAGGAGCGTACACTAACACACAGACGTATTTACTCTCTGCTGCCTACATCAGTTTTGATCCCTGGGATCCCCTCATGGTTTTCAAACACAATATTTCCATACAACTGAGAAACAATGTGTTCAATATTTTGAGAAATAAAATAACACGCACAGAAATGATGTGCTTATGGATCACACATTCAGTCCAAGGTGGGAGCACAAAAGGTTTGGTTTAATATATATGTAAATTGGCAGTGGATGAATGTATTAATGCTGAAGGCTTGCAGATGGTTTTGAGTGAATGTTGACTGTACACACTAACCTGAAAAGCCATTAAACCATGTGCACAGGCAAAGGTGGGTCCATAAATAATGTAAACTTGCTTAAAGGTGAGTGGGATTTGGTGGCATCTAGCGGTGAAGCTGAGATTGCAACCATTAGATACATGGACTACGATATGATTCAGGAACGATTTAGACCGATCCAGGTTCCCAGTGTAATTGTATCTATAACATTAAAACCGATTTCCAATTGTTATTGCTAAATCTTTACACCCCTAATGTGTGTGTATATATATATATATATATATATATATGTATAAATGTATGTATATATGTATGTATATATATGGTTGCTGCTGTTTATATTCCCTATGATGCACAAAATGCACTGCAGAAGGATTTCCTGGTAGTATAGCTGTATATGTATAGATGTATATAAATTATTGTATATACATTCTTTCATAGTACAAATTTATTTTAAAAATAAATTGCCTTCTACCTTCTTATACCTACATATACAATGTGTTCCAAATTATTATGCATATACTGTTCTTTTTTTCACTAAATAGTCGATATAGTTGGCAGTCAATAGGATTTTTTATTCCTCAACAATGATATCGTAATCTGGATTTTATTAAACACAATTACCAATGATGACAATGGCATTTTTTCAAAATGCAGTGTTCCAAATTATTATGCAAAACAGAGTTTCAAAACACTTAATAGTTTCTAAAGGATTGAAAACATAAATCTGTTGTATTTTTTGCATTAGAGGGGATAATTTTTCTCAAATCAAAGCTTTTTCAATGAAAAACATCTTTACAGATTAAGCTTCATATTAACATAGGAGCCCTTCTTTGATATCACATTAACAACTCTCTCATCCATTGAACCTGTAAGTCCATGTACAGGTTCTGCCTGGATTTCCTTTGAGGATGCCAAAGTTCCCAGAACTCCCAGCTCCTCCCAGAGCTGCTGTTTTGAGGTAACCTGCCCCCCACCCTCATAGAGCTTCCTGCCACACCAGGATTCTTTCTCCCTTAATGCCCATAGCAGCCTAGGCCTCAATGGTATTTGTTGCAGCATGGGATGGTGCGTTGTCTTACATGAAAATGATTTTACTCCAGAAGGCATGGTTCTCCTTTTTACATCATGGTAAGAAATGGGCAGTTAGGAACTCCACATATTTTGCAGAGGTCATTTTGACACCTTCAGGCACCTTAAAGGGGCCTACCAACTCACTTCCCATGATTCCAGCCCAAAACATCCCTCCACCACCTCCTTGCTGACGTCGCAGCCTTGTTGGGACATGGTCACCATCCAGAACTCCATCTATCTGGACCATCCAGTGTAGCACCGCATACATCAGTGAATAAAACTGTTTGAAAATGAGTCTTCATGTATTTCTGAGCCCACTGCAATCATGTCTCCTTGTGGGCATTGTTTAAGGGTGGCCGAAATACATCTTTACGAGACGCAGTCTCTGGAGGATCCTGCGTCGAGAGGATCTTGGGACTCCATAGGCACCAGCAACTTCAAATACCTTTTTTACTACCCATCAGTGGCTTTTTCACAGCTGCTCACTCAATACGATGAATTAGCCTTACAGAAACTTTCCTTAACACGCCTTTATCTGAACGAACCCATCTGCGCTCTGAATCAGACACAAATCTTTTCATAGGACGATGATCTCTCTTAATATTTCTCAAAATATCCAGTGGTTTCATACCTATTGAAAGATACTGCACTATTTCACGCTTTTCATCTGCAGAAAGATATTTTTTTCCCTATATTGCATGAAACCTGTGACTTGCTTAATAATGTGGAACAACATCATTAAGTAGTTTCCCATTAATTAGGCTCACCTGGCAAACTAATAAAGACAAACCTGTCCGAGATTGATGTCAGTGATCTAAACAGACATGGGAAGCAGCACAATTGAAAACTTTCATTGAAAAACAAAAAATCTAATAGTTTTTTTAATTGGAATCATATTTGCATAATAATTTGGAACACAGTGTACACATCATACTATTTATATTAGATGGTGATGGATTAGATAACAATAGATAGCATATAGATCACATAATGATCTCTGCAGAGAAACAGACAATGGGAGATTTGTCAAATTATGATCAGTGTTTATAATGAGTTAAATATAAGGTTGTATCTTATTTTTTGACTAGTCTATGGGTGTAGATGTACGTTATGGAATCTTACTTTTGTCTCCTGTTTGTCCCAGACTTATTTTTAGTACCATTTATAAAATGTGAATGGAAGTGAATGCTGAATACTACTTGAAAAGAAGAAGAAGTAGGACATTTTGATTAAAATCTTATCAGAAATACTTCTGGACATATGACCACAGTCACTGCTTTGTCTCACCTTGCTTTGTCACTTTGTCGATGAGGAAAGCTGACGTTTGCAGGAGTCATCCGGTCCTTTGAGTCACGGCTATGAATGTAAAGCTGTCAGTCCCTTTCCTGACCTCTGACTGAGTGCTGTCAAAGCTGTTACTATTCTCTACCAAGCAGTACAGTGCAAGCATTTCACATTCAGCTGTGCCCCTCAGAGAGTGTGTGAGCTGGCAACATTTTTTTAAATCACAGGGTTCAGACGCCTTGCAAGTCTAGCGGACAGGGGAAGAAAAAGAACATGAGATGAAATTGACATGACTGGGTGTGGTGTGGAGCCGGAGTGATGACAGCAACAGAGAGACAGAGAGATACATACAACACCCTGAGAAAGGACAGATGGACACAAGCTGGCCATGAAGACCGACCGACAGAAGACATGATCCTCATAAAGAGCTGTGAAGACCAAAGCCAAAGTGACACTTGTAGACAAAGTGCTCTAAGGAAATATTTTCCTTCTCTCTCACAGTAAATAAGTTTCTGTTGATGATATTATTCATGCTTTTATTATTTCACTGAGCATTTTTATAGTATTGATACTTTGTCCTGACAATTTTCAGTCAAAAAGGTCTCACTGAATTCAAATCCAAAGGGAGAGCGGGGATTGCCGAGATAGCTGAGCTAATCTACTGAACTAAGCTCCTCACCTCAGGGAGACAGTGACACTGACACTCAAGTTAGCCTGAAGTGCTACTTCCACCCCAGCTCTCTTTCTCCACTCTGCTCATGTATGGCTGCAGGGACGCTGGATGTCAGTCAGAGTTGGGGGGGTGCAGAGAAAAGCTCTGTCTACATAATGATATCATATGCATGACATTGATGGTTTTTGCATTCATTTGAATGGTCAGGATCATTTATAGCCTATTTAATAGTTATCACACACACACACACATTTTCTAACTTTTTAGCAGGTAAAACAAGGAAAACCCCTCTTTCCTGACATAAATACCAGCATACACATGTAAAAAAAAAAAAAAAAGTCATATAGTCATTATAAGTTAAACTTTTTTATTAACTAATGGTTTTCATTATGCCAGATTTAGGGGGTGCTGCTATTTCTGTTTACTTCAGTCTCTCTTTCCCTCTGACCCTCTGCTTCCTCAACATCATGTCACTCTCCCCACTCTCCACTCTTTACATCTCCAATTCTCTCTCTTCAACCAGATTTTTCTTTTGTTTTTGCCCTTTTCTTTCTCAGTCACATCTTTGTTTTCTGATCGTTTTCTCTATTTTTTTCATCTTTATCCCATTGTGTGGCCCCCTCCACCCTTTCTCCTCTGTGTTCCTCTTCATTAATCACCCTGTTTCTAAGTCAGCCTTCTCCTCTTTTCTATTCCTCTCCTTTTTCTCTGTTTCCTTTCTCCTCTTTGACGCTTTCCTCTGCAGGCAGTGACAGTGAGCCATTGGTTCATCTCCACCTTCTTTTTATCAGCTTTTTCTCTCCTTCTCCCCACTTCCCTCCCTCTCTATATCTTTCTGCTCCAGTGCTCTCTCAAGCAGGCACTCTGCTGCCTAATGACTTGGATCGGTAGTGACTGTTGAGAGAAGATAGACCTGTAATAAGGCAATACAACCCGGTGCAAGAGTGCAACGCGCTACCAGTGCTTCATCCGTTCATACTACAGCATACTGCACTCCGAGCGTGGATGTGGAGATGAAATGTCCTCTGGGTTGAGAGTGCTTGACTAAATCACATACGTTTACTGCTTTGATATTGGAAAGAAATGAGGAGGACAAGTGGCGTGGTTTTAAGGGAAAAGGGTTGTATTTCAACAAATTGATGTTTAGAAGAGGGTCGAAAAAGGAGATAAAGAAGTGTATGTTAGTGAGGTTGGACAGTGGCTCAGCACATTTCATTACTGCAATTAACAGTAAGGTCTAGGGTGGATTTAGCAGATAAATTGACAACTTTATTATCTGATTTCAAATCTGAGGTGAACACCAAGACTGTCATTACTGGGAATTATCAGATCAGGTAAATATTTTTTCATCACACATAACTTGAAGTA